AATTTATAATGCATCGACATGACAGCCGTCGGTTCTCAAGCGCCAGTCGCATCGCCTCATCGCTGAGCCAAGGAAAACTGCGATGAGCCGAGAAAAAACTGAAAAACTGAGCCGGGCCCACTTCACATCGGGCACGCTGCCTTCCAAATGGCAGGCCGTTCGTTCACAAATTGATTTTTATTACAAAATATATGGCTTATAATTTGCCACAAAATAAATATTCAAATTTCTGAGCTTCTCCATGTAATGAATGGGCATTAAAAAATCCTAATGAGTGAGTGCCGTCATCGAGTGATATAAATGGAATGGAAACTGTGTGAATAAATCGTGTGTAAAATGATTTTAGGATTGAATACTGCAAAACACTTGAGTTAGAATGATCGATATTTGTTAATTTAACACCATTTCTCATTCAACACCAATAAAAATACTTTTTTCTTTAATAGTTAATAGAAAATATATTATAATTGACATTTTCAAAAAATTAATTACATGTGTTATGGATCGACTCATCCATTTTAATAAAACATTTTGTGTTTTTTTTCATCGTATTTGAATCATAGAAGTACAAATGGTAATGGAAAGCTTGATCTGCAGAAGGCAAGATTCTTTGGGAACTCTTCCTTGAAAAAATTGAACTAATTGCTCGGGCAATAAGAATAATTTCAGCAATTCGTGGCATTTGCCTGCAAACTTTCGTTCCGCTGACCGTCTCAAAGTCAAGTGGCCTGCGTGAAATGCGAAAATTCCGAACTACTCAAAGATCCCATTAATCCATTAGAGTTCCCCATGTGGAACACATCGGCGGGGGGCCCAAAGGGAAAGCATAATATGCTCCCCATGTGCCCCACTGACCGCTAATCTAATCTGGGCTTATCTATTTGAACAGCAGCAGCGCGGTGGAATGTTCCCCGTTCAGCTACACATGAAAATAAGTTTTTAAGCGATCGCTTTGGAACACCTGAGAGCCAGAAAGCGGTAAGTGGGTGGATAAAGCTCATGCAATTAGCAGGAATTGCAAATTAATAATCATGTCTCGTGTGGCTAACAAGGACAAAAGCCAACACACGACATCCACTTAATACAAGGTGGATATACGTGGGTGCTTCTTTTGGGTGGCTTAAGAGGGGGAGGGGGAAGGGGAAAGGGGGAGGGGGAGGTCCAAAAGCCATAACAATTTGCAAGCGTATGAAAAATGTATGCGGAGCAAACTTTAAATTCATTACACACACGCAAAGTCAGCAGCAGTTTGAAAGGAGGTAGATGCACAAGCAAAAAAATGTGTCCATGCTTTGGAATTTAAAATAAAATTTAAAAGTGTATTTTGTAAGATGTATCCATAACATTAAAGGTATAAAAAATCAACAGAGCATTGGTTAATTGAAAAAGCGTTTTCCTCGAATCAATCAATTTCTTAATTGCTCGACGATTTGTAAAGCACTTGATATGATTGGTTTATTGTTTTGTTGTTGTTGTTGATTTTTACAATTATGTAATTAATGCGAACAAATGTTTAACACTTGATACCACGTTTAGTACTTCATTAAATAGTTTAATTTTATTACATCTAAAATGATAAGATTAGATGCAAAAAAAAGATTAAATAAGAGATAAAAGGGGTAGTGATTCGACGATAATATTTTTCATAGATATGATAGAGGAAAGGAGGAAAAACAATATGATTTTTCGCACTGCACAAGAGGAGTGGGAAAAAAGATGAGCGAGTGAGCTGGAGAGCAGGAGAAAGGTGACAACTTTTCCACACGGCGGTATATGGAACATGGACACGGGCAGGCCAAGCAGTTTGTTTAAACTGCGGTCGCTTGGCAGGATGTGGAAACACCACACCCACACGTATGCATAAACATTTCCACTTGCGTGTGTGTTAGCACTTTCAATAAGTTCACACACACAAAGCTACCTTCAAAAGAGGTGGAAGTGGGTGGTGGATGGTGGGTGGTGGATGATGGGTGGCTGGCCCTGCCTCAACCTCTTTGCTGGTAATTTGAAAAAATTTTCGTGCCTCGCTTCTATTTACGCTTTTATCTCTGTGGCACATTTACCAAAACTCCCCTTTTCCTTTTATACAATTTGTATTTCTTCATTTCTATTTGCTAGCTTTATCCGCATTTCCTTCATTATGTGAGAGTGTCTGTATTTCTTTTTGTGTAAGTGCACTGGGAAAAATATAAATACTTAAGAAGTGTTTGTTCTACCATAAAAGAAGAAATAATATGGTGCTTCTTGAACACAAGTATGTCATTTAAGCAAAGTGAATTAAAGAATGAAAATATAAAATGATATGTTAATTCTTTTGGAATCATATTAGTGTTAAGTGCCTTTTTTTTCGCCCTACAGATCAGATAAGATATTTTACAAATTTGTTGCGCTAATGTTTTTCTAAGTGTGTTCGTGCTAACCTTGGGCAGGGCATTAAAACCGTGCCAAGTGTCGAAGGCAGTTCCCCGAGTTGGCTGAAAGCGGAGGCGCTGGACAACTGGACATTTATTGAAGGATCCACCTCCCCAAGGGCCCCCTTCATCGCCATCGCCATTGCCACCGCCACCGCCCCCGCCACGCCCCTTTTGGCCACCTGAATCCGCTGGACGGCTGACTCATTTAAAATTCGGCAAGGTGTGTGTGTCCATGTGTGAGTGTGGGCTCGAAATCCAAGCCACTGGCCCATTTTTTGTTCCTTCTTCTTTCTTTCGGTCTAAATGCTCCAGTCTCTTCCTCTTCTTTCTTAGCCATTTCCCTCCGTTTTCGCCAACTTCCCCCTCCTGGCTCATATCTTTTTCTACCTTGGCTTTTTCGTATTTATCTCACTGAACTGTTGCATTTTTTATGCCGTTTTATTTCATTTTTATTTTTATGCTCTGCCAAATGTTTTTTCTGTCCTTTTTGTCGGTCCCCTTACTTTTTTGTTATGTTTTTTGCCCCATCTCGCATTCTCACATCCCCTGCACACAAACAATCTGAGGTTTATCATTTTTGTCTTAGTGGGGATACAAATTGTGCTTCGTGGAACTATTATAATTCCGAGTGGAGTTGTACTCTACCAAGCAAGCTTTTATTTTTATAAATTTAATTTTAACTTCTAAGCTCAAGCTTTAAAATTGGTTAGCAATTAAGGAAACCTATTGTTATTTATTACAATTGGAATAGTTGTGGGGTTCCTTCCCTATAGAGACTATTTAGGTTTATTTTGTTAACGCTTAATGTTTCGAAAGCAGTATATTTTCTTTTCATTTGGTTTAATAACCCCTCCAGGGTGATTCCTTTTCGACTAAGCAACTCCACTGTCCTCTGCCTCAAAAACCGCCTTTTGTGCTGGCTAATGTCTATTTTCTTGTGTTTTGTGTTTCGATTTCTTTTTCTGCATTTCGGCATTTTATGATATCCCAGTGCGCATTCTGTTGGTTCTGAGTGCAGGGCTTTGTTTTCCTTTTTTTCTTCGGGATATTTCCTTTGCTCCCGCCTCACTTTATATATTTTTTTGCTGAAGAAAGCAATGTATTTTTAGTGGGTTCTGCTAAACGTCTAAAAATATGCGCCATGTCGAGCACCTGAGTGGCATCGAGGGGGGAATTTGGAGAGCGAGGGGAACTGGCTTTTTTATTTATGACCCTCGAAAAGCGATTCGTGCATTTGGCTTAAATCTCCCAGGAGCAGGCTGCTCCGTTGAAGGTCATCGTTGGACACGTACCCCTCATCCCAAACCAGCAAAAAAAAAAGAAATACAAATCGATTTTAACGATTATTATTTCTTGGCTTGTGGAAGTTGTCGGCTTAGTCACACTCACTCACTCAGTCACTCATTCACTCGACCCGACAACTTATGAATATGAAATGCACTCGCACGGCTGGCGAAAAATAAAAGCAACATATTGCAAAAAACTACTTGTGATTGACAAAAGTGTGGCAAGGACATTTAGCGAGCGAGCTGCTCTGACGACATTGCCACATTAACGCTAATTGATGACCAAGACTTGACCGCCGCCCTTATCCAGTGACCATTTCCATTGCCCATTGCCCATTGCCCATTTTCCATTGCCCTGTGACAGCTCATTAATAAGCGGATTTGGCCCTTCCCAGTGCAAGTCCTTTGGCCTTCGCCTTCGCCGTCTGTTGACGAGCTAATCTACTGCATAAATCTACAGTTTTGTTAACAATTCCAACAAGGGCTCAGATAGAAAAAGCGACACTCAAGTGGCGACAACGAGAAAGAAATGAAAAACGCGCCAGAAAATATCAACAAAGTGTGATAATCAAAGAAATTGGTTACTATCTCGCCTTATCACTATGACATTTCATAATACCGGTAAAAGTATTTTTAGCCTGGTACTAAATTTATGTAGGAAATGTACTTTATATATAAACAATAATATATCGCTTATGTAGTTTTTGATCAATTTTATTTATCTTTTACCAGTTAGCCCCTTTGCGATATTATGTAAATAATATTTTCTACTAATTTACATAAACACTTAAATCAAATCTAGATTTTTTTTTTTTTCGGGACACATGTTAATTTTTGGCAAATAAAAGTGATTCAGTCGCCACAAAACTCATGTTGCCAAGTCATATTTGCTTTTAATGATTGATGAATTGGGTTCACACTGATAAGACAAAAACTGCTTTAATGGCACTGATACCTATGAGTAGACTGTACATGTACTGCCACTCGTGTGTTTCTCTCCGTGTAGCAATCAAGGGGTCAGAGGTGAGCCAAGGGTCGTGGGAGTGGCAACATCATTGGGGCAGGTCCCGGCACTTAATTAGAATTGCGCCCGAATGGAACAGAAGAGCACTTGGGAGTGGGATAATTTATGCAGCGAACGGAAATGGACAAGCACAAAAATTTATATATTCCCATCGGGTTATGCAAATATCGCCAGAATATCCAGAAATCGAATCGAAAATCGCTCGAGTTAATTGCACCACTTCTTGTTTGATTTTCAATTAGCCAATCTTTTTCTTTTCGCCGGCGAGCCACTTACCTTTCTTAGATGTTCGCAAACAATTTGAAATGCAAATAGGCAGAACTCCCTGCTTTCCAAGCGCTCACTTCACGATGGTCAGTTGCCAAAAATATATATAAACTCGTATATAGATTTCTTTCGGTTTCCGCAAGTGACAGGCTGTCCGTTATTTGTGAACGCACAACAAATATTGAAACTTGATATGTATTTTCTGGCCAAAATCAAGCCAATTAGCGCGATTTTGGCGGGTGGGGGATATAACACACGAAGTCGTCGGTTTCAGTTTCGGAAGAGGAATCGAAATCGCAATCGGAATCGGAACCGAGGAAGGTGTCAGGCTAATCTAACCGGCACGACCGAAAAATTTCACCTCGAGCAACACACCTGCCAAGAAGCACTTGCAGCTAATTGAAAGTAGCACTGGCGGGCATCGGCGAAAATCAAACAATCGCACTTGTTGTGGCCCAAAGTCGTTCGGAGTTTGAGTCTCAGTCTGGGATGGTGTTTCGTTATTAGCCAACTACTTCTAACGGCCAAGAGATTCGGAAGCCGGCACTTTTGGAACGCGTCTGTTCGCCACGAACGGAAAATTGCGACTGGCAGTTGCGAAAGCGAACGCAAAGCTCGCTGCTGCCGGCTCTTGTTAGCAACTCACAAAAGTTGCCGCCGCCGAGATGCTGTTGTTGCCAAGAGAGAGAGAGCAAGCGCTACACAGAAAGAAAATGTTTTTTTTTTAACTTTAAATAAACTTTACATGTAGAGTTACTAACTAATCTGCTACCTACCCTGGATTTGGCAGTTGATTTCTTTATGATGTCAATATAGAATAAAACTATTCAAGCCCAAAAAAGTTTAAAAAATGAAAAAGGTATGAATGTGGTAAGCATATTTTTAGTCACCATTTTTAATTTTTTTTTTTTTTTTAAGTTCGATAAAGCATTAAAAAAGTGTTTTTTAGACACCTTTTGTTTTGCTAAATTCTTTTGTAATTCATTATTAAATTTATAGGATTTATAGGATAATTACCTTATTAATATTCAAATATTTAAACATATTACTTTAAAAATAATATTTTTATTATTTGCCTCGATTTTTCTTGTGTGAAGAGAGCATAACAAAAAGTGCCGCTTCGAAAAATAAATAAAAAAAAGTACATACTTGGTTCGCTCTTTTCCTAAATTGCCGGCTTACAATGTTTTGGCAACATGTTGCAGACCGAAGTTTGGCGCGCTTTTGTTTATTTGAAGTCAACTTCTTTAATTTGAGTTGTTTTGCTGACGCTTAGCCCCTTTAATTGCTGATGTGTGATTTATAATTTATACAGTTGATTTTATTTTAGTTTCGATTTAGATTTCCATTTTGTTTGGCAGCCGCTCGCCTCTGCTTATTTATAAAGACATTTAAATTTATGGGCGCCGACTTTTTGCATGAGATCAGAGTGCTTGGCCCAGTTAATTTATGGGCGCAACGGGTGCGTCTTGTCTCGCCGGCGAAATCGAAAATGTATGTTTCAAATAACAGAGCAATAAACCGAATTCTTTTCTTTTTGTTTGTTGCCCAACACGGAAAGTGTTGCGAGCGGATTTGTGTTTACTTTCTGCGGCTTAGTCAACCTGAAATGGCCGAAATGGAATACTAAAAATCCTGACCACATTCAATGCAAACAAATGACGCCATCTGTCTGCCGTCGCCGCCCATATTTATAAACAATTACGTAGATCAGCGCCAGCGTTCATGAATCATACGAAAGTCTGGTGAAATTTGCATTCTAGCGCCAAATTTTCCTGGGAAATTTTCGTTACAATAAAATCTAAAAATTCTAACAAACTAATTCCGTTAAATTTCTCTATGAAAAGCTGCCGAAATTTGAGAACTGTGCGTATGACTTGAACAATTTAAACTGAAAAGCTTTCAAGCTTCGGCAACTTGTTGCTTGTGAGTTTTATTAAGTGGGTCTTGTACAAACAGTAAAATTATTTAATAACACCCTCAAGTCTTTGCAACATGAGCAATGCAACATTGAAGCAGCAACAACCGCATTAAGAAAGTAAATAAAAAACTTGCAATAGCAACCAAAACAAAATGAAGTAGAGCAGCAACATCAAAGCTGCTTAGGCAACATGTAGTGTAGTGGCAACATGAGCAGTTGCAACACGAGTAGCAACCGAATACCCGGCAGCAACACCATTAGCGCTGGCAACACGAGCAACATCTGCATCAGCAGCAACAGCAACATCAACAAGTGCAACCTTAGCCGCAAAAGCGTCAACAAAGTATTCAAGGAGCTAAATTAACATTTTCATTGCTTGTGCGCGCCTGACCCATTTAAAGTAACAAGTAAGGAGGTTATCTTTGATATCCGAATCTGAAATACCCTACAAGGAATTAATCAGCACCTTATCGAACACAAAAACGCCTTTTAGGTATGTTAAATATTTTCTAAAAAAAACGAATTAAAACAACACTTTTCCATAACATTTTTTGTGCGAATTATATTTCAGGACATTATATGAGTAAACACTTTTTAAGTACACTTGTAACTTGAAAAAATATATTTGGTTATTCTACTTTAAGTGATTATATATATTTTTAAAAGAACTCTCTGGCCTTATAAAAGTTTTACAAAAGATTCACTTTCATGGAGTTGCAAACTTTTGCATAGTTTCATTGCAACCCCTTTCAGTGTATAAAGAAACAAACTTTGAAGGATTGGTGATGGAGGGTTAACCAATCACCCAATAAAGTGGTCATATTGACGGTCCAGTTTATTATTAATCTGCTGCACTTTGTAAGCTGATAAACAAACGAAATGTTTACAGAACGCTCAACAAATTGAGCGCACTCGAGGAAGAAATCATCGAAGAAGCGAGCGAACAAATTGTAAACAAAAAAGTAATTCGACAAATTATGAGAGCCGCACATGAAGATAAATGGATCATAATTCTGTGATGGAGAATAGTTTCCCGGACGGAAAATGGGAATCGCGAATCGAAATAGATTAATTTATGGTACGTGAAAGAGTTACCATGCTTGGCCACACAGGATGATCCAGGCTGGCTAAAAATAGGGATGACTTCCAAATCGAAATAGAATCGCCGGGGCGTTGGGCGTTCTATGTGGGGTGGTGCCTGAGGCTGTGGCTGTGGGTGGGGCCGATCTGGGTGTGGATGTGGGTGGCTGGGCGAGCGTGCCGCCATCTGCTCTGGACATTGGCATTGAGTGGGTGGTGTGGGGTGGCGTGGCGCCTCGCTGCCAACATGTGCGGCAGCTGCCCCAAAAAATCCGTGCATAAACATCAGCATTCGTGTAATGTTACGAGCATACACCCAGAAAAAAATGGATCATAATAGCAACAGACCATAAGGTCAGTTTAGCATTCAATAGATTTAGGAGCACCTAGCCAACAAAAGGATAAGAAATACATTTAAATATTAATAGAGATTAGCTTAAAAATAATTAATTTAGAGCATTATTTTAATTACAATAAAAAGCAAAAAATGCATAAAAAAGTAAATTAAAAGAAGTATAAGTGCTCTCAAAAAATAATTTAAAGAAGTGTAGTATAATTAATATATTGTTATTTGATGAATAACCTAATACATATTTTTTCTGTATCAAGCACTTGCAATTTTTGTAAATAGAAATAAATGGGAACTTTTATTTTGTGTGTAGCTGTGATTAAATTCAGGCTATCTTTAACGAGCAAATAGTTACGATATAAAATTCCAAAGAGAAACTGTGTGAACAAACTATTTCTCCGGACATTAACACCCAGAAAATTCGAATAAAATCTTAAATGACGATCTTTACTGGGCAAGGTCGCCCATGATTTATGCGATAGCTCAACTCTTTTGGGGCCATCAGAGGCCAAACACATTCATTCCGTTTTATTTCTGCCCGGTTTCGATCTCGATCTGGATCTATTCTGTCCATCGGCACTCTGCACTTGACTCCCGCGACTGTTTGCGCAACTTTGGCAGCCGTATCTAACATTATTCGCCCAATTCTTGTAATTTATGGCAATTTAAAAGATTTTCTCAGCTGCCCCCACAGCAGAGCCTAAATAAACACACGAAGCGTCATTTCTGGCATGACATTGACCCACCGAAGACGTCGCAGTACGTGGACACAAATGTGTTTGTATCAGAGTAAAAATATGATTGGATATTTGCAGTGGCTAAGGTAAAACGATTGGTCAACAGGAAAATAATATGAAATTAGGGAAACTTTTAAGATTAAACATATATTTAAAGTAGAGTAACTAGAGAAGATGTTTATTATTATTTTGGATTTTCAGAATAAGACGCAAGACCATCTAAAAGTAATTAAACACGGCACTGTGAATTGAGGATAAAACATTCAATTAATGATGGTAATAAATGTATTCTTCTAATGGTATTCAATAATTTCAAATAAACAAAACATAGTAAAAGTAATTAAAACAATAATGCAACTAATTTAACTAGACCTTTCGACGAGTTGTTGCATATAAAACCAGACAAATAATCCCTGAATCACCCCCACTGTTTCCTGCTCATTACATCTGCCAGATGTAGCAATTTTTCGCACATTTCGCTTGTATCCAAATATATTTTCCAAAAAAACAAATCGACTGGCGCAACATGTGTCGATCTTCGGGGATTTGCGTCTGGGTATGCTCCACTAATAAGAGAAAAAATGTATTCCGGAATATTCGCTACATTTTTGAACCGCACCACTGAGACCCCAATCCGAAAAAAATTGAAATCAAGAAAACAAAGCGATCATAAAATGCGAATAAACATGCTGAAACTTAGATTCCAAAATAACCAACTCGAACTTGCGGGAAGACAAATGCTCGATAAACACAGCAGACTCCAATCATATTTAACGGCCGATTTGGTTAGGGTTTATGTAGTGGGTTTATAAACAATTGAAGGTTATGGGAATGAATCATGAAAAAATGCGGTGAGTAATGCACATGCAGTATGCAAATCCACCAGCAAAGGAGAGAGGCACAGATATTCATCTTAAAACTAGTTAGTCAACGGTTTTCCAATTATGCAAATCTCTTCATAACATAACTTACTTAACCGATAACCAAGTTTGGGATACTTTCGGTAATAAGTTTTCAGTTAAAAAATATTTGATAAGCGGCATCAGAACACCCAAGATGCTTGGCACTGCGTGACTTAATTGCTTTTCGTTGTTGTGCTGCGATTGGCGCTAATTGAAGACAACTTGTTGGGCAGCTGGCGATAATGGTCACTGGTCACTGGTCACTGGTCACTGGTCACTAGTTACTGGTTACGGGTTACTGGTCACCGGTGGTCAGCAGTCCAAGCCAACTGCAACCTGCCGCCGGCAGCATCAGACTTTGTCATTGATGATTACTGTACACGGAAAAAAAAAATCAAAAGGCTAGTATAGGAAAAATATGCATATCCAAAAATATGTTTAAGCTTTGTTCAAAATACAAAAATTAATTATATTCTATACACTTTTATTCAGACGGTTGTATTGTATCGAATACAGCTTTTGTTTTTCTTATAACTGAGGTTTTATATTGTGTTGAGGCTAACTCTTATTACACCTGTTTAAATAAAGATTTTTTAAATGTAAAATGATATCTGTAAATTCTTTATTCTCACTGTACTTCTGCCCCGGAGCCAGCAAGTCAAGAATTATGCGTGGCCACCAGTTCCCAGAGCCACGTTGTCTGGCGTTGTCATTTCCATTTTGTTGATTTTCCTGTTCACTCCGTACTAATCGATTTTCAATATATTTACGCTTAGACGGCATTCACATGCGTTTAATACAACTTTGCTTTGGCCACTAGGCCAGCGCTTTTGTTTCTGGTCTTATGCATATTCCAAAATATTCATAAAATTACGCAATTTTTAAAAAATTGTTTTCGGTAAAATTTTGACAAGAGTCTGTACAGTATTTATCGAGTAATTAAAAGTAAGAGAATTATTCACTTGTTTGCATTCCAAGAAATTTAGCACGAGTTGACCCAAATTTTGAGTACAAAATTAAGACATTTCAATTGCTGTCACTTAACATCAAGTTCAAGTTCAATTGGGGCGCGTCATTTCTGTCATTGATTCAAAAGAATAATATTGGATCAACGATGGAACCAGCCATGTTACATTTTATTTTTGTACTTCTAACCATTTCTGAGTCAGCTTAAAAAAAGCAGAACCTGAATCATCTGGTTAGCCACTTTTATCGATGTGAATAAACAGAATTTACTACCTGATTCATTCGGAAATTTTTGTCGGCCATGACTTATGTGGAAAGTGTGTTTAGACCATTAGTTTTGTGCTTTCATTAAACTAATAATTCTTGAATAATTGACAGAGCTAACGGCAGATGTGCAGCATAAACCATTTTCCATCTACTCGCTAAGGCTAATTAATCAATTTTCCTTTAATTGGCAGAAAGTAATTGCATTCGAATTGATCAAAATTGTTCGCGCTTTGCGAACTCGCAAATAACACGTATACGACGCATGGGAAATGGAAAATCTCTCCATCCATTACCCCTCTTCCCCCATTCCCCCATTCGATGTGCAGCGAGGAGTGAAATTCAATTTGTTCCAAAAAGAAAGGAAATACGCGAAATAGTTTTGGTCACAAAATCGCAACCCGTAATTGCATTTCGCTTTAAAGAGGCTTTAAAATTATGCAAAACGCATTTGAGCTGCAGGCACGAACCACGACGACCATCCATGTCAATGACAGAAACCAATCCCCACCCACCGAAACCCCCTCGGCCCCTCGGAAACAGCAGCAATTACAACCACAACAAGTGAAGCGAAATTTGGCCAGAGCAAAGAAGCCCCCGCTTACCCAATGCTCCCCTGCATGTCCCTATCACACTTGAAAAAAGGATTGTGAAAAAAGAAATGTGAACTCATCACAAAATAATAGTTTTCTTCTATTTTAATTTGTATATTAATAATAGTATTCCAGCATTAACAGTAAGGTCATCTACCCTAAGCAATAAATATAACCATAATAAAAGCACAAGTAATATTTATCTAATGTGATTAAATAACATTTTAATAACTTTAGTAATAAATACATCTATAATAAATAAACGAGTTATGTTTATCAAATCATACTATTAAATATTGATATTTATTTAACACAGCATGTATGTTTCTAGTTTCCAAGGTTCTCCCCACTTTATCTCCCCATTTCTCCAAGTGTACTGCTCAGATTGTTGCAACTTGCAAGTGCAAATGCAGTTGCCGTTGCTTCGATGGCTCTGCCAATTCTTGTGCATATATAATTTAATGCTTATGCTCATGTTTGCCTTATGGAAATGTGAGATTTTACCACATAAGAAAAAAAAAAAACACCAGCCGCACAAAAAAGGGGAAATGGAAACACAGTCGACTTTGGCACTTTGGACTTTGAGCTTGCCAATATTTTTTTTATGCAAATGATGCAAAATGTATGGAAAGAATTCTGTGTGGACATGCGACAAAGTTCAATTGTATCAAATTGGCGAAAAACGAAAGGCAAAAACCCTGAAACATAAACGAAAATCGAGTGCGAGTCCATCAATCATAACCATCAATCAGAAGGCAAGGAGAGGCGCAACTTTGAAGTTTGCGGCAAGCCGCAGCCAGAGAATTTCGTGGTCCATTTCAATTAGAACACAGAAACATGCTGGCCACAAAATGTGGCAAATATATATTTTGTTTGCAGCGAGAATTCGTGGTGCAAACGCAATCAACTATTTCCACAGGAATTTGGCCCTATAAATTTAGTACTTTTACGTGCTTTGTAATTTTAACAAATTTCCACCTAATTGCCAAGGACTGATCTCACTTTTTCCTCAAGTGGCTTTATTACATTCTTGTTATAGCAGAGTGCGAACTGATGTCACTGCCACTTTCAGCTCGTTTATAAATTGCAGATGCAATGGGGAAAATATGCAGCGAACACAACAAAATGCAGAACGGAAGTGAGGCATTCATTTCTTGATTGTAAACTTTTTGATTGACGGCGAAGGGTAGAAAAAAATTCAGAGTATTCTTACCTGATAGCATTATATAATCGTAAATGCGTTGGCATTTAAAGCTTTCACTTGTTGCCGTGAATTAATGCGAAGTTTTTTAATCCGATATGGCCTTCGGCTTCTGATTAGACATTTAAATTAATTAAAATAAACGTTCTGGGTTGAACACTTCAGATGGGCTTAAAGCTGACATGTGGTCCGGAATCTTAGAATCCACCCCCTGAAGATGGTGCCAAAATTTCAGTATGCAGATATGCTAACGAGCAGACAAACAGATTTTGGCATGCTTGAAAGAAATCTATTTTGGGTGCTATTTTCAACGCAGACAGACCATAAATTTGAGGAGGGGGATCCACAAAAGGTCACTTGAGCATGGAAGCCAATGTTCAGACTTTAAATTGTTTAAGCCAATTTTCAGCTTTAATTAACTTTTTTATATTTTTGGTACCGAAAAGAAACTCCAGAATAGTTATAATTTAGAATATGTAAACCAAGCCAAAAATATTCTTTTAAATTTAAAGAGGTAACCAAATTTGTGGTTACCCATTTTAGATTTCTTTTCAACGAGCTTCAAAATTTAAATATAAAAAAATTTTCTTTAATATGATTATCATTCTTTGGAATGCAGACACTCCAAAAATTGGCCCTATGTTAAAGATTAGAATATCGTGCTGGAACGATTCGCAAATTTATCAAAACTGACACAAGCACGATTATTGCAAAAATTGGGCATCAATTTTATTCGTTTTTCACACGTATTTTCAAACTGTCAGATGTGTTAGATCGCGTCATTTGTCTCATTAAGCCATTGTTTCCGCTTTTGATATAAATGACACTTCTCAAGAGCAATCTTGGCTCAATGTGCTGGGTGCCATGAATGACATCATGGATCGCTCTGCGACCGTTGTGCAAATAGTATAGTACTATATGTTATGTCTGAAGCGCCGCGGATCGCTCTCAATGACGCCGTCTCCATTAATCACAATCGTACATATCAGAATCGGCGGAGGGAAGACAGCATCATCAATTGCAGCCACAGCCACAGCTACAGCCATTACCATAACCCACACAAAAAGATCAAATATGCACTGGCACGAGGGTGAATTTAAATTTTATATAACATTTCGCGACATCTGATGGATGACTGCTGGATGGCAACGGTGGCGAAGGAGTCAATCAGTGGGCCGGGCCAGGCAGTTGCAGACATTCGATTTAAATTGCTTTTGATCCGGAAAGCACTGGGGTCATCTCACATTCTGTGGCTCCACTGCCACTACTTTAAGGTCCTGTCCTTGCCGGCACCGAAGTAAAGGACCGACCAGGACTTGTCCGGCAACTCGAACGCGGTGTTTCGCTGGTAAACGCTAAAAGAGAATAAATCTTTAAATGGGTAGTAAATAAACACTTTTAAGCAAATAATTTAAATTTAAAATTAATATCGGCAACCAATAATTTTACTTTGAGAATATAATATCAGAAATTAAAGAGAAAATATACTTCCAAGGCATAAAAAACAGTATTTCCCTTTGAAAAAATATACGTTTTAAATCCATTCTCACCTGGTCTGCGAACAGGAGACTCGCTGGCGCTGGTGCTCCGGAATGCAGATCTGCTTGGGAGCTGGCTTGAGTTCCAGGGCAAAGTCGCTTTCAGTCGGATCCATGTTGGCCAGTTCATCTTTGCTCGAAACACCACATTTCTCTCTAAACTGAGACGACATGGTCCGTTCTTCAATTATATAGTTTTGGCGCCGAAACTAAAACAAAAAGCTACAGTCGAAAGAATTTCTAAAAAATTTAAAATGTGCGTTGCCTTGCAACCAAACAAAAGTGACAACTAAAAATTAAATGTAGACTTTGTGTACTGTTTGTGATTCACAACGAAAAGGGTGCTCCCTTTTTGACTAGTTTAATAAGACTGAAAAAGCCAGGGATTCCTTTTTTATAAACCAATTTTATTTGTCTACCAAGAATTTTCCCAGCTTAGTTGGACAATGTCATCTAATGATTCTATTCCTAAAAGTTTTTCAACAATAAATTTTGTGTATTTTTAAATGGTTAAAACAAGCTATATATAACAATCACAATCACTTGTTTCGAAGTGCGCTTAGTTCCCAGCGACACATGTCCCATAAAAGTAGGCAACTAAATACAGTGAATATTTTGAGGAGAGCGAACATGAAGCCTAGAAGTATGCAACGTTTTTAATATGTTTTATAATATGTTTTTAACAATTCCAGTGCCAACCCATTTCCAACTAATAAAAACAGCAAATTGTTCAAATGTTATGAAAAAGTAATAACTTAGGAAATTTATTTTATCTCTAATAAAAACGGCTTTTGAATGTGTTCAATCCTCAGTATACTTGCACCTGGATGCCCAAAAATCTTGTTTTGTTTTCTGTCATCCGGTTGATCATCGCAACGGGCAGACGCATTATGAAGGGAGCCTGGCAAATGGCTTCCAATTGATGGGATGCCCGGATATCGTAGATGTGGCTGGTAACAACATTGCCCCAATCTTTGTGAGCCGTAGTGGGAAAAACGGCAATAGTTGCGCGGGGTCGGAAATTCCGGGGCACAATTGTCATCAACCAGATGACCAAATGATATTGGGTGCGGGCAGTCATCAGCATTACGGGCAAAAGATCACATAGAATCTCGCCCTGGGTGTCGATCACCTTGTCCCTCACCATATAGACAATGTGGCACTTGGGCTGATCCAGCCTGGTCAAGTTGACGTCCAGGAAGAAGGTCTTGGTCTCCCGCGGCTTAATCCGCTCCAGAAGCAAGCCGCCATGATCGAGCAGCAGATGGTTGTTTAAGTCGGAGACGAAGCACAGTCGCCGGCAATCGGCATCGGGACAACGGATTGGAGATCGGGAGATGTCCAGCACCTTGGGTTCGGATCGCTTCAATATGAAAGGATTGGCGGCGAGCAGCCTGGGCAGATCCTCTGGCAAACACTCCACCGTGGAGAACTGAGGCTTCGGCGGACTTATAACGATCTTCTCATCTCCAGCCAGGCTCTTCATGTACTTCACCATTTCCAGGGGATCATATTCTATCTGATCGAATTCGGCTCGCTGCACCGTGGAAGCCAAGACGCACAGTTCCTTAATGGTGTATCCACCTGTAGCTGAGTTTTTCCTGTCCGTGCCATCCTTCTCAAGCCTTTCCAGCTCTTTTTCCCATTCGCTTTCAGTCCTGGGTTCTGAGTATCTAGATGCCGAGTATCTTCTAGATGATCGCTTTTTTCTGTCCTTGTTTTTTAGTGCTTTCTGCTCCCGCAGAGATTTAACGAAGCTCTTAGAAATACTAACTTCTATTGAGCTCTTGGATTCCTTTCTTTTCTTTTTGTTAAGTTGGGCTCCACCAGTCTCTCTAAAAATTTGTTCCTTAGAGGAACTATTTTCCTGCAGGATTATCAGCTCTGATGAATCGACTGTTTCGATTTTGGTTCGTGGTGAATTTACTTTTCTATTATTCTGCTGATTGGTAAAAAACCTTCTTTGAAGTTTTAAGCTAGGAGCATATCTTCTTATAGACTCTGATATTAGGCGAAGACTGTGATTCTTTGGTGGTTTGGTCTGCAGTCCAATAAAATTATCCGTAGACGATGGCCAATGCAACTTCCTCATGTCCTGGATGGAAATATTCTCCACAGGAATTTGAGAAGCCTTGTTATCCTCTTCATAAGGATTAACCGGATCCAGAAAGCGTTGATTTTCATTGGGTATTACAGGACCTAAGTATAGATTCTCAAACAACCTCCTCTCGACCTCCGAACCGGAAGAAAGTCTTCGATTTCGATCCCTCGCTTGTTGGGAGGTCTCCGGTCCATTAAACTCATCCGGTGACAATCGAGGCTGCAACTTCCTCATATTCGGATTAAGAGATTCGTCACTGGAAGTATCCTCCTGCTTTGAAAGGTTAACGTAGGGATTAACCGGACTGAGGCTTCGATAAGGCTCCAAGTGCGGAGGAGGAGTGGATCTCAAGCGTTCAATGCCCTTGATCTCCTCTGATTTCTGACTTTTGGTCTTCGAGTGAGATCTTCGCTCCGCTTTTGCAGGACTCGAGTTGCGTGGAGTGCGTTCCTCGCTTTCCGACCGCGGATTCGAAGATGAATCCAGTTGAGCTGCTGGCGGCTGGACACGTTTCACTTCTTTGATAAGATTCCTGTCCACAATGCCAAATCTATTGGGCAATACGGAAAAGGATCCAACACTTTTAGGAGGATCCACGGCCTCGACGGCCCAGTTGCTCGAAACACCTTCTTTTGGCCTAGTGGGCTTGCTGCCCAATTTGCTCTTCATGAAAAAGGTTTGTTCATGGCAGTTGCTGCACCAACTGGTGGCACCTGAGTCTGAATTGATCCTCAAATCGCGCTTCTGATGGCCACAACGGCTGCACTCAAACATTTTTGATATAAAATGAGGTGCTAAGAAAAACACTTATAATACAATTTATAAAATTTCTACTAAAAATTGACTGAGGAAATGGAGAATGAAAAGCCGATGCGAAATAACCAAATTAGCACTATTTACACTATGAGTTTTAACACTATGAGCACTTGATTGTAGAAAAGTTCTTATAACGAAACTTAAACTTTCGCAACAAAAGAGTAGATTATTAATAAAATAATTTTAATAATGATATGGCGAGCATAATACTTTATTTCTTCTACAAGAAATTACATTTCATTGAGATTTGGATTTTTTCCCTACTTTTTAATAAAAAAAATAAGAAAGGAAGCCCTATTACAACCGAAAAACCACTCAAAATGCAGTGTTTATAAAAAAATTGCCAACAATCCTTTTCCATTTTTATTAACAAACTAAAGGATCAGTTAAATGACAATTGCATTCGGTAGCATAGATATTTAGGCTTCTCTGTTCTTTAAAATTAATTTAAATTGAATAAATAAATTTATAAAGAGGTGTATCCTTCAGTGCGTTGTAAACTTCTGACTAAATTAAAATACCCTTTTGCAAGGGAATAAAAACCTTTTTATATTTAGAGTCTGATATCCCTCTTTTAAATGCAAATTTGTGATTTCTGCGAGCACAAATAAATTGTAGTCTCAAGACTATGTGGGATTTTTCGCTTGGCTGGCTATTTGCCATTCCGGTCCGGCCTCTCGAAGAAGACATCGGATGCGGAGACATCTTCGGTCAGGTGCTGGACTAATCCATTGACCGTGAAATCCGTTCGCGAAGGTCAGGAGGGGACGTGCCAAAACCGGAGAGTGAAAAGCAAATTTGGGGAACCTTGGGTCCCAGCCCAGCCATGCTCCAGTTTATACGCCTCGAGCCGGAGCTCTCGAGCGCAATTGAGATTGTCAAACGCCCCGTCAAGTGCCACCTGTCAGCATGTGAAGACAGAAATAAAGGGAGAAGAAACGCTAAAAATGGATAAGAGTGAATTATGAACAGGTGATGAGTAAATACTCTGCAAAAAAAATATTCATAAGAGAGTCATATTTTAATTTGTTCATGATTGAGCACAACCATATACAAACCATAGAAAAATCTTAAAGATTGGCCAAAAGATTGGTTTAAAATAATATAATAATAATAGTTGATACATTAAAAATATAATTTATATATTTTAATTGTTTGATTTTAATATATAAAATATAAGATTAATATTTAACACTGGTGATAATGGTAGTTATAAAGTGTTCTTTATAACTCATATTATTTATATTCTGGTTATTTCTTTATAAATTGACTTTGTTGTGAGCATTCAAACTCGTAATTACCCTCTGCAAGGGTAAGAAAATAGCCAAAAGCGGCTTAAACTGAATCCAATTGGAGCTTCGCCATGGCTTGACTCGGATCGGATGGGATCAGATTGGTTTGGTTTGCTTGGCGGCCAGTGGCAATGATTCAGCTCGAATAGTCGGGCATTTAAAGGCATATTCGAATGTTTGTTTGTTTGCTTGATTGTTTGTTGAGATGCGCCAAAACTAAAAACCAAAGCCGAAAGCCGAAAACCGACGACAAATCGATGGTCTTTGCAAATAACGGAACCCGCCTCAAAGCCCACTGTTTGAACTCATAGACTTATAGACTGGCCCAGTCGAAGGTCTCCCCCGAAGCTGTACTGGTATAAATATCATTATTTTCAGCTCTTCCGACATCAGACGCTCCACAGCCAAACATCCAACAAGATGGTAAGTAGTCGCCAAAGGATTACTAAAAAAGGATTACTCAAAAAGGATTACTAAAAAAAAGGATTACTAAAAAAGGATTACTAACAAAGGACAAGACAAATATGAACTAGAATACATATTTATCAAGATTACCGAGGGCATTACTTGAATATTACTTTTTATAAACTAACAAAAAATTAACAAATAGCCTTCTTTTAATTTTATTTCTTAAAATGTTTCGTCACAGTTAATAGAATTTTTTTAATTATAAAAAATCTGGCACTAATTCAGGAATTTTAATTTTTTAAGTATACATAAAATATGTATTAGTTGTGAAAACTTGAAAATCAAATGTCTAACTCAATATCCTTTTTTTTATGGCTAGTTTTTGAAAATTAAATGTCTAAACTTAATATCCTTTTTTATGGGTAGTTTGATAGACATCTAAGTTCTTTAACATTAAAATGCTATATAATTTACAATAGATTTGTTCTAGTTACAAAATCGTATTAAATTGAATTAATTCATTTCCCATCTCTTCAAGAAAACCTTCTGCCTGACCCTCGCCTTGTGCGCCTGCCTGGCGGCCGCGGATGTGTCCCACCTGCAGCCCAGCAGCAGCTACCTGCCTCCTGCTCGACCGGAGCACGCGGTGTCCATGAGCATCGAGCAGCAGGAGCTGCGTGAGCTGCCCGAGCAGGTGGAGTACATGCGTCCGAACGAACAGGGACAGATGGAGCCGATGCCCAGCAGCCTGCTCACTCCCCCCGCTCCCGTGGATCAGGAGGAGACCCTGCCCGCCACTCGCTACCTGCCACCTGCTCCAGTTGCAGCTCCAGCTCCCGCTCCCGAGGAAGCCGAACCGATGATGATGCCCCAGATGGAGATGGTGGCTCCCGAGGAAGCTCCCGTCATGGAGAAGCTCCAGCAGCAGCCGGAGCTGGCCAACCGCTATCTGCCGCCCGCCCAGGTTCCCGAGCAGCAGCTGACCTACCAGCAGTACCAGGAGCAGATGCAGATGCAGCAGATCCAGATGCAGGAGCAGCAGCAGGAGCAGCAGGAGCAGCCGCAGGAGCAGCAGCCACAGCAGTTCCAGGATCAGCCGGCGGAGGAGCAGCAGATGCCCTACATCCTGGATGTCCAGCAGCCAATGGCTCCCTCTGACTTGGAGACCCAGGAGCAACTGGAACCTGAGCCCGCCCACGAACTTCGTGCCGATGGCTATTACTACAAACAGGCCGAGGAGCAGCGTCGTCTGCGGCATTAGGTCATCCGAATATTGAGTCACCGCCTGACGTCATCCAGTCATCTGACCATGCTTCATCCGATTGTTGTTAAATGTTTAGCTTAGTTCTTAGAGACCCGATTAAATTTCGACTTTCAAGAGAATATGATTTTTATTCTTGATGGGTTTTAATTAGTCACGCAGCGGTTCGAGTAAAACAATAACATTCTTTATAAAAAGATTATACGGTCATCATTTTTGACAGATAACCGAATACTTCTCGGCGATAGGTTAATCAAGAAAAATAATAAACACCACATGATTGAATTTAGTAAATAAATAAATACTTTTTTTGCAACAATTAAATTATATAGAAATAGATTTTCAGAAAAGATGACTAACCTTTAATAAAATATACTCTCAATATCGATTAAAAAAGATTTGAAAATTTATTGAAACCACTTTAGATTTTAGCCAAACTATTATTTACTCAAAACATGTGCTTCTGACCCAACGAATACCCCACGAATCGATCCTCTGATCCTCATCTGTTCTACTCCGGAGCCTCCTCCTCGCCGCCCTCCTCCTCCTCGTTTTCGACGGTGGCTCCCTCGCGCAGCATCTCCACCTTGTGGATGCTGAAGTCGATGTTGTAGAAGGGCACGTTCAGGGTGACCACCACGCAGTAGAGGAGCACCTGGAGGTGGCGGGTGCGCAGCATGTAGGAGGCGCCCTGCTGCTTGGGGAACAGCGGATGGTCCTTCTCCTGGCAATCGTACATGAAGTACCCGCCATCGTGACCCGGACAGAATCCAATGGCCAGCGATCTCTTCCGCACGCTAACAATTCCGAACTGATAGTGGCTGAAGAAGTAGATCAGAGCCTCGGAGAGATTCATCCGGTTGAAGGTGGGCACGCGGTAGAGTTTTCCATAGCAGACGTGCTCGATGTGGACCACAAAGTTGATGGTGTCCATGGAGCAGTCGAGGTTGAGGTTCTCCAGCGAGAACTCGTAGTCCTCCTTGCTGATCTGATCGATGCTCTCCTTGAAGTAGTTGTTGCCACTCACCACGATGGTGTCCAGCAGGTGGGGACTCCAGTCCATCAACCGGTAGACACTGGCCGCACAGCAGGCCATCACATAGCAGGCCAGGTACTGGCGACCTCTCACATCGTCCGCGAAGACGGGAGCCTCCGGATGGAGGTTGCCCCACAGGGACCACAGCCGGCCCTCGATCTCGATGTCGAACTTCTTGACCTTGCTGATCGGCAGATTGCGATACTTGCCAGCCGTGTTCCTGCGGTTCAACCTGCTCCACACAGGCAAACAATTCTCGAGCTCCAGCCATCCGAGGGATTCGTTGGTGGCACAAATCTCGTACTCCGGTCGGCCGTACTGCTTGTTGCTGCACGTCATCGGGATCGAGAGGTCGGTGAGCAGTTGCAGGATCCTGGCATTCGGCGCCGCCTTCTTGTGCGACAGCACATCCACCACGAAGAACTTGTACATGTTCTTTTCCTTCCAATCCTTCGCTGCACTGCGCTCATCGATGTACTTGAGCACGGAATCCACATCGTAGAGGAGAACCCACGAGGCGGTGTTCCTTTCGGGCCAGCGCTTGGGTCCCTTGGGACAGCGCTTCTTCTTCTTCTTTCCTCCCTCCTCATCCCCACCATCTCCACCATCCGCATCATCGTCGTCCTCCTGCTCCTCACCGCCGCCGGGCTTCTCCATGCTGCCATAAGGATCGAACAGGTGGAAGAACTCGTCGTGATAAAGGGCATAGCTTCCGTTGGGCGTGAAGATGATCATGTACTTCCGCAGATTCAGCAGCTTGCCGAACTTCTTCTTGAAGATCATGAGACCCACCTCCGGAGAACCTTGTTTCTTCACCGGCGTCGGGGTCCACATGCCCGCAGCCTCGAAGCAACGGATCCAGATATCAAACTCGTAGTCGTCGATGGTCACGTGGCGAACAACGCGTTCGAACACCGATTCCAGTTCACAGACGCCGGCGGAAATGGTCTTGGCATTGTTGATAACCCGATCGATCCTGTAGGAATTCCACTGGTTCAGAGGACGAAGCGAGCAGCTAAGGATGGCCAGGGCCGAGGCGAAGTAGCAAGGCTTGATGGTCTTGAAGGATCCCTCGTCACGGCCCTCGAGTGCCACGCTGCCCTGGATCTTGAAGTTGCAGTCCTTCTCGCGCATCCTGTAGCCAAACATGATGGGGCGTGGCTTGTACGGGCGGCGGCGCTCCTTCTTCAGCTTCTTGCCGGGCTTGTGCTTCAGCTCCAGCTCCTCCTCGCCCTCGCCCTCCCCCCTCGCCCTCCTCCTCGCCGACCATGTCGTCCATCTCGTCGCCCTCCTCGCCTTCGGCCTCGTCGATGCCAATGTCACGGTACTCGGCTGAAAAGGGTAATAGAAAGGATTTATTAAATGAACTAATAAAAGCAATAATAATTTATAGAACAAAACTGTTTCATATGGAAATACTATAAATATTTATTCTCTGTTTTATAAACAACGAACCTACCTAACAGACACACAACACAAAAATAATTTTAACATGACAATTTTTTCTGTCTATACCTGTTGTTTCTTTTAAAAAGTTAATTTGTAATTGTATTACATTGTAGTTCCACAAAAAATATTAAAAAAAAATTAGCAGAATTTCTTAAATGATAAAAAACACTATTATTTAATTGGGTTTTCGGTTGTAATAAGGCAATTAAACACAGTTTTGACCTCCTTATGACCAAAGCTAACGAGCCCTATCACTTTTTAGACGATTAAAAAAAATGATTTTTGGACAATTTTTGCATTTTTTGTAAGGAGTAACATCACCATTTTTTTACGCGATATTAACAAACTTCAAAAATTTTAGGTGTGAATGCCATCGGATTTGAAATTTCATTACGAATTCAACAATGTATTTCATTCCATATTTGGAAGAGTACTTTCCTCAGATATTCAAAAAAACTAGGATTTTTAAGTTTACATATAATATTATATTTAACATAGTCCCCTAACAATTTCTGCAGAGAACAAGTTCAAACCCATAAACCCGTAATATAAAAGGTAATATAAAAACACTTTGTGAACCTCATTAGTGAGTTTATATTATATTAATCTGAGAGAATACTCACGTTTGATTCCCGCCTTCCTGTCCATGTGCTCCTGCTTGGCCTTGAGGAACATCTGGATGCGTTCGTTCTCCTTCTTGAGTTCCTCATCGATGAAGCGCATCTTCTCCAGTCGCTGCTCCTTCAGCTTCTTCTGTCTCGCCGTCTCCTGTTTGACTTCATTATCGTCATCGGCCTTGCCCCAAGCTCTGAATCTGCCGTGAATGTTATTGTCCACCATTTGGATGCAGGCCACGATGAAGTTCATCACCGAACAGCCCTGGGGATTGCAGCCGAACTCGATGCGCTTGATCAGGGCGTCCAGTTCCACAAAGCGAAGGAGGCAAGCAGGGCCAGATCCTCCTTTTCGATAGCCGATGGCATTGCAGGGGAAGCCAATGAACATGTACACGAAGTTGTAGCGCTTGAAGATCACGCAGGAGAAGCGCTGGCAGACGAGCAGCAACCTGTTGTTGTCCACCAGGAGATCCACCAAAACCTGTCGCAGGGGCACCATAACCGAGGACTTGACCACCTTCTTGACTTCCAAGCTAAAGTTGCTCTCGCCAATGGAAATATCCGGCAGTTTCTTGGCCAAAAGACAGGCCAATATGTATTCGTAGTTCTGATAATCATCTCCAAAGCTGTTGGCCGATTCCAAGGAGAACTCAATGAGATCGGCATTCCAAGTGGATAGCTTGTACTTGGAGGAAACTGCCATGGCCACCAAGCCAGCGAGCAGACCTCCCAGCTTGGCCATCTCCTCATCCAAAAGAGGCAGTTGCGTGGTGCCCATTAGGATCCAAGAGCCATCTGGCAGAGCCTTGAAGTTACTCTTGAGAGCCACCTCCTCCTCCACGGTGAGGACCCTCTTGAGATCCTCCTCTTCCTCCTGGCCGAGTTCGTAGCCCCGTTTGATCTTCAGTCTCAGGGCCTTCAGATTCTCCTGATCCGTTCGAAGAAGAACCTTCTGGGCAGGCTTGTAGAGCTGTGGTCTCTTCGGCTGCGGTTCCGGCAGCTCCTTAATAATACTATTAATAATCATGTTGATCAGATCATCGACCATCTCCGCTTCATCGACGGTGGGGAATCGCTCCTCCTCCGGAATACTCTCGATACTCTTCTTCTGTTTTAACTCTGGAAGCGGCGGTTCATCCGTGAAGGTAGGTAGACCCATTTGCAGGCCGGGGAACTTATTAGTTTGTGGGGTCATCACCTGCAAGGGTCTTATGCAACCCGTTCGAATGCCGTGGATGAAGAACTTGCCACCTCGTCGCATCTTCAAGGCGTTCATGTACAGAACTCTAACAAAAGAGTCGAAGGTGGCGTGCAATTGCAGCACAGCCAAGCCCTTGATGGTATAATCATCGGGATCCACCACCAAACCAGTTCGATTCCTCCTGAACGGATCGAAGACATAGAAGAACTCCCTGTCTCGCCACAAACCCAGTACGGAATTGTCGATCTGGAGCAAAGCCGATGGCCACTGAGGCATGTTGAACAACTGATGAAGAGCCATCGTGAGCTGGGATTCCAAGTAGTTCTTGCAGTCCGCCACATGCCCGTTAATCATAAAGGGATACTTGCGAACCGTGGCCTTAAAAGCACCCATGAGGAACATTTCCGGCAGGTCCACCACATTCAAATGGGGCTTCTTGTTCTTCCAACGCTTTCCGTCCAAACGGAACTTCTTGCGAAGGGTTTTGTAATAGGCCACGCCATACCTGATGACATCGTCCACGGTGCCCGGTTTCCACAACTTGGCCAGTTCGAATTCCGAGTAAATCAGGGCTATCAAGGAGACAACCAACGAGGCATTCTTCTCGTTTCCGGAAATCGGCTGATGAATGCCACCAGTTCCCGCAGTTTTCACGGCAAAGTTCTCATTTACCACCGCCCAGAGTTTGTGGTACTCCTCATCTGGCCCCGCTTTGATGGGGGGTTCCTTCAGTTTTCCATACTGCGTCAAAGCTATCTCAAAGATATTGAACTCATCCTGGGGCTGCAGGTCACTGAACTTGGTAATCAAATGCACCAAATGCTCTGTATATCGGGTGGCCATCAACGAGCACTTTCCCTCCTCGAAGTCCCGCTCGCAGTTTTCATCCCGACCATTGGGATCGAAGATATAGTACGAGTTCAAGCAGCGTTTCCAGATCAGCAGGAAGAGATCTCGGGATGTGAAAATGCAGGCATTGTACTTAGAGAAGAACAGAGCCAGAGCCTTGTACATATTTGGTTCGTTTTTCAAGAGTCCGGAAAAGTGGATCTTGATCTCCACAGCTGCATCGCGTTCTACTACCTGTTCAATTATGTCAAAATCGTTCGTTTCCGATTTGTAATTTAACTTGGCGCTCTTCTTAGTTAACTTCACACCGCGCTTCAGAATATTATCCATTGTACCGGCTGTCCAGAAATCGGGATTCAAACGAAAGCTCTCCACGAAGGCTATTATAATAGCCCCAATCTCACTGGGGCGGTTATAGTATCTGTATTTTAGGAACAAGCACTATAGTTTTTAACAAATTCTTTGGAAACTAAACATTTTATATATATGTATTTAAAATATTTGATTTTAGAGAGATGTTTCTTATTTTACTATACTTACTGCAATCGGTAGGATTCCATCTTCGGTTCGGGATAAATATTTCGATTTCCAAACACAATCTCCGCGGTGAAAGTCTTATCCAACTGCTGCGGTATGTTATAGAGTGTAAGTTCTCCGTCGTTTTCTGCGATGTTTCGATGAAGCTAGATTAGAATGGCCAATCTTCTGATGAAAGGGAAAATCCCCTAGTTAAGTACCCACCATATTTTGGCAGGGAGGCGGCGATGAAGTCCTCATCCAACTCTCGTTCGCGATTCTGGTAGCCCACATTCCAGGTCCACAGGTCCTGCGGACTACAGCCCTCTATGATGTCGAAGGTCTTGATGTTCTCGCCTTCTAAGCCCTCTTGCAGGACACGCGGGTTGTAGGACGGGAAGGGCAGTTGCTCCAGGGGACCCACTTCAGTCTCGTTCAAGTAGATGCGACTCTTGGGACGCTTTAACTCCAACTATTAGGCAGGGAAAGTTATACCATTAGTTAATGAGGAACTTACTTAGGAATTCAAGAGGATTAAAGGGTAAAGCAATGCAAAGATAAGCAAATCCTTTCTCTTATAAAATCACAATAAAATATAACAATTACTTATCTCTGCATGGCTATGCAGTTAAAAAAAAAATGAAAGGCATTTAAGTAAAAAAACAGTTGTTAATGCATAATTTAACAGCCTTTTTTCCCCAGCGATTGGGGTCAATAAAAGGCTTATGTAGTTGAACCCGAATAAAGTTAGGATATACCGGCCAACTGAATAATTGAGAAACCCAATAGTCTTGTCTGGCGATTGGGTAACATATGGCCAGTTATCGGCGCTGGGCTCTGTGCAAGCTCTGTGCTTTCACTCGGCGACTCTGTTTTCCTGGCCATGGCCATAAGCTTTTAATGCGGCTGAAAATAGCACGCATACGCCACCGATGCCCGCCGCCCCGTATATAGGAGGCGTTTGTGTGTTTTTCGTCTTGGTCTTGGTTTGGTATCGTATCGTATCGTATCGTACTGTACGGCATGTACTGGGAGGCCTGTTTCGCCGCCGTCTTGTGTTTTTTTTCTTCCTCTTATTTCTGTATTTTTCTGCGCTCATCAAGAAGTTAGTAAGCGGCATAAGGTAAGCACGAAATGCCAACTAGACTGACTATAACGACCTGATGTCGCCGCGCTATACGAGGTGGTATATGGCACACCGTGTGCATGGGTACCCAGCGGGAAAGTGGGAAGTAGGTTTTTTTGTCCTGAAAAAACCAGTGGAAAACCTACTGCTTTTGGCAGGCGTAGGGGTAGGGATAGATGAAAACCTACTTCTTTTGGCAGGCGTTGGGAAGGGGTAAATAATTTCGGACCGCTAAATGGGGTGGGTTTCTGAATATGACCATAAGTTACAACGAAGTTGTGACTAATTATTGTCTTTCTTCAGAATATGCACGGTCACATCAGTATAAAATGTCGTGCAAAATGTGTCAAAAGTGAAAAAAAGTTAAGTTTATTCTAAAAAACAAGATAAAGGTAAGTTATAACATAAATATTTTTGTTTGTATATCCTTATTTCAGCGTTACGGATATGGTGAACATAAGCATTTTTACGAAAACTAAATATTAGCCGCCAGAGGCGGTTGTCAAGTAAGTAAGTAAGTTTTTTATTTAAATTTATTTTTCAATTTCACAAGAACAAACAAATGTTTATTTTCATAAAATTTGTAATAGATTCGACATCAAAGATTCTGGCCCATATGTCAATATTAATGGCAAATCTGAACGTGCGCAAGCGGGGATTTCCGATTTCATTATTTGAAGAACTCGGCCATTTGGACTCCGATGCCGAAGCCAATCCAGAAGCATTTGTAAGTACAGTCCTGTGTCCCCATGCTTTTTACTATGTTTATTACTTATTTTTCTAAATTTCTCTATTTTTTCCATTACTTTTTATATATTTATTATTTGTATTAATATGTAATATATTAATGTATTATGGTTTTTATTTTCAGAGTCACTCAGAAACGACATATCAAGATGATCTGCGTTCACCGTTCACTAAGGCAAAAAATAAAACATACAACAATACTTTTGTCATAAAGCCCTTGGACTGTAAATAGATTAATAAATGCATATACCAATTTAAAAAGTATTCTTTTTTATTGCTGTTTTGCATGTGGAAATTCTGAAAAGCGGGAAGGCCAAAAACCAGTGGATTTTGTCCTGCGTTAGGCAGCAGGATTTCCACTGGTTTTTTCAGTACAAAAACCAGTGGATTTCCACTGGTTTTTTCAGGACAAAAACCAGTGGATTTTGCCCTGCTTTCGGCAGCTGTAGATCCAGTGGATTTTGCCCTGCTTTCGGCAGCTGTAGATCCAGTGGATTTTGTCCTGCTTTGAGCAGCTGTAGATCCACTGGAAAACCTCCTCTACCCCTGCCTTTTGTGTGTCACCCCCGTGGAGTTGGCAAGGAGAGAAGGGAGCAAAGGAAGGGGTAGAGCAGGTTTTCCACACATTTCTTGTATGAAGAAAGCAGAGGAAAGAAGCATATTTTCCACAGGTTTTTCCCGCTGGGTATGGGTATGGGTTCGGGGTGCGTCCGTATGGGTGAGTGTGCCTCTATGGCTGGCTGGCCACGATGACGGCCACCAAACAAAACAGAGGCGTCCCATGCACAGAGCAGTAAACAACGAACAGCGCTTAGTGCCACATCACGGAATCTTATCGCTCTCGTTCGACCAAAAACCAAACTGAAAGCCGACCAGCCCGAGACCAGAAACCCGGACCCCCGAGCAAATACGAAGCTAACTCGGCTGCAGAACAAACAAGTCATCTAGTAGCGTGCTGCAGCAACAACAACAACAACACAAACAACAACAAGAAGAGCAACAACAACTACAGCAACACAATTCGAGACATATAGTACCAGCGGACCAGGTGAACCAGGTGAGCAGCGCTGTATCGCGCAGTTATGGCATACGACCACGTCAATACCAATACAAATACCAATGCAAAGGCGCAGTTGCCAACAGCACAAGTCGGTTCCACTACGCAACCCCCTCGAAAATAGGCGCGTTGGCAAAATGTCAAGCTGGGTAGGGTTACGATGGACCTCAGGGGGGCTCTCTCCACAAGGGGGAATTGCAGAGAGATCTTGCCGAAGACAGGTGTACTGAGCTGTCCAATGAACTTTAACATGTATGTACATATATATAGGTAAATTCCTTTTAGGCGTTATGCTGTGAAAGCGTGTTGAGGATGTAATTATATGGCAAGATACCTACACTTATATTTTTAACAAACTTAAGTATTCTTATTTTAGTAAGATATCAATATCCTTAACAAGCAATATTATTTAATTTAAGTAGTTTCCCCTTTTTTTAAGAAAATAAAAAACAGAAACATAGACAGGCCTTTAAGAAAAACTAATCAATCTAAAGGCAGCTGTTTGCCTCAAAGATGCTGAGGCTGCAAAAACAATCTCGGTGATGACTTTGAATTCGAATTAAAATTGGTATTTGCCAGGTGCAGCCGCCCAACGAAACGTGTGTGGATACCGAAACACAGATGCCAAGCCAAAGTGCACAGCCAATAAACTACGGCAGGCGGCGCATGTGAGAAAAAAAGGAATGGCTCCAAAAATTGAGACGTTCTTATCGAAAAGGGGTCCTTTAGGTTTTTAATACACTAAATTTCGAACCAAGACTGAACTTTGAAATAAATACTGAATTTTTATTTTTATGGCACAAGTTAACCTCAGTGATCTTAAATGAATCTAAATTGCTTTATGTCTATTGATAAAACACACTAGCTAGGAATGCCCATTAAACATTAAAACGCCTTTATATCACTTTAAGTGGCAAACGAATCGTTCAAAGAGTAGACAGGTTCTTATCTCTAAGAAGTTAATTAGGCGAGATAAAGAGAGGTTTCTGAAGAGAAGCAATTGCATAGGAATCGTATTTTAATCGTTAGCCCGGCCTATAGCCTTTCCACCCCCTTCTCTTCGGCCCACGCCCCCTAACAACAACAATCGAGACATAACAAACATACGCGGCAAAACGTTAACGCAAGTGAAACAAAAGCGAAGCGACTGCAGCCACATTGCTTTTGCATATGCACAATGCACAGTGCACTAGACCAACAACGAACACAGCTTGGGTCATAAGCATAGGAACACATGCAGTTTTCTTAGGTTATTAATTTATACGAGTGGTTTAATATTTTTATTTATTATGTAAGAATACAAATAAAATACTTTTTTTTAATCATTGAAGGGAATACTTTTATGTTTTCGATTTAGCAATTCTATACAAAAGTTAAATCCATTCTTAATGGAACTATTGATCTGGTAAATGGTACTAGTTCAATGTCATCTAAAGTGATTTCCCTCACAAGTTCTGTTGCTTTTATGTACCCATGGGTAGAAATGGTTCTTATCTGCTCATTTCTCACCAACCCAAGATCAGCAATCAGTTGAACTAAGACCTTTGTTAAGTGGTTAAACTTTCGTCTGCTTTGACGGAGCATATCGTTTCAGTGGTTTTCATTTTAGTTCAAACCACTAGTATTTTGTCGACCACTGTGCGACAGTAACAGCTGCAAGTGTCGTTTGTGTTGCTACAACAACAAACACCACGCAAAAGGGACTGGCTGAGCATAGTGAACCGTTTTTATTTCATACGGAGCGCGCGAAGAGCTCACACACATACGCGCAGGCACGGACACAGACACACGAGGCGGAACCGAAAAGCAGGGCAAGTGCTATTACTCAGTAATTGTTAAAATGTCAGACCAGCAACAACAAAAGCTTATATAGAGGCAATGCGAATTTGAGAACGTGCCGTGCCAACACTCATAAAAGTGACTAATAACAATTTGCTATTTGCATGGGCAGTATTAATAACGCTTTTATTTCTGTTTTATTGCGATTTCTATGTGGCAGCTTCAAAGGAGTCACACACACGCGCACACCCACGTGCTATCTCTTTCTGACGCATGATCTTTGGGGCCATTCAACAACAAAAGCGCAGTTGACTGAGCGAAAAAGCTGCTGCGCAGTTTGGGGAAAAATAAGAAAGAGAGGACAAGGAGAAAGGAGGAGCAAATAAATAGTAAACGTTCAGTTAAAAATACTATCTAAATGGCAGCTATTGCGGCATTACCAACGGCGACGCTGCGCCGCAACAATAACAACAAAGGGGTAAGTTGACCCAAGGGGAAGCCAGATATGTTAACTTGGCCTTTAAGCGGCCCGCTGAGGGTGGATTTTACAACTTACCTCAAGTGAGCACGCGGCCGTCAGACACGTTGGAAATGTATTGTATGTACACACTTCCATACATACAAACACGTCCATGTATAGCGTATTAAATATGTATTTACCCTTGAGCCTTGAAGGTCAAGGATTTCTATATACAGTTCTTTGGTATGATCCCTTTGTCAAAAGGATGTTTTTATACCCTCTCAGACTTTTTGAGATACTATAATAGATAGTAAAATAAAATATGAATTTTTAATTGTTTAATTTGTAATCATATTTTACTCTTATTTTATCGTAGATCAAATCTCGTCGCAATGAACGTAACATCTTAACTTTCTACGAGAAGATTGCGGTGATTCGATACTATGAGGAAACCAATATCTCCAGAAACAGCCTGGCCAAGATGTTCCACTGCTGTGCCACACAAATACGACGCATCCTGGACAAGAAAAAGGACCTGCTCCAACAGTTGGCCAGCTTGAGCGAAGCGGATGCCTCTATTATAATCGAGGAGATGACGCGCAAGCGCCGAAAGTTCGAAATGAGTGCCATTAGTTTCCTACTTCACGAATGGGTAGAAAGATGCAACAAACTCCACTTGAACATAAGCATAAAGAACCAAAAACTAAAGGAAACTGCCCTGAGGATGGCTGCGGTCTTAAACCTGCCTTCCTTCAGACCCTCCTATCGCTGGCTAAACCGGTTTCGTGGAAAGTACAAGTACGAAGCGGACGAGTTGGGCTACCAAGGCGACAGTCCTTTGAATCAGGATCTCCCTGTAGAAGATATAATTGTTGAATTCAAGCATGCCCTGCCCAACTTCATGCAAAAGGAACTGGCTAATCCAACTGAAGGCGCTAACAAAGATCTGCTCAAAGCCGACTTTGTTAATCTCTCTAGTGAGAATAGTCTGATGTCCGATCACCTTGAGGATAACGATGAAGTGGAACTGGTCACCTGTGAGCCTACAATGATACCTTCACTAGCCAGCACTCCAGAAAAGGAAGCAGAAGTGGTGGATCTCTCACCACAACCGGAGAGCTTGGATGACCAGATGAATGCAGGCACCACCACTCTGCTGAATGGAGTGTTCCCCCACCTGGCCATTATTCATCAGTTCGCCTTGATGAACTCTGACGTTCAGGCTCTGGAACTGATTTCCCAGCTGGGTGTGCATATGCAACAGCAGGCTGTTTCCGGAGCTTATCACACCCTCTCGCTGGCGAGCGGAGATGGTCAAACGGATCCGGTAACTAGCTCTCTTTCGGATTTGCCAGGCAGCATCTTAGCGGACATCGATGACATCGAGTTAATCGAGTAAAAGTCTTTAAATACTTACATAAACTAAGCTAGCCTATACTTCAATGCCATATTATAGTCCTACATAATTTATGAAACAAGAACAAAGTTTTACTGAAATTCATAAAGAATCTTTCATTTTCACTTTCTAAATCATTAATATAAAATCGGATTAAATCAAAATTGATTTCTGTTATGTATAAAAGTACTTAATAAAATCCTATAATTCAGCAAAGCTATTAACTGGCTTTTTAGTTGAAGCACATTTTAATGAGAGCATACTTTTTAATTAGAATTTAAGGTTGATCATTCTAATGATTACCGTTTTTTCGATCAAAAAAGTTAAATATATATTCAAAATGTATTTAAAGTTTCGTTAATATTTATTTTAATGTCTTTTCACTCACCATGCGCTTGTCAGGAATGATGATCATGTCAGAGCTGCACTCAGGAGTTGCCAGTTGTGGCTTGACCTCCCCCTCCTCTTCTTCTTCGCCCTCTTCGGCCTGTTCCTCCTCCTCGCCCATGTCCATTGGACTGTTGAGGACGACCAAATCCTTGGGGCATGTTCTGTCCAACCTGGCATCGTGCTCGACCAGGCCAAAATCCTTGCGAGCGAGCAGCAGCCGCTCCCGCATCTCGGCATGGGTTTTTAGCTCTTGAGGAGTGCGTTGCGGTATGATGCACATGGTGTGCTCATCGTAGAGGGCACACCATTTTTTGAAAGGTTTAATAAAGCGCGACTCCTCGGCCTTCTGGTGGATCCGACGCAACTCATCCTCGATGGTCAGCACTTGGGAGATCGTGGAGTTGGGCGGCTTCTTTTGGCAGACGCGATCACGGGGCGGGCAGTTCTCTGCCTTCCACTCCGGCGACGTTTCGTTGCCCAGATAGGTTCGCACCTCGTAGGGATTGGCCGAGGGGCTGCATTCCGCGTTCACTTCCACGAATTTTTTCAACATTTTGCAAAATACTAACGATTTTGCACGGGTCGGGGAATAAAACTAGTAATTTTGTTGCACGACACGCTCGTTATGTTTTAAATAAGGTTTACAAGTGAGGGGATTTAGCTTAGATGTTAAAGTAAAGGCTTCCTATGTATGAACAAAAATAAGTCAAAATATTTTGGGACTCTTTCAAATTTAAATATCCCGCGTAATGTAATCCGTTCACAATAGACCGCTAAGTTCTAGGTGACTATTTCGGCTTTCCAGCAAACGGGCACACTCGCCACAAAAACAACAATCAGCGCTCGATGCAGAATTAAACAAAGAGTAATTTTTGTTTTTGGGCCTCACAACGGGCTAACAACTATCAAGATGTGGATACAGCCCAAGGAGCTGCTTTTGCCCTCGGCATTTTGGTGAGTTTTCCTTTAAATCCTTCGCCAAATCGAAGAAATGCCGAAAATCTAAATTAAACATTCCTGCATGAGTGTGTGTGGGCGAGATGGATGGCATGTGTATATGCAATGTTGTGTTTATGGAAGGTGTCTCATGGAAAGCCTTAATCACGAAGTGCATTCCAAACCGGGGCCCCCCCTATCGCGTATTTGGAGAACGCATAAACCGACGTATTTGCAGTTAGTTTAATTGCATTTGTTGATAACTAATTGAGCCGAGTTCAAGACTCCAACTCTTCGGATCGTTGGCTCTGATTTCGCAACGCAAAAGGGGGCAGCTGTGCAAATTGATTTCCAACTGTTTCCTGCTGCGTAAAAGAAATAAACCCCCGCCCCCTCCCCAGAATAAAATAAAACCTTTTGAAACCGATTATAAACCCATCGTAAACCCGTCCCACCCACAGGATTGCCGAGATGCACTCGAGATACTTCGTCCTGCAGAAACGACGTAGTCATGGCGAATCCCGGGGCTTTGGATCCATATTGGTTGGAACCTACGACAGCATGATGAACACTAAACCGGCTCCATACCGCATTCTCCACCAGACGCCCTCGTCGGAAGTGTCTTACGGTAGGTTCTATAACTCGGGCTCATCCGCCTTATCAGTTTCAGCTCCTTTGGTCTATGCCCATTAATCTCTGACCATGAATCATCGCGGTTTCGCCTTGCTTTTATGGGAGTATGCCAATATTTCTTCCATCTACGTTTCCCTCACAGCTCTTACGTAAACACCAAACGAGGCTGATTACAAAAGCTAAAGAGGCTGGCTCATTTCTTTTGTTATTTAATTCAAGAAGTATTGAGAATAAAAGTCTATTGATGAAGCTAAGTACACAAAATGCTTCAAAGCGCAAATAAAGTAAAATCACAACAGATTAATGTTTTATCAAAACAATGTGTTTTGCAATCTTTCCCTAATTGTTATTTAGTTGGCCTAACATATTATGATTTGTTATTCCATATGGAATTAAGGGGGATTTTGCAATTAAAACGTACCCTTAGGAGATTATTAATATTATTTAACTTTCACAGAAATCGCAATAGGCATCACCCAGGATGAAATTGTCAAGGATTGGGAATGGCTTCAGACAAATCTGTTTAAAGTGCTCGACGAGATGGAGAACGAGGACGAGGTGACAAACTTCACCATATGCAAAATTCAGTCGCTCTACACTCAAAACAATCAAGATGACACCGGCGAGTCTGCTGATTTCAAGGTGATGACTTCACAATTCAGGCAGATTTTCAAAATGCCTGAGGAAGAGCAACTGGTTAACTCCTACTCGGCAACGTAAGCATGAATACGCTTCTTGAATTGGGGGTCCTTACTTATTTAATATTTGATTCTAGATACGTGAAAAACAAAATCCCGAGACAGGGACAGCTCTACATCTCAATGAACCACGTGTGTTTTTACTCCTATATGCTGGGCCAGGAGATAAAGCGTATTATTCGCTTTGCAGAGCTGGAGGACATCAGCCGAAATGCAAACACAATTTATCTGAAGACCACTAACAACATGACATACAACTTTACAATGCTCTTCAACGCCAGCGAGGCGCATCTACTGATCGAGCAGCTCAATAAAATGGCAATTCAGCAACTAATCCACGATCCCGATAGCCCTGTGGTTGATCACGATCCCTCGAATTTCGCAAGGTTGGGAAAAAAAACATCGAAGAAGCCCGTGCTGTTGCGCGATTTGACAGCTCGCCAGAAATCCGAAGAGTTTCGAATTTATTTCCGACTGCCGCAATCGGAGATAATTGATGGGAAGATAAAGGCGAATATCTGGACACCTTACTCGAAGCGATTTAATTCTGGCTTTATCTATCTGTCGCCGAATTTCCTTTGCTTTCGTAGCGATGTCAAGGATTTGGTCAGCGTGGTGATACCCATGAAGACAATTAAGGTCAGTCAAAGGAATTAATACTTTTTAGGCATCCCTTTAAATTTTAAAAATTCTTTTAGAGTGTGGAAAAGAAGGATGATGGCCAACAACGGTTTGAAAACCAAATTGTAATTATTACATCAGAGAATGTGCCTTTCATGTTTGCTCATATCGTGGACAGAGATGTACTGATCTCCAAGATTACAGATCTACTCGCAAGGATCCATGTGTGAGTAAAAATTATGATACAAAATTTAAATGATTTATTAAGTTCTCACACCTTTAAATTATTTCAGCCCTGTGAGTCGCGAGCGGGCCAAATACGACATCTCGTGGAGCAAACAGACCGCTTTGATGAACACATACAAGACTCAGTTCAGTTCAGAGATTGTGCAAAAACAAGAAGAGAAGATGTTGCGTTGGGAAGCACATTTTCGTGACTTTGGTCGAGGCATTGGAATGTTCCGCACCACGGACGTGATAAATCTGATTGTGGAGGGGATTCCCGATAAACTGCGCCAGGAGATCTGGCTGATCTTTTCGGGGGCGATTCACGACAAAGAGATGAATCCGGGACTTTACGAGGATCTGGTTGAGAAGGCAGCCTGCATTAAAAACTGCTTTGCCCATGACGAAATCGATCGGGATTTGCCGCGTTCGCTACCGGAGCATCCGGCATTCCAGAGTACCGATGGTATTGGAGCACTGAGAAGAGTTCTGCAGGCCTATGCGCTGCGCAATCCGCAGGTGGGTTACTGCCAGGCCATGAACATCGTGTCGTCGGTGTTCCTGCTGTTCTGCGATGAGGAGAACGCCTTCTGGATGTTGGCCAGCCTGTGCGAGAACCTACTGCCGGACTACTACAAGGATAAGGTTGTGGGTGCCCAGATTGATCAGGGTGTTCTCAACGAGTTGGTGGAGACGCATCTGGCCGACTTGCACGGCCACCTCGAGCAGTTGGGAGTAATCAAAATGATCTCCATATCCTGGTTCCTTACCATCTTCATGAGCGTTATCAGCTATGAAAGTTCGCTGCACATCCTTGACTGCTTCTTCTACGAGGGCGCCAAGATCATTTTCATGATCTCGCTGCAGATTATCGAGTGGAATAGGGATAAGCTGCTGCAATGCCAAGATGATGGCGAAGCCATGTTGGTATTGCAGAACTACCTGGAGGGTATCTACAACCCGGAGTACCAGGTTCCTCCAACGACAGACAAGCGGAAGATGGAGCGCAAAACCCAAACGCAAACCGTTCAAACTTTGATCCACGAGGCGTACACCAAGTTCGGCGAGGAGATCACCCAGCAGCGCATCGAGGAGCTCCGCAACAAGCACCGCCGATTGACTATGCGGCAGTTTGACATTGACAACGAGAAGACCATTGTGAAGGCCTACGTCCAGAATCCGTATTTCAGCCGAAATGAACTCCACATGTTGCTCACCATCATTCGGGAGGAGAAGCACGCTCTGAAATCCTTGCAACAGCAGCAGCAGAAAGTTCAGTGTCCGCTTTCCGAGACGCCGCAGCTGGTTCCGCAGTCACCAAGTCGTCCGGCCCAGGACTCGAGCACCTTTGGAGGCCGATACGAAGCCTATAGTGTCAACTATGAGGTGTTTCATACTCTTTTTACGGAGCTCACACCCTGGCGCAAGTGCGTCAGCGTGGATATCGGAGAAAAGTTGTTTAGGGTAAGTTATTTTGAATTGTATTATTTCGAATACTGTGTAAAGTGTTCTTTTGTTCTTTTAGCTTACCGACAAGCGAGGTACTGGTTTTCTAGACTTTGGGCAGCTTATAAATGCGCTGGGTCTTGTTTGCTCCACCAAGAGTATGGAGAAATTGAAGCTGCTGTTTGTGCTGCACCTGCCTCCTCTTTTGTCCAAAGCGGAGATCGAACGATCTCGTCGACCACGTCCGCGCACTAAAGACGATGCCGAGGAGGCCTTTGAGGCAGAGGATTTCTTCGAGTAAGTTATAAAATCAGATTGCAATGTACTTGGATTATAAAATCAACACCAAATTCCTTCTGTAGCAATGACGCCTCTGAGTCGATGGAGGCGCTGCCCTCGCCTTCGGATCACAACTTTGATGCTGACGACTTTGCCCTGATTAGTGCCACCCAGCACCTGCACAATCTGGCCGGAATCTCGGGCAACACGTTCATGGACCTGTCGCGTACACCCAATCTCTCGCTGAACTCCAACACCTCTTCGTTGGCGCAGCGCAGCTCGACCTTCTACGTGGACCTGCCGGGACTCCAGGGTACTGCAACCTCCACTGATGCTGGGCGGGACGAAGACGAGGCCCCGAGAGGGTTACGCCAGCAGGGCCGTTTCGAATCGATTGACACATTTTCGGATATTTCAGATCTGGGAGCGGCTCGCATGACGCCGCCCGGAGCTGGAATGGGAGCGGATATGGCAGCCGGCGCAGCCTCGGCTGCGGCCGCCGATCAAATGCTTCTGAATGTCGAGACTATATCGAATTTCTCACAGATCAGCGACCTGGTTGCGGCCACGCGACAAGAGCGCGCCGACTCGACTGCCACGGACTCGCGGAGTCTGGGCAGTCTCGGTTATTTGCTGGACCAGCCGGACGAGGGGGCGTCTGGTTCGCAACACAGCATTCCGCACATGCGTAAGGAGAATTTCCAGCTGCTGTGGCGCAGCATAATCGAGATCATGGGACTGGTGCAGGATGAAGAGATGCAAAGGGCTTGTAAGTAAAAGCCTTTTGGAAGAAAGAGTGTGTGTTTAACGTTGTTTTCCCTTTTAAGTTGAGAATCTCTTGGAGATGGGCAACAGCAACATCAAGAAGGAGCCCAGTCTGGAGAGCTTTACTCAGCTGAACTTGGGTGGCAGCGGGGATGAGGTAAGCTCGGGTTTATCTTTTTAAAGATTTTCAATAACAAATGATCCGAATCTCTCCCCAGCAACCGGATAGTAATGGTAATCCTACCACTCCCGCAGCAGAGCCCATCGGCACAACCAGGCTTTTTGTGGCTCTCGAGGAGGAACTGCGACAGGCGAGCGGCAAGGCCAAGGCCACGACGAGCAGTGGTGAGAGCAGCAGCAGCAGCACAAACACCTCCGAGTCCTGGCACATTTCCATCAGTCAGTTTATCGCCACGGTACTGACCGTCAATAGCGTTGTTAGAGGTTTCCAAACACCCATCCAGATTAGCGAGCAGATCGAGCAACTGCAAAAGAAGCGACGCAAGTGTTTGTCCACCAATTACTGAATAACCATAGTCCCCATCCTATCCCCCACCCAATTCCTAGCCACAATAATGTATTAGCCATATATGGAGCCCAACCGATCCTTCATCCTTGTGCAATGCGGCAAGCTTTTAATCGTATCCATGTTTTATGTATGTATATTGTATTGCCTCTACAGTTAAGTTAAGACAATTGTTTGTGAATATAATTCTATTATTCCTATTATACAACGCAGTCATATATAAAAAACAATGGATACGGGTTTTCTGTACATATTTTATGTACTTTTATGGTTGTTGAAAAAGGACAAGTTATGAGAAATTTATGTTTGAAACCCGAATGTTAAAAATCGATTAGATTTGATAAATTCAGAAGTTTTTCAAAACACAAAAATTGCTATAAAAAGCGCGGGCACCACTAACTTTGAATTGCCGATCAATTACTTATATCCATAGAAGCAATATGATAACCATTCTTTCAAATACTCCATTACTCTTCCATTGCCACCTGCTGGGAATTCCGCCTGTTTGCCGACGCATGTTGACGCTCATGTTCCGCCGTTCGCACCAAACACTCCTCATATGTCCACTTGGGGAAGACGCGCTTGTACAGGTACATAAAAGCGGTGTCATAGGACCGCAGCTGGCCATCAAAGTAGCACTTCATATGTCCGTGCGTGCCCAGCGACTCCTTGATGTGTCCCATGCGACCACACTTGGTCCTTAGTTTCACTGGCTTGAAGTACTCCACATCCTCTTTGTAGAAGAACATGTACCGAATCGTAGCCGACTTGCGATTAATCCGCATGGGATGACCGCTGAGAACAACGCGCTTGAGAACAATGCGATCTGGATTGCAAGAGAGCAGGCGTCCGCGGGCCACCAGTGCTAACGTGGAGTCAGGATTCACTTTGAACGCCAACACTGCTGCCGGAGGGAACTGAATGGGAGCGTAAAATGTGGCACAGACGGTCTCGTACGGACGGAAATAGCGCTCGAACTGAAAAATAGTTGGAATTTAATTAAATAAATCCACGGAATGGGCAGAATATCCTTACCTTATGCTTATCCCCGTTGGTGTGTTGGCTGTAAATAGGATTCACCACAAAGCGACGATAACCGCACTGGATGATCAACTGCTCCTTAGACTTGAGCGGCACCTCGGAGTCAGGCATTCGCTGCAGGACTACATTCATAACGCACATTTGGTGCTCATGTGGAAGCATTCCGTATACAATAATGTTGTCCGTAAGCTGAGCGGACTTGAAGGCGTTCCAACGGCTTTCAGGCACATTGATGACATGAAGCGTGACATAGAAACCAGGCTAGAAACAGAAGTTGTTAGGCTTATAAAATTAACTTCTCTCCTCAAGAACCTTACCAGCACACCCTCGAACTCCTTGGCTTCGCTCAGAATCCTTCGCTTGGTGCGGTCGAAATTCTGGAACTGGTAGATGCGCGCATAGTCAGCGGGCAGATTCTCCTTGGCATCCCAGGGCGATGTCCTGAAGGACTCCAAACCTCGGTATTTTTGGAACCTCTCGTGGGCGGGCACATCCAAAGGCGTGTCGATTTCATCCGGCCACAGTTGATCCGTGCGAGCCTGCTGAAGTTTCTTGAGGGTCTCGCGCTCCTCCTGGAAATCCATCTGCTGATCGTACTTTTCGTCATTGACAGCTGCCTCCGAGGTAACGGACACACTGTCCTGGAACTCCTCTGTGTCGGAATCCCTTTTCTCGTACTCATCCTCAAAGGATTTGTTGTCGCACGACATGAAGTCCTCATCATCGTCGTCGTCGTCATCATCGTCATAATCACTCATGTCTTCGTCATCTTTGTTGTCCGGATCTTCCACCTCCTCGACATCTGGAATCCAAGCGGCCTGGTACTCGCTGTAGCCCTTGGGCACACGCTTCACCAGCTTCATCTTTTTGGTTTCCTGCTGCGAGGCGGCGATTTCCTCCTCTGTGGGCCAGGTCTGCTCCGCGTCCATTGGATCGGGTATGTTCTCGCTTTGCAGAGAAGTGCGCTTCAGAGGATCGCTTCGGTCGAGTAGACGCACCTCAGCATTCTCGCCGTCGCGGGATTTGTCCAGTTTGTACGGATCTGGCGGGGCCACCACCTGGCTCAACTGGAAGTCGCCCAGGCCGGGAATATGCACCAAGCCATTTACGTTTAGGGATTGTCCCCGAAGAAAACCAGTTACTTCCAGGGTGCCCATATCATCGCTGGGATCGGAGCTCGGCTTGAACTCCACCACATCGCCAAAAAGGTGAGGTCGGTTGGCCACATTGTGAAGGACACGCTTCTTCTGTCCTCCAATGCGACGCATGACATTTAAACCCTCGCTGGCGGTGTCCAATTGCATAACTTTCTCCTCGGGCAATAATCTGGAGATGATCTTCTGGGCCGCCTGCTTGGCAGCGGGACGTCGCTTGGGATTGATGGACTCCAGATCCATGAGTGCGACCACGGGAGTGGGAATTCCCTGGGCGGATATCATGTTAAAGATCCGCTGACCCCAGCGATCGAAGATCTCTTCATCACCAAAGGCGGCGGAGGTTAGGAGCAAGGTGGTATCGCACACCTTCAAGTAGTCCAGAGCGATTAGCTCATTTCCACGACCAACAGGTGGGATCACAAACGCAAAACGCTGCTTGAAGCGAGGAAGATTTATGTAAACAATGCCACTGGGGGAGTTCTCCACCACCAGCTCGCTGTCGCAGCTCTGGAGGATGGCCAGTGCGGACCTGGGATCGATCTGCTCGTGCATGGGCAGCAGGCAGACGAGAAACGGTGCTGTGTTCTGACCTCCGAGCTTCCTCTTCTGCTCCAGTACTTCATCGCGCTTGTTTTTACGCAGCTGGTTCATCTGGTTGCGACGCTGTTCCTTCCTCTGCTGCTGCTTGTGCTTGTGGGAGATGGCCTTTAGACCAATCTTTCCTGTAGGAGGAGGTTTTAAAGTGATTTGGTTACCTTTGGAGATCCCTTCAAGAACAAGCACTTACCCTTCTGGGCATTGTCTATGGCTCCTTTAGAGCGATGTCGACCCGTTTTGTGGGCCTTATTCGTTTGCTTCAGCGGCCCCGGCCGATGAAACGCATGATCCGCCATGATTGCAGCAGTTTAGATCACAAAATTCCAATTATTTGTTACTAATTTACGCTGTTTTGTTTCTTCATCCAGAGCACATGTTCCGTCGTCAGTGTGACCAGAGTGGGCGAAAGTCGTTGCGCCCAACAGCACAAAAAAGCATGTTATGGTTAACAGAATTCTCTGGGGCGCCAAAATTCAAATTGTTTTCTTCTTTAAAAATATGGATTTGTTTTAACCAATCTTTAGATCTGAAGTTCTTTTTTAAAATATATACTATAAAATTGTTTAAAATTTCCTTTATTTAATCCCAAAAGTAAAACACACAATTTGCTCGTTTTTTTAAACCACATTCAATGTAAATATGTATTTGCTGTTTATGGTATAGACTTGACGTCTGCTTGAATATAACGCTGTTTAGTAGCTAGTTTACATCCATGCCGTGATATATGCATGCGTCGGGTTCTTTTTCTTGGCTGTAGTAGCTCAGTATAGTAATAGGTTCAACTGCCTTTGATTATTCGCAACCGTCGCTTTGGCGCGCTGTTCAAAATATTTTCGAATGGGTTTTGGTTGGCCTTACATAGATTAGACGTAGGTAGTAGTAATTAACTTAGTTGCGTAGGGTATTAATTAGTGGGCTGTGTAAATAATTTCCAGGGGCCTCGAGAGGGTCTAAAACTTAACGATAGGCCATAACACTTAACAATTAGGAGTAAAACAATAGAACTAATAGTAGGTAAATTGAGTGATTGTTTCTCATTAATTGGATTTGGTACTTCTCGAGATTTCCTCTGGGTTTTTAGGTAGGTCAATATTTCCAAGCAAACGATCCTCAGCGAAGTCCAAAACGGCGTGCTGGATAAATCTCAATGTTGCATGATTTTGCTGCGTTTCTCCTCATCGCTCGATTTAAAGTAATTTTTGCAGTTGTATAATGGATATTTGTATATATGTATATATATATTATTCAATATTTATGCATTGGCCTATTTACGCCGCAATGCCAATGGCCTGCCCTAAAAATTCCCACCCCGAAACTCCCATTTACATACAAAACATACCGAATAATCTACCACCTCACTAGGGTCTTACAAAATTGGTGCCATCTTATGTCTTTGTGTGTTCTTTTTTCGAGTGTGTCTCATTAAATGCAGAAGTTCGACTCTGCCATCCGTGCTCCACAATACGCTTCCCATTCGGTATCCTTCTGAGTTGCCCACGTCCCTTTGATCTGAATGCCGGTTTATTGTTGTCTTTGTGCGCGGAATCGGGAGGATATGGCTTTTGTTATTCGCGGGCTGGCCAATTACATGTTTCTGCACTGGGCGCAAACGGAGCGCGCCTTTGTATTGTCACGCACAAAATCATGCACATTGAACTTTCCATCATCGCCGTGCTCGTAGCCGCGGCTCTTCAGCTGCCTGAAAATGAAAATGAAAAAGGAAAAGTAGAGATTGGAAAAAGTCAACAACAGGACCGGGGAGCCTTTTCCAAGAAACCGAAGGTGATGAGAAATGGCTGGTAGTTCTGCTCAGGTACCTGACACAAAATCGGATCCATTTGGTTTGAAATTCAACCTTACTTTGGTTCGAACAACCTTTTTTTGTTTACTAGGTACATCTATATTTTTGCCACAAAGAAATGCTGTATTTTCCCATCACCGCCAACAAAATCAAGATGAAATTATGATGCTCTTGAAAAGCAGGACCCACCTGGCCACCGCTGTGAAGGACAGCTCCACGTTGAGTCCCGTCTTGGCCGAGGTCTCCATGAAGGGCACGTTGTGCTCCCTCCCCAAACGCTCCCCGTCCTCCCGCTTCACCTGCCGCTCGCTGCTGCTGCAGTCGGCCTTGTTGCCTGCGGAGCGAAAAGAAGATTCGATTCCGTTCGAAACGCGTAAGTTGATTAAGCGTAATCAAAGCCTTTTAACTGCATCTCTCACCTATTAAAACGATGACCACGTCCTCCTGCGCGTATTCCCGGATTTCGCCCAGCCAGGCGCGAATGTTGTCGTAGGTGGTCTTGTTGGTCACGTCGTATAGCAGCAGCAGCGCTTTGGTTTAAAAATTAAATTAGGATCAAAGGACAGGCAGTCGGAAAGAGGGATTTGACATGCACAAAAAATCATTCAAATCTAATTGAAAATGTGTGGTTCAAAGGTTTTAGTTGAACAGAAATTATTTTAAACATTTTGAAAAAAATTGTGGAATAAATGTTTGGGTGATTTTGAGGAGCAAGACAAATAATATTTTTGTTTGGCATTTGTAAAGGTAATGTTTTATTCGAAAGTAGAAAGGTTTGTCTTAATTTTAGTTTTAAGATTTGTTGTAAATAAACTCAAATAAACTAATATAAATTAAAATAAAAAATTATATAAAAGTTATGTACTATTCTCTGTGACACATAAGTTATTAAACGCCTTCTATTATTGCTCTTTAAGCTTACAGTGCTGTTGAGCACAGTTTGAATGTCAACTCACCGTGGGCGTCGCGGTAGTAGGCGTGGGTAACGCTCCGGAATCGCTCCTGTCCGGCCGTGTCCCATATTTGCAGCTTGACGCGGGTTCCATCGACGACCACCACTTTGTTCTGTCGACGCATTTGTAATTGGACGGAATGCAATTTATTATTTTATAAATACCAAACACGAAACCGCTCCATGGAAATGCAATTGTTATGTAAATGCAATTAATTCACGAAACGCTCATGCACAAAAGCCGTGCCACCGAATTACACACAGAGAAGGAGGAGAAGGAAAAGAGTTGCGTGGAAAGGGGATAACGTTGCGTATGCTTAATGCATATCACTTATACGCAGCGTTGGCTGGCCAAATATGAAACCCCAGAAACACATGCAGACATGGAAAAAGCAAAAAAGAGAGAGACGTTTGGGGGAGGGGTGGGTGGAATATTCATAAGTACGGTCAGGCGGCCATTTCCATGATGAAAGTCTTGGGTCGAAGGATCCGGCATAATGATGAGTCGCCTTCTTTTCCGCTTTCCTTTTTCCCGAATAATGAGCCGCAGACGTTGCAAGTTCGCCCGGGCCATTGGCATTACGATGGCCCCATGTCGTTTCCCCACTAACTACTCAGACAGTCAGTCAATACCATAAAAGAGTACGAGAGGAGAAACACACAAAATAACACAAAAAATACAGAGCATACAGCAAAAGGTTCAAGTACGGGCGTATGATTTTAATGTGTTTGTGTGGCGTATTGCCTTGATTTGATTTCGATTTCGTGGAAAGTAACATGACTAAAATGATAATCCAAGGATTTCTGGCTCGGCAAACACTAGACTAATCCACTGCCACAAAATTCCGGGTTAACGTTAATTTAATTTATGTTTATTATTTCACTCCAGCTTAAATACTTTTAATAAAATATTTTTCTGTTTAATTAAGTGAATTTTAAATAATCATAATTTCTATAAATTTTTTTACTTATATAAAATGTATTTTTTAAACACTTTTAATTATGAAAGTATTTCAATTTTGTTACTTAGTATTCACTTTTACTGCGAGTACACAAATTAATACTTGAAAGTAAATAACTTTTCTTACATCTAGAGATCTCAAACATCTAATTATCCATAATATGGCAGTCACTTATATACAGTATTCGTTTACTTTATACTTTGGCTAAGAATCAGCCAAGTTGAAAAATCAACATGAACAACTCCCGAGCGAATTAAATTTCAGGTCATTCCCCAGTGCCCCCGCAGTAAGCGGTGAGGTGGGTGATGACTGAGGGAACGTTGCATCCCCGAGGCCAAAGTTAGACAATGCCAGCGTCGACATATTTAATATAGGAAACATGGCAACAATTTAAAGTCAAGGAAACGGCACTTGTAAAATTTTCCGGGACAGAGACAGATAGTCGTAGAGGGAGGGAGACAGACGGTGGAAAAGTGGGGATAACGCGGGTAGTTTAATAAATTTATGAGCCATGAACCACAGAGGAAAAGAGGATATATTGAAGGATAAGGACGGGGGCAAAGAAAGTGCCTCCGGCCAGGACAACTAAGCCCCTAAATGTTGAACCGCACAATAATAAGCACAATAAAAGCAATAACAACAAGTTAAATACAACAACAAAAACAACAACAACAATGGGGGAAGGGCAGTAAACAGCGCACACAAATACACTCACACATAAACACAGGCCACACAAACACACGGGCAAAGAACATCAACAAGTCCTTTTCAAGTTCACATGCTTTTTAATAAATAGTCCCCCAAGGATCTTTATCTCTATCAACAAACCGGGCGGTTGGTTGGGTATTCGTTGGGTTTGAACAAGAACTAAACGTAAAGAGGACAACCGCAGGCAACTACGAAATCATGAAAACCGCAGCCCATAGACGGGTCGGAGAAAGAGACAGAGATATACGAACAGAAAGAGACAGACACAGACAGAGGTAGAGAGAGAAAAAGAGTGAGAAGAAAGTGGAGTTGAGAGGGCAGTAGGTGAAAATCGCATTCAGAACCTTGACAACTGTTGACAGGACGCATATAATGGCGCAAAGAAGGAGACAAGAGGTCTGCAGGTGGTGCACTGAGAGAAATGTGTTATACAATTGTATTGTAATAGAAATTTATTAAAGTCTCAATTATAACCAAGTTAATTATTATAATACAATTATCAGTTAATTCAAATTCCAATTTATTTATTTTAGTTTAATTTGTACTCACTTAAGAAATATTATTAAATATTTTAAAAAGCTTACACTTTTTTTCTCAGTGTACCAACTGACGGACAGTTCAAATAGATAGATAAATGATGTAGATTTATTAGACAGACAGAGTCACAGATGAAAGTAAACTAGGAGAGACGGAGAAAACACTTAGGCGGAAAGTACAACAATGATAGGAAGAGTTTCCACAACAACAACAATAACAACAACGACAAGAACAGGGATAATGACAACAATATATAGAAGGGGGATAAACTGAACTGAACACACAGAAGACGAACATTGCAACATTTGAACAAAATAGAACAGAACAAACGGCGGGAATAAAGCGCTTACCCTAAAATCAATGCCGACTGTGCTGAGGAAATAGCTCGGCACATAGCGACCATCGCGGAAACGGATCAAAAGCGAGGTCTTGCCCACTCCCGAATCGCCCAGCATTATGACCTGATTTGCGGGACACCGAGAAAAGCCAGAAAAGCCGTGTGATACGTAAGTGGGTCTGTATGTCTATATGTATTTCTTTTTGGGGGGCGGAGGCATTGTCATGGTTTGATTTTTCTGCATAATCATTTATGCCCGGGCCCTAATGTTCTCAGCTAAATATTTAATGAGCTGCTTATGAATTTAACATGCCAGCCGGGAGTGCTAAAAGCTACCGCTTTCTGGCTTCAACGATTCCAGGGCATCTTTCCCCTTTTTATCCTTTTCACCTGAAATCCTTTCGAAAGGTCCTGCTGCCGTCTGCTGTTGACTCTGCTGGGATACGCAGAGTTGGCTCGGTTATGCAAACATTGCAATTGCTGATTTCCCAGGGAATGCCTTGTTTGCCAGCTGCTAACTAGGCGAAAATGTTACATGAAAATGGGTTGTGCAAACCTATGCATACACGAAAAATTAAACCCCTACAGAAATTGGTAGCCAAATAATGGTTTTAATATACTTAAAGTAGATCAAAGATTTATTTATCCTTGTACTTTAAAACTTTGTTTATTTGTTTCCTAAATACTCTATTAACTTCTTGATAGATTTTGCTTCCACCCTTAAAGTTTATTTCATTTATATTAAAACGTTTTACCTTGCATGGCGCAAATTAAAATTTAAATTGTCTAAATAATTGCCTTTGTAGGAGCCAACTAATTTACGCACTTTAAATGGCTTAAAGCTGCCTCGGGGAATTTATGCAAATTTTCTTTCTTTTTAACGAGCACGACAAATAAATGAAATTTTTATGCAGCTCCTGTTTTATATATTTTTCATTCTCGCAACTTGGCTTGGCAGCTGGCTGACAGGAAGTCGCCGCCAGGAGTCCTGTCATAATTCCCCAGAATTATTCTAATCAACAGCAGCTGCAGCAGCGACCGAATGTCACAAAAACTTTGCTCTCTCTAACTTTCTGTTCCAGTTCCTTGTGTGTCTGGCCATTTAATTTCCTTTGTCACTCTGCACTTTATTGAATTTTATGACTTTATTTTCGGCTGCTTATGTAAATCACGTTGTAAATCAGGCCAAAAGCCGATCAGGGGCGCAGCGAATAAAAGCTGGCTCGTAAAAGTCGCAAGCAGTCAAACAAAAAGGTATAATACATAAATCAAATTGTGGCCTCGCGAACAAGTTGCTGGGTTGAGCACTCGACTCCCAGACTCCTCGAGTTCCAAATAAATATACCCATAAGAAAATACATTTTTTTCGGCTCGCCTTTGTTGTCGCCTTTTTGAAAATGCAAATTGGCAGTTGACGAGTTGAATCGAAAAAGGGATTTTTCTTTGCATCTCTTTTCTAGAGTTTGTGCAATGAGGAGGGGTATTTCTTTGTAACTCTAAACGAGAACGATGCCAATAAGTATTAGGTATTATAGAAGGAAAAGCAGAGAAATATATTTCTACAGGCTACCAAACTTGTAACCAAAGGTACTAAGCACTAAAAAACTTTTAGGGAGTAAGTTAATATTGTATATAAACTAAGTCTCTATATCTATTATCTTCTTACTTGTGACCAAAGGAATCCCTAGAAGAGCTTCTAATTAAAAAAAGAAAGTGTAGCGAAACTTTATAATTGCCCGAGAAATTGCTATAATAATTTAGAAAGTTCTGTAAACTTCTCGATACTTCAACTGCTCACTATTGTATTGTGTTGAGTGCCTCGATTAGTCTTTAAATTTGTTCCCCTTCCCCCAGTCTTATTCACCTTGCCCATGATATCGAAGTCGTCCTCCTCCTCCGGCGCATTGTTGGATGAAATCATGCGGATGAGTGCTCGTCCGGCGTTCTTGCAGAGCGTGGCGCTGGCTCCCTCGATTCCGGGTCCCGGCGCAGGTGGATTGGCTGCAACAGATGGCCTGGCCACAGTGGTTACCCCACCCGCTCCGCCGCCACCACCGCCTCCTCCTCCTCCGCCACCGGAATCGAGGAGGGGCTGCTGTTCGGCACCAGCGGCCAATCGAACGCTATTCAGACGGGCCATGAAACCATTGCCAGATGGCGGATGCTGCTGCGATGTCTGTGGTATTTGCTCCCGGAACTTGGCCATCGAGGTCATGTACTCCGGCAGCAGGGGCTGCTGGGAGATGGACTGCTGGCGCTGGTGGACAATCACGCTGGGTCGCCGCTTCGGATAGCCGTCGTCATCGGAGTCATCGGAGGCAATGCCGTTGATCTTGTCCAGCGTTTTCGGTGGCAATTGGCCGGGGGTGATGTGCTGCCAGGTGGGCTTCACCAAGGACTCCCGCCTGGTGGGCGATCCACTGGCTAAGGGCGATGGGCTGGCCACCGAAATGGAGGGCTTTCGACTCCCCGAAGGACTCGCTATCGAATCGCTGCGATATCTTGTCTGCTGGCGACGCATCTTTGAAACCTCTTCACTTCCTGCTGATTGGCCTGATTCTATATTTAACACACGCACATAAATCAATAATCTCGGCTCGGATGTCGGATGTCGGTGGTGTCTTCATTATTGATGGACGCGAAACCAACCCCCAGAAGGAAGGAAGTGCCCGAAATAAAGTTTGCTTGGGTTGCAGATACACACTTAATCACACACAAGTACACACAGCCAGTTCAGTTCCGACAAAGTCATTAAAACTCATTAAAAAGCATAAACAAGATGCCAACTTTCATTATCCCCGCAGTTGGGATTCGGCTTTAACAAAACACCAGTTTGTGTATGAATAAATGAAAGTGCTGGAATTCCGTAGCAAAAACAATGAACGACCAGGTGCAAATTGAATGTAATTTCGTTCCTTTCTCTTTCCGACGAAATGAAATGAAAACCGAAACCCACAAATGCTCCAGGGCCGCAAAACAACAACTGTCGTTGACAACCGGGTGAAAGTGGGTGGTGAAAGGGGAGGGGATGCCGGAGAAGGGGGAAGGGGGAGCGGAATGTTGCGGTTGCTGTCGCTAAATCAACAGTTGGCAAGCAAACCGCAAGGCCACCGAAAGCAAAAGCGAAATCACCGAACCGAAGCTGTGGCTAACTAAATTTTTGGCTAATTATGCATTGGCTCGTCCTGCAGGAGAAAGTTTGCCAAGGAGAGGGGAAAGGGGAAGGGAAAGGGGGGAGGGAGGGGGTAGTACAACCCTGTGATTAACTAGAGCTCATTAGCAACCACAAAATGCCCTGGCTGCTGTTTCCCTAAGTGATTACAAATCGCTTGTACGTATCTTAGCAAGTTTTCATAGCATACTTTTTGGGGCCAAAAAGAGTTCATTTCAAAGAGTGGCGTTCCCATTAACATTTCCGTTACTTAACATGCAATGAAATTAAATAATATTTACCCAAAAATAAACATGAAGAAACGGTGAAAATTTTTTAACATAATCTACATCCGTAATTTGGAAATCTCATTTATGTACTTGCCACTGGCAAGTCCAAATTCAACTAAAATTTACTGAAGTCAAGTAAAAGTTTAGAGTAAAACTTTACGATTCGAATATCTGCAAACCCGAATACACTTTCACTGAATATTGTATTGGAATCAATAAAAAGCGGTGAATGGAATTTCAATTCAACCCGAATTCATAAAATAGAAATCAAATTTCATGAACCAAGAGTTGGCAAACTCTCATTCATGTTGACGTTTTTGGGGTTGCCGCCAGGCAGCAAGGCAAAATTCAACCGAACTTTAATTTAATTTGCAGCTCAACAAATTGCCAAATGCCAATACATATATCAATATGGTTGTATGGCTTCCAAATTCCAGACAAAACCCTTTTGACGTGGGTGGTTTGGGTTTGTATTCCGCTTGTTCGTGGGTGGACTATTGAAGCTAAAGGCTCGCAGAACCGTGCGAATTCAGCCATCCATCCAACACGGCTGTCTACTACCTGTCGTTTCGCCTTTATTTCACTCTGCTTAAAGCGTTCTTTTTATGGCGGCTTTCGCCGAGGGTCCTAAAATGCAGGTCAACGGCAGCGAACACGTGCGAATTGTTAACTACTTTCTGGAGGCAGTTAAAGCGGGGGCAAAGTGCTCGAGATGGAATGGCATTGAAATCGGATAACCCTTGAGCCTGGGACAATTTGTAAAGCTGAGAAAGGTAAACAGGTTCTCAAACCTTTAATCGAAGAAAGCTATTACCGAAATTCATTTACTTTGATAATTGCGTATATATTTTGGAGGTGGATTTATAAATGTTTGCTCCCTTGGGCTGAATACTAAAACATTTATTTGTCAAAAAAATCAAAAGCTAAAAAATGTTGACATATTCAGTGGAAATACCAACATGTAGATTCTATAAATACATTAAGCAATGTGAAAAGGACATTGAAATCGGATAGCCCTTGAGCAGAGGACGCATTGTTAAGGTCAACAAAAGTATAATTTTACCAATTACGTTTCAATTCTTGCCAACGCACTTCGTTGTAGACCTTTAATTATGTCCGAATTCAATGTAAGTCCATACAAAAATATATATGGCCCGTGGGCAATTTGGCCCTCTTTATGCAAATATGGCAAATGATATACAACAAGTTGACCCTTTTTCCCGGCTTGGGGGTCAGTGAGGTGTCAATCCATGATACAACCTTTCGAGCAGCCATCGAGCAATTTACTTTAATCAACTTAAAACGCAACGGCTGATAACAAAAGTTTTTAATTGGGTTGTCGCTGTTTTATGCCGGCTGATGCTCCCCCTTTTCCTCTTTTTTTCTACACAGAAATAATCTGGCTATAAAAAAATAATTGAATAGGTAATATTAAAAATAATTTTTTAGGCGAAATTATAATTTGTAAGTAAACTTTTTTAGTGGATACTGAAATTTTAAAAGATTCTTTATTTTTGTAAAAACTTTAAAAATATCTTTACATATTTATATCTCCTAAATTAATATTTTTTAATAGCACATGTTAAATTTATAAGTAAACATCCTTAAACGCACCATCTTTAACCCCATCTTTAACCAAAGATTTTTTCGAGTGTACCGTTTCCCTGCTGGTGACAACAACCTAAAAGCGAAGAGACAAAAAGGAAAAGCGAAATTTCCTTTCTCGGAGTACACGAAATTTGTTCAAAGTTAAAAGTTAAGCAGAATTTTTCAGTTCCTTTCATAAATTGGGTGGGCATTGGGCCGGGGAATTCCCGCTTGCCGTGTAATTATACAAAGCGAAAGGAGAAAGTGGTCGGTTGGCAGGGGAGAAAGCGAAAGGCGGTTTAGGCCAGCCAGTGAGACGGTTCATTGCACAGTCATCGGGACACCCACGCAGGACACAATGCTCATGTAGGCGTATGGGCATGTCCTGCCCACGCACACACACCCTAACATACACACACACGCACAGAGAAGGAGAGGCGGACACAAAGGCAACCGTAGGCACACAGATGCTAAGGACACGCTGACTTACATTCAATTTAGCGTTCAATCACGCCGCTTAAACGGCAGCAACAGCAATTTCCAAGGCAGAAGGAGCAGACAGAAGCGGCAGACAATAGTTTCCTGATTGCGTGGACAGCTTTAAGGAAATGACGAGCCAGATGGCCGACCAGGCTGAAGGATATACAGTTGGGGCCAGAATAATAATCCGTTTTTGAATAATTTTAAAGAAGAGTTTGGGAAAGTTGGAACGTAAGTTATTTCCTGATTGCTTTATTCTATAAACCATACATTAAATAATAATTATTTAATATATAATTGTAATTATAATGAGTTTAAATTTATAATATATTATATGTAACTTTTCAAGTTTGAGAACATTTCAATTTAAGTTTGCTATAACTATGACCACTTGTGTGGCAAAGCCCCATGTGTGCGCTGAAGATTTTGAAAGGAAGCTGCAAATTGACGAGAGAGCCAATTGACAGGACAAAAGGCAAAATGCTTTCGCGCAGAGCGATTTCATAAAACTTTCAAGGCATCAGCACCACAATTTACTACCAGTGCATCTTGGTTGCGGGATTCGAGGGGGAAGTGGTCTCAAAAGAAGGTCATGTTTGGGGGGCGGACAAGCCCCCCCAGGAGATTTGTGCTAGTAATCGGCTTAAATGACGATTCAAGTGACTTCCAGCCCGGGGGGATGCCCCTGGAAATTTCGAAACGAGAAGAAACAGGACACCTGTGGCAGTTAGCAAAAGTTCGGGGAATTTCGATGCCCCATTCTCTTTTAATGCCCCACTTTGAAGTTTTGGAAAATCGCAGGCTTTGGGCCAGACCAATTTTAATTGCGAAAATCGATAGCACGTTTATCTCTCCCAGAAACCTTGAAAACCGCAAGCTGCTTAAAAAATTTTACTTAATTTCCAGCTGAATGTGAAATTATATACTTTTCTCGTTAGGAAATCAGATTTCAGGCAGAAATCGGGGAGAGATACTAACCCTGACCTTCAGCAGTTTGCATTCATGCGCAATTATTTTCACTCGCATAATTAATGCGCATTTGTGAGAGACCGAAGCCCAAGTAAACAACAATAGAAAATGGCCAAGACATTACAGACATAAGGCTCGAGTACAAATTGGCTTGTATTCAATTGCATTGATCAAATTCCAATTAGAGAAAGACAACTGAATTAAAGGCAGCTTAGATTCCTGGAAATTGGTCAACGGAAAATTTGTCACCTAATTTAATTATCAATAGCTGTAAAGCGTAAATTAGGTTTAAAGTTTCCCTTTGCATTAGGTGCGTTAAGTAGTTTGAAGCCAATCAGGTTTGTTTTTAATATTTTTAACATTAGAATGTAAACAACGTTTACTTTAAAAAAAAATGGAAGTTTTTCCAAATATCTTCCAAATAGAATTAATATTTATTATTGATAAAGCTTAAACAAATTTTAAATAAACTAAAAAGGTTGTACGTTTTATAAATTATAAAAACAGAAACAGCTGTTAATACATATTTTAAAGGTAAAACACAAGCTTCCCAAACGTTTATTTGTTTCCGAATTTCCAGGTCATTTCCTATGCCGTTTCAAGACATGCCTCAAACAGATTATCCAATTATACGTCAACCGAAATTCCCAAATCCTCTCGACACCCAAACAATCCAACAAATATTGGCCAAAACATTTCCGCTGCACTTGAATTATTAAATGCCAAACGAAGCCAGTCTGCCATAATTGTTTTCATTTATTTTTAACTCGCGCAGGACCTTGTCAATTTACCCAGACACCACAAAACAAGCACACACACACACACTCACAGGATGGATTAAGGACATTAAAGCGCCAAAAATAGCAAAAACAATAGGCTGCATTTTGAATGCAAGTGCTTACAAAATGTTAACATATGTCTACAAAATCTGTTAAATGTTCAATGAGCACGCTAAAAGATTTCAGCACAGGACAGCACTTCACTTTACTTGGCTCGGAGTTTCGCGACGAATGTATTTTTGGCTGGCACAGCTTTCCACCTGGCTGGGAAATTCGGAAAAGCCACAAGGGATGCGCGTCTGCTGCTCAACGAGGCGTCAGTGTTCAGACCCACAACTAGACTGACTGGCGGCGGACCCAGGAGAACTCGCATCACTCCCAATTTCACAGTTCGCAGCAGCCGAGTCCTTCGGCTCCGCTTCGATTTGAGTTCGAGTTGCAGGTCGTGTTGCTTCGTTTTTTTCGGCTTTGGCTTTGGCTTTGGCTTTGAAACAGCAGCAGCAGCAGCAGCAGCCCTGGCCTAGAAACGTGGAAGGTTGCGCCGGAGGGTAGGGAATTTCGGTCTCAGGACTCAGGTGTCCGTCGGCCAGGGTACACCAATTCGAAGCTTAAGTATTCCCCGAGGGCCTTCTTGAATTTAAAGTCCGTATCAAGCATAGCTTCAAAGTTAAGGATTTTTTTTGGAAAGTTGAAACTATAGAGCTTGCCATAATTTTGTTTGAGTTTGTAACATTTAATACACACAGATTTTTGCATAGATATACAACATTTACTATAAAAAATTACAAAAACAACCGGATTTGGTTTTTAAAGGAATATCTCTAGTACATTTTTTAAAGCCAAACCATTTTTTTAATAGAGCATATAAGCATATTTTTATAGAGAGAATAAGTCATTTAATATTTATTGCTTCCGCAATGACTGACCCACCCTAGTGGAAATGGTTATGGCCTGGAGTCGAGCACGCGCCAAGTTTCGCAACGAGGAAAATGGGGAAAAGGAAAAGCGGGTTAACAGCAGCAGCATCCAAGGCAGCTGAATACCGTTGCACTTGAACTTCACTGGCGGCCATTGCGGTGGCAGTCAGTCTCTGCTTCTGCTTCTGTCTCTGTGTGGGTGTGTGTTTATGTGTGTATTTGTGTGCCAGTTTGCGTGTGGGTGAGTTTACGTGAAAGTGTGGTGAGTGAAAGTGAAAGGCAGCAACAGGTCGCGTGTGAGTGTGAGGGTGAGGGCTGCACACACACTGTCATTTCCAGCCAGCCATCAATGTCGACAACGTGTAAAAGGTCGAACGCAGCGCAGATTTATATTTATCCGTTGGGAAAAAAATCAATTTGGGGGATTTCAACATGCCCGCCAAAAATAGAAAATCTGCGGCGATTACCCAAACAATATGTTACCTATTTAGCGGCAAAAAGGTGAACGAAAAAACCATTAAATATTATTACTTAAAGAAACGCGTTTTTAGTACTTGTGAAGCTCGATGTTCTTTTCAACAATAATTTTACGTTTGATGTTTATAAATTCATATATATATTAAAACCTTAAAAGCTAGGTAAGTGTGTAAATAAAATGTCCTCTTCTTTTCTCTCAGTGTGAAGGCTTGAGGGCTTGTATTACCAAAAGACACTGGACAGCTGTTCCCCAATTACGAACACAGCAAGCTAATGCACACAGACATACTCGTACTACATAAGCGAACCCATTCGAATGTGCGTCAATACATGGGCGGGCGGTCACAATGGGGGGGTCGGCTAAGGGGCGGGGTCAGGCGGGGGCGGTCTATTGTGCGGGTTTCATGCAGCAGGCAGCGCTACGGATTCGCCCACAATCGCAAGACTAAGGCTTGCGAGTCTCAAAATTTGGCTAACACGCTCCAACTTCTGTAACTCGAACCTCGCACTGGCATCAAATGAAAATCTATAATTTTGTACATATTTTACTTTTATGTTGATGTATCAATTTCTTCGGATATTTAAAACTTCCTGGTACCCCCAAGATGAATCATAAAATACTTTAAGAAAAGTTAAAATAAACATTTCTTAACATAAATTTGATCTACGCTTTACAATGTATGCTTTACAAAATAACTGGAGTAAGCATGAATTAATATTATGTAAAAAAGATTGTTTTATTGTACTTTTGGTGCATGAGTTACCAAAGCTTAGTTCGAGTTACAGGAGCCTTGACTAGAAGATAGCTCTGCCTGTTTCCAAAATCAACTCACCGTTAACGCGATGCCCACTGTGGCGGAGAAGGATCCCAGCCGGAACTCTCCCGTGTTGTATTTGACCAGGAAGGAGGTCTTGCCCACGCCCGAGTCGCCCAGCAGGATCGTCTTGTGGTTGACCGTGTCGTCGAAGGGCTGCTGGTGGGCGGTGGGCAGCGTTGGGTGCATGTCGACCTCGTCGTAGCGATACGATCGCCAGCCATCGTTGTAGTCGTCCTCGTAGTCCTCGTTCCCGTACGCGTACATCTGCATGGCTTCGCGGGAGGGACGATAGCCCGGATATCCGGTGGCCGAGCGCTGAACGGGCGCCATGATGGCGTCGTCGTGGTAGTGGTGGCTTCCCGTCAAGCTCAGCTGGCTGTGGTGGTGGTGGTGCGGATTGTGATGCTGCTGCTGCTGCTGCTGCTGCGTCGTTGTTGTCGTTATCGAGGCCGAAACAGAAGCGGGTGCCGCGGGGGATTGTAGCAGCCGTCGCCGAAGGGACGACGCCGCAGCTCCTCGATCCTCGCCTGCGTTGTCTCCGCATCCTCGAAGACGTCGTCGCTCATGCTGCTGGCGTCGTCAGGATGCGCCGATCCCGCCGGCCCTCCTCCTTGGCCGCCACCCATTCCCACCGCTGTGGTGGCCATTGGTCTCGATTAATTGGCTTGTGTCTTGGCCAAAAGCTTTCGTTCAGCTTTTATCCTGAGCTTTCCCTTAAGGTTTTTACATTGGTCTAGTTTTAAGGAGATTTGCTGGGCTTTCGCCGTCCTCTCTCTTTGATTTTCCGTCTTTTTCTTGCCACTCTATTATCCCTTTTTACATTTAAATGGTTTTCTCTTTTATCTAACGTTTTTAAGAAATTGTGTCAGGTTTAGCTTTTATCCCGATAATTATTCGTGACCTTTTTCCGGATCTTACGTCCCCTAATTCATTAACATTATATATTAGCATAGGTTTTTACTTATTCGTTTTAAGTTTTTGGGACACTCTCTCGGCGTTCTCTTTGCGGCACTCTACCTTTTTCTCTTAACGGTTTTGACACTTAACGTTACACAAAGCTCTTATAAAGCGTTAACTCCTTAAAGTTGTGACATTTGTTTTGAGCTTTCTCTCAGCGGCATTTCCCTGCCATCTCTTTATGACTTTGACATTTACCGTTGTCCGTCGCTGCCTCGGTCGACGTCGCTGCCGTCCGGTTGTGTGGCACGTTTTCTGAATGAATTCGCTTTTCGGGGCTTTCAGGCGCGGGTGGGGGACCGTTGCTATTATTATTTCCTATTCGCTATAAGCTTAATATTTTCGCCAGCCTTATCAGTTGGCCAGTTTTCCTAATCGCTATTCGTTACTTTTGCGTTGCGTACAATTAAACTAGGTATATTTGTTTTTCTCCGTTTGTTGGTTGTTGGTGTTTTGTTTGAAGCCACTAATTAAATGTTATCTATGTAAATTGTAACTAGCTAAACATATTGACTACTAATTTATAGATTATGCGCTAATTGGTGCTGTTTTCACTATGCATTAAGTTTTTATTTATATATTTCTTGTATTTTTTTTTCTGGCGTTAAAGCTTTTGGTTAATTCGTTTTTATCGTAAAATTGTATGACTCTCCTTTGGTTTTGCGTCTCTCTTCGAAAATATTGCGATTGATTTAAAGGGGCTTTGTGTTGTTTTTGTTATTCTTGGTGTTGTTGTTCTTGTTGTTATTTCACTATCACAGCATAAATAAAATAATGTCATCGTCGTTGCCGCCCCCGCCACGCGAACGCTCGGCCAACATACAACTGGTAAAAAATATCTGCAGTCGCCACTTCCTTTCGACATCCTTTCCGAGCTTTTGCTGCTCTTGGGCTTTTTCTCTCTCGAAACCTGTCCTATTGGATTTGACATTTAATAGGTTCAGAAAAGAGAACTATACTAGTTCGTTTTATTATTATTTCAGTAAAAATATGAACTAAGTTAAAAATTGGGTCAAAAATGTGGAGTATGAAATATATATGCCTTCAAATGTTTCAGTAAGCGCTGGGTGCAAAAAAATCTGTGGAGGTGCACGTTTTAAGAGCAAAGCAAAATTATTGATTCTATACCCGATACTTTATTGTTTCCTTTTTCTTATCAACATTTTTGATAATTGACTATTTAAATTAACTGAACAAAGTGAGACCAGTTCAAATGGTTCGTGTCTGTGCTTATGAAGTCTACAAATACCCAAGATGTTGCCAGGTTTGACATACCGCTTTTAAAGTCTCCACTAGTTTTTGATACAATTTAGTATTTTTCGATTAGACAACAGCTAGAGCTGGACCAAAGGGTTGCCAATATACTTAAACGTGAACCAAGAACGAACATGAGCAATTTTTAATTCCATTCGGTTTTGTATAACTTCAACAATACTTTTCAGAGAGGATTGTTTCTATTACACGATACTATTTTCAAGAGCAAATATATATACGTACTTATATATCGATATTCATTTGGTCTAGAGCATATCGATAAAACAATGTTACCTTAATATCGATTATTTCATTCACTTTTATGTTTTGACAACCCTACTCCAAACCAGAACAAAAACGCGAACGCAGAATTGTAAACCTGAATATTGCAAATAATCCAAATAATCAAACAACCCGCAAAAATAATTAATTAAAAATGACTGGTCGTGGCAAGGGGGGCAAGGGGAAGCTGGTGCGCGAGAATGCGACTGACGATAGAGACGATTTTCTCGTTTATGCAGCCGAGAAGATAATCCAAAAACGCGTTAGAAAGGTGAGCGAGCGTAAACAAATGCGAAAAATGCGATGAAAATGGAAAGCCCCAAATAATATGAGAAACGCAATATGCGCAGCACACACAAGATATATGTATAATCCACAAGGTCACATGTCCTTCGACATTTTTTGGGCAGAGGACATCTGCTGCAACAACCACCATTTGCACGCTGCATGTGTGTGCGTCCGTGTGTGTGCGTAGTGCGTGCGTGAGTGTATTTGAGACGTGTGTTTTTGTTGTTGTTGTGCTTAATGGAAAATCAATTAGCTGTCTAAGAAAATGTAATTTTTCCTGCAATCCTTATCTTCGATTCTACCATTATTCAGGGCACCGTGGAGTACCGAGTAAAGTGGAAGGGCTGGAACCAGCGCTACAACACCTGGGAACCGGAGGTTAACATATTGGATCGCCGCCTGATCGACATCTACGAGCAGAGCAACAAATCCTCGGGAACACCCTCCAAGCGGGGACTCAAAAAGAAGGAGAAGGAACCCGATCCGGAGCCGGAATCCGAGGAGGATGAGTACACCTTCACTGGCGACGATGTGGACACCAATCAGGCAAGCACATCAACGGCCTGCCAGGATACTGACTCGAAAAAGGACAAGAAACACCACCAGCATCATCATCACCACCACCATCATCACATCAAGTCAGAACGCACCGGACGGCGCTCGGAATCTCCGCTGACCCACCATCATCATCATCACCATCATGAATCGAAGCGGCAGCGCATGGACCACAGCTCCTCTTCAAACAGCAGCTCCACGCACAACTTTGTCCCTGAGCCGGACACCAATTCCTCTAGCTCTGAAGATCAGCCTTTGATTGGCACTAAGCGCAAAGCCGAGGTGCTCAAGGAGTCGGGCAAGATTGGTGTAACGATCAAAACCTCTCCTGATGGTCCTACCCTGAAGCCGCAGCCAACCCAACCGCCAGCGCCTGTCCAGCAGCAGCAACAGCAGCCTACCCAGGATCAACAGCAGGCGGAGAAAATAGCCAGTGAGGCTGGCACACCGCTGAAATCCGAGCTGCACGTAACACCGTTGGTCATTGAAGCCCCCTCGAACACGCCGGCCGAGTCTGGAGCCGAGGAAGAGGAAGTGGCAGGCGAGGAGGGAAACAAACAAGCAGCACACGCCCCTCCCGACAACAACAATATACCAAAGCCGTGCAACAACCTGGCTATCAACCAGAAACAGCCGCTGACTCCCCTTTCGCCGCGAGCCCTGCCACCGCGCTTCTGGCTGCCGGCAAAGTGCAACATATCGAATCGAGTGGTCATAACAGATGTCACCGTCAACCTGGAGACCGTCACCATACGCGAGTGCAAGACGGAGCGGGGATTTTTTCGCGAACGCGACATGAAAGGCGACTCGTCGCCAGTGGCTTGAGCTACGGCCCAAACAAAGGGCTCAAAAACGAGACGGAAACCTGAAACAATTGTAAATAAACAAACCAAAAGGGAGGAAAGTTGAGAGGAGCACTAACAAATCCACACTAGATGTTGCTAAGCATTTTCTCTTTAAGACCTAACTTATTTATTGTATTTATTTTTAGCGTAGTTATTAGTTTGTTGTTTTACTACAATGTTTAATGTGCAAGAGTAACTTGGGCAAGCGCAACTCGCTTATTAACTAAAGGAATGATTTTTTGTTTAACTGTTCACCATTCAATTTGAAAAAAAAAACTATTTTATATTCCCATCGGCAATATTTTATTCATATAAAATAAGAGCAAACTTTTTTTAGTTTATGCAATATCGCCCTTTTGGCGAATGAAGATCGGCCTTTTAGAGAATGAACGAAATGATGCGTTTGCTCAACTTACCACTGCAATAGATTGTAAAAACTGCAGCATAGGTACATATGTATGTCGTACATATATTTATTTACCACATATTGTATATTTTTCTATAACAATTTGAATCTGATTGAGAACAACACAAGACACTCATGCAACAAAACTCCATGCGAAACCGAAGCAATTGTTAATTACGCTTGATATAAATACAATTATACACAACTGAAGAAGCATATATTCGAGTATGTCAAAATATTTGCCAAGCTGGCTATCCCAATGTTGTAATTGTTTAATATTATATTTCCTCGCGCCGACTGATTTTACAAAAGAAAACCCCAAAAAGATATATATGTAGTTTGATAGTTATTTTTAGAACTTAGCTAACCACAATCTCCACTTAATATTTATTTTAAAATGTTTTACTTTTAGCAGCCAAGGCTCAAGTGCTGACATTATGCGTTCAATAATTGTGCAGTGCACAAAAATTCTTAAATTGAACCCATATACTCAATACTTAGCTTCTATGATTATAACACTATTTTTTTATTGCTTTACAAAAGGAAGTCACGTGGAAACTGTTTGGAATTAATAAATCCTGTTTATTTTCCATGGTTCCGGTGAACACATTTGTCTAAGCTATTTATTGGCTAGTTTTAGTTACGGCGCCAATTCCACAAAAAAAAGAACTCAAAGCATATATTTTGAAGTTTGTAATGTAGTGTTTAACTTTAATGTTATTGCCGGTATCAATTGTAAATAATAAATTAAATAGAAGCAACCGAATGTTTAATGCTTGGGTATTTTCTAAATGTGAGATTGATTTGCGTCTAATATCGAGTCAATATCATCAATCTGCGTCAGGGAATATTAAGGTCTAGGAATATGGTCTATCAATGAACTAGTTTGCACAACGTCTGCACATCCGGGACTATTCCCCTCTCATAAAGGTCGATACTTGTTGATAAAGGAATTGATGATGGGGGCCACCTTCTCGGGCTCGTTGAGGTGGACATGGTGGGTTCCCTCGACCTCGTGAAACTCGAACAGGGGATTCTTTTGCAACTCTGCCAAAACTTCATCGAAGTTCTCTTTGCGTTCGTAGTAAGGCGCTTGCAAGGCCTTGATGAACAGGTGAGGGCACTTAATCCTAGTCGCCATCTCCATTGGAACCTCCTGGTGCAGCGTGTAAAATAGCGATGACTTAAGTCGATTATCGCGGGAAAAGTAATACTTGTGTGGTTCGTGCGTCGAGGGCTTGGTGTTCCGCTGCAACAGGTACTTGCAGGCATCCAACGATACAGATTTATTCGATCCCTCGTGCAGCCGGGTCACCAACTGATCCCATTCGTAGGCGGGCGGTTCAGAGCCACTTTTCAGGCGTCGTTCCAGCTTTAATGTCGCTTCCAATCGTTCGGATAGCCCATCCACTATGTGGCGCGCACTTCTAACGGGTGGTTTTAATACATCCAGTCCCACAAACAAATCGACTTTATCGGGAAACAGGGCACTGAACACAAAGCCATTAATGGAACTCATCGAATGGGCTAGTATCGATATCTTGTCCCACTTATATTCGTCCATCAGGCGGCGGGTTATTAACACTAAGTCGATAGAGTGGTATGAACAGCCAGCCGGCAGCCACGAGGAGAGTCCGTGACCCGGGGCATCAATGCTCAGGAAGGACAGATGCGAGGGTAGTAGCGGGGCTAACGTATCAAAGGTACCGGCATTATCCTGCCACCCATGCATGCCCACAATGGGTCGCACGTGCTTGGGTCCATACCATTTTCCCGAAATGTGTCCCCATGGAACAGGTATGCTGATCTCTTCAAACTGTCCAAGGAAAGTAAAGTCGTTTATTGAATAAAACTCATAGAAACTGAGTAACTCACATATTTGGTGACGATTTTCTGGGGTTTGGTGGGTCCACTGCTTGAGTTCCGAACATTTGGGAGCAGTTTCAGCAGGCGAAGACCTCGAGACACCTTCATTTCAAGGCAAGATATTGTTTTTGTTGAGTAATGGCACCTTTCTCGATATCGACTAATGAGCGACTAATGTACTGGCAGTGATTTCACCACACATGTGCGGCGATGATGCAGCTTTGCCAGATGAACTTTGATCTTGGTACGTAATATCTGAGAAAACTATGTTTTAGCAAAGTTTTTAATCTTGTCATTTGCTGGCGGCTGCTGCCATCTAACAACACTGGTCTTAAACTTGTTGAGCGCGCTTCTCAACACTACGCTTTTGGGCATGCGTGAAGAGTTTGAGAACTTAAATAAATTGAAGAAAAGCGAATAAATAAAGTAACTTTGTGGTGATTTTATAAAGTCATCGAAACTATTTGAGCTAAATAGTATGCTCATCATCTTAACTTCGATGATATTAAAACTCGAATTGTAATCAAATTAAACTTTCGCAAAGTATTCACTGCATAAACGTAGCCGCCCATTCTCAAGTTTACTAAACAGCTGTAGATAAGTGTTTGTTTTTCGTTAGCTTGTTTTACACCTGTTTTGTGTCCGAAATATTGATGATTAAATAGCAACTAATAAACTTATAGCAGTAAAACAAACCAGACAGTTCAGGATTATAATTAAAACATTCGGATTAAAGACAAAACAAAAGGAAAACGTGAGTAATAATTAGCGGCGGTCACCAAGGAGATTACCTTGACCTTTGACACATTCAATGAAATGCCGGCATCGATTTGGATATTATAATATATATATTTTTTTAAGATTTCTCTTTAATGTTTACTTTTGGATTTTGTGTGCTTCTTGGCCTGTTTTTGTTAACTAATCGCACTGCTAATCTCCACAGGTCGCTTCTGATAAGCACGAAATTGGCTAAACTTTGGAATTGGAGCTCATTCGCCTTTTGGACACTTTAGAGAGCAGAAATGGATTTGGACGACAACTCAAGTGGAACCGTAGGCAGCGATCTTGGCCAGCGTTATCGACACGCTGGGGATTTAACTGGCGAGCCACCCACCAGACCCGTAAGTGCACTTTGAACCACCAGCTGCAGTTCTTATTACCTTGCCAGTCATTACTCTTTATCAAGCTTCCCATTATTGCATATGCATATTGCATATTTCGATATGTTCTATGCTGAATATTCCGAGTTGATTTTGAACAAAAAATGAACAAAATACTACGTCTTACTTATGTTTTCATATTAGTTCGCAGAGATAAGCATTACGGTCCCCTGGGGACATATATCTGGCAAATGGTATGGCCCGCAGAACGTCCAACCAATTCTGGGACTTCATGGCTGGCAGGACAATGCGGGTACCTATGATCGTCTTATGCCGCTGCTCTCGCCGGACGTGGCCTTTCTTTCAATCGACCTTCCTGGTCATGGACTGTCATCTCGGCTGCCCGATGGCTGCTACTACAACTCCGTGGATAATCTATATGTGATTCGACTGATCATGAAGCAGTACAAGTGGCAGAAGGTGTCCCTGGTGGGCCACTCAATGTCCTCCATTATTTGCTTTGTGTTCGCCGCGGTCTTTCCGGACAAGGTGGATATGATCATTGGGATTGATGCTCTAAAACCGCATCAGCGTCCGTATCCCTCTGTTATAAGAACTATGGAGACCCGACTCGATGAGTTCCTGCGCGAGGATGAGAGGAACCGGAGCAAAAACGAGCCACCAAGTTATTCTTATGACGAACTAATCGAAAGGGTGTACATTGGCACATTCCATTCGGTGAACAAGGAGCACTGCAAGCATTTGATGGCCCGCAACATTGCCAAGTCGGAGAAGTACCCTGACAAGTACTTCTTTTGCCGCGATCGTCGTCTGAAGTTCTACAACTATGCCATTGGGTCCCAGGAACTTTGTGTGGAGATGGCCAATCGCATTACATGTCCCTACTTGTTTATCAAGGCCGCCCAGTCCTCATATTTCGAGGACAAAAAGTACTACGATGAGGTGCTCGATGTGCTGGTAAAGAAGCCCAACTTCGAGTACCTGGAGGTTAATGGCTCACACCATGTGCACATGAACGATCCAGAGGCCATTAGCGCACCGGTCAACAACTTTATCCAGCGCTTCGGACCGGCAGCAGCGGCTGCTGCTCGGCAGAAGGCCAAGGAGGCGAAGGAAAGCAAGCTTTAGAGGGTATATACTCTGGTAAATGGTGCTTATTTATTGTTGCACGGATTGCACATGTTTTTATACTTAATTGTTGATTATGTGATCGCGGCAGAGGACTCGGCTCTGCCATAAATACAAAATGTACATCTACAGATAGGTTTTTCGACTCCGATTAATGGGGAAGTTGTGAAGGATACTGCTGAACTGGTTTTGCGTAAACTTAACCCTTTTCCAATCCCATAAAGTATGCGTTTCAAAACTTAAAAAAAGTGCGGTTTTAAATTGAAATATCATGATTGTTTACCACCAACGTAGGAAAGTACGTATTTGTTTTTTTTAATGAAATCATTTATTTCAAAGTTATAAAAAAAAACGAACAAAATTAAAACTTATTTTTATATATTTTTGAAAATAACTCAACATTTTTAAATAAATAGGTTTTGGTAAATCAACTTTAATGTCCGACCGTAAAAGTTTGAGTGTAGTTAGGCTCACAATTTTCAGTTCCCCTCGAAAGAAGTAACTTGTCTTAAGATCGCCGACAGTTGACCTACATCTCCTCACAGTAGAATCCAAGCAGCGAAAGTGTTAATAACCTGCAAACCAGTTTCTTAAATCCCAAGCGGCCGTTGCATCATTTTCTAGACTCTTTCTTGGCAACAGCTTCGTTTTCTGTGATGGTCGGCTCTGGAGGTCAGCCTGAATCGGATTTACATGGAAATGGTTTTTTGAAATATATTTTATAAAAATAACTGAACTGAGGCAACAGGAAAAAGAAGCCGAGTAAGTTGATGACCCTGCTGGTTCAACATTTGTCTGCATGTTCGTCAGTTGCTTCTGCAATTTTTTTTCTCTTGCCTTGGTCAGTTCCTGGGTCTGGTTGGCTGGGTCTGGTGATAAATGACTTTGGACAGCTATTTAATTTGTCTTAAGTTGGTAACACATTTTGTATGCGAGAAGTATTGATTTAATTATGAGAAACACCTAAAAAACAAGATGGTTTATGTTCCTGATTTAGATTTCGTTTTGATGAATGAACCGATAATGAAAACATATTTTTAAGTCAATGAAAAATGGCTATAACAAACAAGACATTCTGAACTCCAAAGCTAATCTGACATGGACTGGAAATTCCTTAATTAGTATCTCTGTTACTCCAAATGCAATTATTATCTTGAAATTGTGACACACTTAAAACGTTTCGTATGCAATTTATCCGATCAAGTTATGAATGCTGATGCGACGGCGGAACTTTCAAGTCAGCGATTTCCATAATTAAAACAAACCAAGCTCTGTTCAAATGATCAGCATGGCTGTGTGTTTATTGATGGAAGTTTTTAGCGTATTTTTTGTTTGTTTTGTTTGTTTTTTTTTTTGGGGATATTATGTACAGACTTTTTAGAACTAGGTATAACTCATTTTTAGCCGTAAGAGCACTGACTAGGCCTTAAATGGGTATTTAATTCGGGCTTACTGCTGCGCTGGGGGGTGGGCGGCGATGTATTCCAGGGCGCGGAGGATGGCCTCTGGAATTGGGGGAGGGGTGGGAAGGTGATCTCCCTGGGGCTGGAATCCGTTCTCGTCGGCAATGTAGGTCAGCGAGATTGGAATGCCCTCGGGCGAGACGAAAGAAGCACTTCCCGAGACTCCGTTGGCGTTGCCGGCCTCCTGCTGCTGGATGCCATTGCTGGTTTCGAAGGCGTACTTGTAGCTGCCCTCGGCGTCGGAGGGATCGTTCTCCTCGCGGGTGATCACGGCGTCCTTGTTGATGTTATCCGCATAGACATTGGCCAGCATCAGGGCGGCGAGAAGGCAGAGCGACTGAAAGGGTTTACACGATTACGATTGCGATCTCGACCACGAACTGGATCCTTCCGGGCGACAAGATCTACTCACTAGCTTGAACATCTTGCTGGTTTCTGGGCTTGTATATTCCACACTGGTTGGGTGATCTTCGCAGGCGGTGGCTTTTATAGCCAGCCAATCTCGACGTCGACTTTGGCGTTGGCGTCGCCGCCGCTGACGTCTCTAATCTGCCTCTGAACTCCAAAGCTACGCTCCAAACTAAATATCAAACTTAATACGTTTGTGTGTTTTTTCGGCAAAGAGCAGCATACCGATCGAATTTAATAAAATTCAGCGCAGCCGCTGAAAAAAAAAACTAGAAAGGAGGTCTCACCTGAGGCACCGCAACACAAAATACCCTTCCTCAATGATTGGCTCTTGTTGGATTACCAAGAAATGCAGCTACTGGCATTTAACCGAGTTTTATTTAATTGTAGGAAACCACATTTTGTTAGTTTTTGTCGGTACTTCCCACGGTGCATAAATAACACCGAAAATTATAGTCCTAATGATTGATCGTATTTTATGCTGCCATTTGGGATAGGTGTTTATGACTTTTAGGTATTATAAGTTTTATCCGTTAACAATTTAAAACATCTAACAAAATAAATAGTTTTCCAAAGTAAAACTGCTGGTTAACTCCAATTTCGATTTATAATAAGCAAAACCTTTTGGATCCTCAACGCCCATCTTCGTTGCAAAGCAACTGATCAGCAGTGATATACCTCTGATAGGGTATAATGAAGCATCTGAACCCATTCCAAGTGGTGGCTGCTGATGGATCCACATCTGCCTTGGTAGCTTGGTAATCACCAATCTGACTTTGCACTTAATGGCTAATAGTTTCGGTTAGGTTTTTTTTTTTGGGCTTGGGGTTTTCTCGATGGTAATGGCACATGTGACATTCGCCCGCCCTTCGAGGGTTACTTCAGAGACGGGCCTGGATTTGGAAGGGGCCAGCCACTCGTGGACGAATAAATTTTATTCAGCTCGGTCCAATTTATCATTCGTTTCAATTTCGATTTCATTGGCCATTCGGTTTGGGATGAGCGCAGGCGGAGAACCTGTTTCCCCATCGAGGAATTCTTAATTCCCCTTCCAAACCTCTCAGCAAGTTCATCGCATTAGCATACAAATTTGCTGTCTAGTAATAAATTATCTAGGCCTAAACGCACTTAGCACTACGCCTAATGAAATGCCCATCAATCCTGGCTCCACCTGATCTGGCAAACTAGTTCAGCCGGCCTATCTGTTTATGTATCTTAATCCCAGCATTGTTTTATGTCGTAACCAGCAGATGGCAACGACCACATTCACACAAATTTGAATCGGTAATTTGCCAAAATATAAATAATTTAGTAGTCTGATTACGTCTAGATGCATTCCTAAAATCACGGGACGAATATAAAGCAGTTTCTAACGGTTTTGAGCAACTTTTTAAAAATACATTTTGGACTTGCCGAAATTTGATACAACTGGTTTCCATTTTTAGATGCAGTTTGACCTGCATGGTCAACACTCAACAAATTTTATTTACGGCATGGTTTCCGTATAGAATCCGTACTTATCCACGCGGTGTTTGAGCCTCAAATTTCCGCCATCAGGCAGGCAAAAACAAAGAATACAGGTAACCTTTCATTGGTCACAACATAGTTCGTTAAAACCATAATATTTTTTGAATTCACATATGTAACTTTGGAAATATTTTGTGGGAATGGCCCTTGATTCAACATCCAAAACCAATTGCTAGGCATCCAACAAGAAGGAATATCTACTCGAAAATTCTAATGATTATCCCAATAGACTGACCACTTTCATTCTACCTGATTTGAGAAGTATAAAAATGTTAATGACAATGTTTTCCTGGAAGCGCTTGTTTAAATTTGAACTATATTTAATTCCGGCTTTGCCACACTTCCTTATTGACTAAAGCGATTCTCGACAATTAACACCGATTTCCGAAGATGTTGGCTACGCTAATTTCGAAACAGAAAAATGTAGTCTCCATGGCAAAGGTACAAATAAATGTGTTCAAACTTATCGCTTAGTCCGTGGCAATTAATCAATTCGCCGAACATCAAAGTCAACAATTAATTAAAGTCATAAATGTAGGGTATCAGAAGATCACACAGTGCATCGGTTAAGCTGGACGATCTCCGTCGGCGCTCCGGGTGACATGCTGCCAGGTGACCTTGTCCATCTCCGAACCGATTTCAACAGCTTTCCAGGGGCAACAGGCATTCCGCACCTGCCGCCACTCCACTCCATTCGGAAGGTCCGAGCCCAGGGCGCATCTCCAATTGAAAGTTGTAACAAGCAGTCTTCAACTTTTGATTGGGAATTTCCAACGGTTTGTGAATGGGCCGAAACCTCCATTAAACCGCAATTTTATTTGTTTGTAATTCAACATTTAGCGCTATCCGAAAATGATACGACCACTGTCGTGCGAAACCGAAACTGAAACCGAATTAAAGCATACAATATAAATTGTTGGCAAATGACTCATGTGTTTTAACTATAGTTCAGCTGAGCATGGTTGTTATTGTTCCCATTATTGGAGGTATGATAAGACAAGTTTTTGGCAATTATAGCCACCTCATCTGGTCCTCGGGTTCCGCGAAACCCGTTTGGGTGCCTGCAACTGAAGACAAGGGACTCATCCATATAAAAGACGCACTTGAGCTGATCGAATTAAACAGTTGCACTGCAAGCAGCATCATCACAGTATCATCAAGAAGCTCAACTCCCAACAAGATGTACAAATACGTAAGTTTTGGGAAGGACTACGCTGAGGGGACCGATCACTGATCACGATCTTGTTTTCCCAAAAGCTCTTTTGCCTGGCTCTCATCGGTTGCGCCTGCGCCGACAACATCAACAAGGACGCCCAGATCCGCAGCTTCCAGAACGACGCCACCGATGCCGAGGGCAACTATCAGTACGCCTACGAGACCAGCAACGGCATCCAGTTCCAGGAGGCCGGCAATCCCAGCGGGGCTCGCGGTGCCTTGGCCTACGTTTCGCCCGAGGGCGAGCACATCTCGCTGACCTACACGGCTGATGAGGAGGGTTACCATCCTGTGGGCGATCACCTGCCCACCCCGCCTCCAGTGCCGGCCTACATCCTCCGCGCCCTCGAGTACATCCGCACCCATCCCCCGGCGCCCGCCCAGAAGGACCAGCAGTAATCCAGAGGAGCAGCACTCCACTACACCCAGTCATTGTTGTTAAGTGACGTTATACTAGTAGTTATCGTTAATAAAGAACGTCAATACAAATACTTTAACTTGCGAGCTCAATCTCAAAAAGTTGCAAGAAAATTTACTTGCCTTTTTTAAACATTCTGTTTAAAGTTTTATTTTGATAAGCAGGGAGAATGGAAATGAAATGTTTAATTTGGTTATTACATGATTTACAAAACATAAATGTGTGATGCCATGAAACGTTGGCTCTTCAAAAAAATACATAGCTTAATTTTTCAATGTTATTTGCTGAAATCCATTGGGATATTTAATCCATACCAAAGAGAGTCCTTAGCTCTTCCATTTTAACAGAGTCCGTATGCTTAAAATGATATAGCTTCTGGAAAAGATGTTGAAGTGGTCCAGGAATTAAAATCAAAGGAATACTATTTTCTAAACTCTAATGGTTAAAAAAAAAAAACATTAAATAAAATGGTAGTTATTTCAATTCTGTGTAAACTCACCCCAAGAAAATCATTCCCGATGTTGGACTCGGGTTCTAAATAAGGAGCTGGCTCAAAGTAATGAAAGCGAATAATGGAAGAATTCGTAATGGAGTATTTTTTTAAAACTTGGCGCATCAATTTTTCTACTTTTATTACCCGATTTTTACGTTTTCTTTCTTTTTCTTCAGCCAGCGATTTATTGATTTGGTAAAAGGAATTTAAACATACGAAGTCAGGATAATAGTATTGAACAGAATCGTTAAAAAAGTTTAACGAGAGTGCAAACTGATAAATTATTAGGGGGAGTTCCTCCCAGCCATTTGCACCATGTTTCATGGCGAAAATCTGAATTGTTTTTTGTCCCATATTAATGCTGGCGGTATACTTTTTTCCGCTCTTACATTTAAAGTTGTGCATTCTGTCGATGACCCTATTCAAATCGCAAAAGAACAAGTTGAACAGCTCTTCACCGCTTACATATCCGTTCCTAACTGCTGGATGATGAACAGCCGTCTTGAGTTTAAAACGGCATTTGGAATCCTGGTGAATCTGGCGATCTTTCTCAGGTGTAATTGAAAACGGCATACTAATCCACAACCAAGGAACTTGAGCATTAGGATATGAGTGTTCACCAAAATAATCTAAGTAAAAGAACAATATTGAAAAGTGTTAGATACACGTGTACTGATATATGTACATGCATCTACAAATTAATTAAAAATTGTATCCTTTTTCGCAAAAGTGTAGTAAACAAAACTTTATAAATGCTGACAATGCATTGTGAAATACGTTGGAACAAAGCCGTTTCTGATTAATTTTGTTGCCTTCACTGTTAATGTGGAGCGAGCACTTTTCTACAAAATTATTTAAATTCTTGGAAATCTTCAAAGTTTTTTTTTTTGATTGCGATATTGAGTAGAGTGAGAAAATAATTTTAATTCTACAAATTACGGCTTACATGTCTGGTCCAATTTACTTATTGTTCCTTTAAAAATAGAATTGATATTCCCGAACTCCTGAGTTATTTGCTCGGTAAATTCGGATGCATCCTGAACATATAGCTCCTGTTCAGGTGGTAAGTTAATTGATATACTTTCTGCAAGCAACTCCAGCGCTTCATTAAATTTGTGTGCCATAGCGAATTCGTAGCTTATCCTTCTTGATCCGGGGGAAATCCAAAACTAAATTGAACTTTTGCGTCGGCACCGATTCTTAAATTAGGAATGAAACTAGAGTGGCGAACAATCGATTGCAACATCGATACTATCGAGTATTTTATAAGAATTTATTTCATCGAAATTTAATCAGGAGGTGAACAACAATAACTGCAAAGGTTTTGGGTGACTGGTACCCCAGAATTTCATGTATTTTTACAAAATTGGTTTAAGGCCAGGTTCCTCTCAACAATTTTGAAAAAATGAAAATTTTTTTTTTTCATAAAGTGCTACTATATACTTGTCGAAATAGTATAAAATTAGTTCCGAAGGTCAGCAAGGCCGAGAAGTAGGTGTAAAAGAGTGAGGACCGCTGCTGGTAGTACGGCCGCTCGAACGCTTTAAAAACTTTAAACTGATTTTTCTCCGAACCACGTTTTTTCGCATGGATGACACTCTCATTTCAAAACTATGGCACTTATCGATTTGAACCAAACGGCATTTTACTCTTAATATGTCTGGCTATGGCCGGTACCAGAATCAGAAATATTCATTATTTTTTAAAAAAGTTATAAACAATTATAAGTGAAAAAAAGGGTTAAAAAAATTCAAAAGTCCGCCATTTTTTTATTTTTCATGGAAAATTTTTCATTCTGGTACCGGCCATAGCTACTTCGATGCAGAACACGAAACTATTTTGGTTTTTGCATTCAGATAATTATTTTTCAAGTAATCGTGTCATCCATCTACGAATCGGACGAGTTTCAGCAGCCATTTTCAGGACCGCCATTTTGAAAAAAAAATTTAAAAAATTTTTTTAGTAATTTCATATACATACTTTCATATATAAAAAAAATTGAATACTCAACATTTTTTGTTATGAAAATAAAGTTAATTGAAAAAAGTACGTTTTTCAGAGGAACCTGGCCTTAAAGGTATGTTAAATGATAATGTTAAACAAATCAACAACAAAAATTGAATTCAAACTAAGGATGCAGTTTCTTAAAGGACTATGTCAGAATCATTTGAAGGTATACCAAATTAAAATCTGATATAATTAAAAAAAGTTATGGGCTTTCATGTGCTGGTTTAAGCCATTTTCCGGATTTTTGACATCATAAAAATGTAAAAACAATCGACCCAAAAATCGAAACCAAACTAATGATCCATTATTGGAGATATGACTTGTCTTAGTTTTTAATTAATTTTTTTGATTATTAATTATAGCCACCTCATCTGGTCCTCGGGTTCCGCAAAACCCGTTTGGGTGCCTGCATCTGAAGACAAGGGACTCATCCATATAAAAGACGCACTTGAGCTAATCGAATTAAACAGTTGCACTGCAAGCAGCCTCATCACAGTATCATCAAGAAGCTCAACTCCCAACAAGATGTACAAATACGTAAGTTTTGGGAAGGACTACGCTGAGGGGACCGATCACTGATCACGATCTTGTTTTCCCAAAAGCTCTTTTGCCTGGCTCTCATCGGTTGCGCCTGCGGCGACAACATCAACAAGGACGCCCAGATCCGCAGCTTCCAGAACGACGCCACCGATGCCGAGGGCAACTATCAGTACAGAAGCAGCAGTCCACTACACCCAGTCATTGTTGTTAAGTGACGTTATACTAGTAGTTATCGTTAATAAAGAATGTCAATAAAAATACTTCAACTTGCGAGCTCAATCTAAAAAAATGTCAAGAAAATTTACTTGCCTTTTTTAAACATTCTGTTTAAAGTTTTATTTTGATAAGCAGGGAGAATGGAAATGAAATGTTTAATTTGTTTATTACATGATTTACAAAACATAAATGTGTGATGCCATGAAACGTTGGCTCTTCAAAAAAATACATAGCTTAATTTTTCATTGTTATTTGCTTAAATCCATTGGGATATTTAATCCATACCAAGGAGAGCCCTTAGCTCTTCCAATTTAACAGAGTCCGTATGCTTAAAATGATATAGCTTCTGGTAAAGATGTTGAAGTGCTCCAGGATTTGGGATTGAAGGAATACTAACTTGTAAACTCTAATGGTTAAAAAAGAAAAGATTAAATAAAAAGGTAGTTATTTCAATTCAGTGTAAACTCACCCTAAGAAAACCATTCCCGATGTTGAACACGTTTACTAAATAAGGAGCTGGTTCAATGAATCCAATGCGAAAAATGGAAGAAATCGTACTGAATTTTTTTACAGATTGGACCATCAATTTGTTTACTTTTATGAAAAGATTTTTAATTTTTCTTTCTTTTTCTTCAGCCGTCGATTTTTTGATTTGATAAAAGGAATTAAAGCATACGAAGTCAGGATAATAGTACTGAACAGAATCGTTAAAAAAGTTAAACGAGAGTGCAAACTGATAAATTATTAGGGGGAGTTCCTCCCAGCCATTTGTACCATGTTTCATGACGAAAATCTTAATTGTTTTTTTCCCCCATATTAATGCTGGCGGTATACTTCTTTCCGCTCTTACATTTAAAGTTGTGCATTCTGTCGATGACCCTTTTTAAATCGCAAGAGAACAGTTTGAACAGCTCTTCACCGCTTACATAACCGTTCTTAACTGCTGGATGATGAACAGCCGTCTTGAGTTTAAAGCGGCATTTGTAATCCTGGTGAACGTGGTCTTTCTCAGGTGTTATAGAAAACGGCATGTTAATCCACAGCATAGGCATTTCAGCATTAATATTTGATGGTTCAGAAAAAAAATCTAAGTGAAAGTACAATATTGAATAGTGTTAGATGTATGTGTGTACATACATATTTAAAACGAAATTAAAAAAGTTAATCTTTTTTTTACAAAACGACGACAATGCATTTAAAAAACGTTGGAACAAAGGCGTTTTTCTGATTAATTCTGTTGCCTTCACTGTTAATGTGGAGCGAGCACTTTTTTACAAAATTATGTTAATTTTTGGTAATCTTCAAAGTTTTTTTGATTGATATAAAATAATTTTTTAATTCTACAAATTACGGCTTACATGTCTGGTCCAATTTACTTATTGTTCCTTTAAAAATAGAATTGATATTCCCGAACTCCTTAGTTATTTGCTCGGTAAATTCGGATGCATCCTGAACATTTAGTTCCTGTTCAGGTGATAAGATTATTGATATATTTTCTGCAAGCAATTCCAGCGCTTCATCAAATTTGAGTGCCATAGCGAAGTCGTAGCTTATCCTTCTTGATCCGGGGGAAATCCAAAACTAAACTGAACTTTTGCGTCGGCGCTGATCCTCAAATTAGGTATGAAACTAGAGTGGCGAACAATCGATTGCAAAATCGATACTATCAATTGTTTTATAGGAATTTATTTCATCGAAATTTAATTAGGAGCTGAACAACAATAACTGGAAGGTTTTGGGTGACTGGCACCAGACTTTTAAGTAAATTTAGAATTTGATTTATTTTATAAAATTGGTTCAAAGGTATTTTAAATTATAATGTTAAAAAAACCGAGAAAAAATTTAAGCCAAACTAAGGATGCAGTTTCATAGAGGGCTATGTCACTAGCATTTTAAGGTATACTAATCCAAACTCGGACATCATTAGGAAAAGTTATGGGCTTTACAGTGCTGGTTTTAGGCCATTTTTCGAAAAAGGCCAGTTTTTAGAAAACAAAAAACGTTCGATTCCGATTGTGATGCTGATCTCCTGATCATATACATATATATATATATTCTTTGTGGGGTTTGAGCTGTCTCCCCTACTGCGTTTCAAACCTCTGAAAGGGTATAATGAAGGTAATTTTAAGTTGACCCGCCATTGCTAAGAAAGATTATAAAGCGAGAGTCACTCCAGTAGCACATAAATTACATAATTCGTATTTATTTACAGCCTGAAATAAGAAACTCACGTTTAACACACTATACTTTTAGGCTTCCAGCTGAAAAAAAGAGGTTTAACTAGTGTTTTCGCAATTCGCATGCTTTAATTCGCTTACAAAATATGTGTTAGGACGTTTTTAAATTCGAGCGAGCCGAACTTGTTTCGAAAATTGGCAAATGCTCCCCGTCGTTTTTTTTTTTGGAGGTGGGTTGTTACCCGGAAAGAAATTTCCGCTTATTTTATTAAGTCATCGAAAGGTCGCCAAACAGAACCGCGACTCATTTCCATCCAGTTTTCAAATTTCCATATCTGAGAATAGACGTAAATATTAATCAGACACACAGACAAATAAAGCTGTTAGCAGTTAATGGGATAACAAGCTAGAATTCGTTGGGGTCACCCAACATTTTGTGTTTGGGCGTGCCTTTGTTTGCTCTTTATGGTCGCAAAGACCATAAATTCACGCCGCGAAAGAATCAATGGATGGATTGATTTATAACCCAGGCAGAACAGCCCCAAGGTTTTGTGCATGATTTGGATGATAAACATTTGCGCATTTCGGAGAGCTTACAACAACTAGCAACAACTTATTGTAGGTCTTGACTCTTATGGTATTATAGTTAGTCGGTGATTAGTACATGCTATGGAATGTTCAGCCTTCTTCTTGGACACTTGCATCCAAATTGATGATGAATTTGCTCGATCAGGAACTTCAGAAGAAATTCGGGTTCTTCAGCTTGCCGTCTTCGGTGTGGGTGCGTATGTACTCCAAGGATCGCAGGATATAGTCGGGGGTTGGCGGAGGCTTGGGCAGATGTCGGCCCACCACGTGGAATCCCAGCTCATCGGCTATGTAGCGGGTCTCGATGTTAACGCCCTCGGGCGAGGTGTAGCTAAAGATGCCAATGGTCTCCAGGGGAGATCCCGCCGCCTGGACATCAATGCCATTGCTGGTTTTGAAGGCGTACTTGAACACGCCCTCGTCATCCGAAGGTGAAACCCGGAAGTCGGTTATCTGGGCATCGCGCTCGTCACCACCCACCAATCTCCGGATCCGGCGAACCCTCACCAGCCGCGCATCGACCTCCACCCAAATCAGGGCGAAAAACGCCAGGCAGATGAGCTGAAACCAAAAAGGGGTCTTATCAGCCACGAAGATCACGGATCAGATTGGGAACATCTGATATGGGCTCATGGCCAAAATGCTTACAAAATGTCGCATATTTTTCGGCTTTATGTTTTCGCACTGACACTAATTCAAATTAGACACTTGGGGACTTATGATCGATTTTGTAACAATATTCCGATCCGATGTAAAAAGGTTCAGTCACAGTCACTGCGAAGGTTCGACGTCCGCGAGGTTTAAAGTTTGCCACCGTACTGCCAATCCGACCAGCTGGTCTTTTCCAATTTATATGTGGTAAACAACGGGCCAAAACGCAAGCCACGAAAATCTAATAAGCATAACCAAATGCCAATAATCGTTGGCTTCGTCTTTTGTAGCGCCTCTTGAAACAAAATAAATGCTGTGTGGTGTGGCTACCCTGCCCACCGATTCTAGCTCTCGATAGCAGGTCATATCGAATCTACTATATAATTCATTTCCGTTTATCATGTTTGCTTATTCATATTTTATGATTTCATACGTCAGATGCTAATAAGCGACACTAAAAGTGCTAAGTAGCGCGAGTTCTTGAAGATCTGCTGCCTATTTTTGTGAAATTTATGGTGGCAGAGTTTCCGATTTTGGTTTTATTTGTCTGAAATAAAATTAAAAACTGTTAAGTAAAGGTTTGTGTGTATTTTTAGCATTGTAAAATATTTTGTTTATACTTATTCTTTCACTTCTTAATAATTATCCACGGCAAACACACCAAGGTTAAGTACGCAGTTTGTCGTTAAAGGTGCATAATTTTTACACTTAGGTATTTATCACTGGAAGAATTTACCACCTGGGGTTCCAAACACGGAAGCATTTTGGCTCCCAGCATGTTCTGAAATATTCACATAAAAAATATTAATATAATTTTTAGAGCCTCCTCTTGTTTTAAAGCGAATGCAAATGACGAACAAAAAAATCTTAGCAAATGCCATAAACTCGTAGAAAATAGGCCATCAAATTATAAGAAGCCAGCTGGAATTCGGATTAGCAGAAGTCTTTTTAATGTTTTTGATTTGTTAATTGGGTTGAAGAAAAACATAATTAACGGAACAGTTCCGTATGGAGAAGAATAGCGACTAGGCTCTAGAGCTTTACAGGTTCAAGAGCAGACTGATTCTCGATTTTCGATTGAGTCGCAGCAAGTTCGTTGCCTGAGTCTTTTGTTTGCTGCTCCACATGCGTGAGTGTAGCTTCTTGAGTTATGGTAATTTTCGAAGAACACTCAGCATAAACATCCGTTGCTTATGCTCATATTTACATACGCCTTAATTAATGTTCTCAAAAGTGTCAGATGCCCCAAAGGGTCACCCGCAGCGTCATCGTAGTCAACTATCTAATAGTTCACAAACGATGAGAAGATGATCTCTAGCAGAAGGAGAACTGGAAAAGGCAGTTAAATTGTAGTTTTTGATTTTGGTTTTCTTGTTTTTCGTGTTTGCGTTTCGCAACCGATTCTAAGGCTAAACTATTTGGCGTCGATTTGTGTTACTTAATTAATGTTGTCCGCAAAAAAGATTTCAACTCGTTTGATTTGAAGATTTATGTCTGAAAATTAGCCGAAGATTATTTTCGCTTCATGCTTTCATCTTCATTGAGTGCCCCTTTTGCTATGTAAATCCATGGAAACACAGGCGTTGTTGCTTAATTAGCAAACAGTGTTTAAGACGAACAAACACAATGCACATATCATTAGGCGAACACACATGAATTCTGATTGATGGGCTGATTGATTCTTCGGACCGACACCTTGACGAGCGGCAAGTTGTAAAGTTTGGGCTATGCAAATCAAGGGGCGCGGGGCTCAATCATACAAGTCGTGCAAGGTCTGGGTCTGCATAGCTCCATATTCCACACAGTGGGACGAAATTATCAGAAAAACGTTGACAATTTGTTGGTTAAGAATAATAAAATTGAAGAGGAAGAGGACAAAACGTTTTGCAAAGATATGATGAAAAAAATTAAGGTTCTTTGGTTCCTTAAAATATTTAAAATAACACAAACTTTAAAGATATCACTTTGGAATATCATTGAAGTTGGTTATTTACTTATTGAGATTTATTAAATTTTGGGGATTTTAACAACCAGTTCCCAGGGGCTAACAAACAGAAGTTATTTGCTCGGGCATATAACTCACTCAAACCCAAAAAAAAAAAAATCAACCATGATCAATGGTTGTGCAGTAAACCTTTAGCATTTCCAGTTTCGCTTCAAAATCGCAAACGGTTTACCGAATAATCAAAGTTGACGTATTATATGCATATTTAGCACGCCTCATTAAATCAAATTAATATATTTGGTATTGGCTTTTTAGTTGAGACTAGAGTTTAACCATGACCTTTTACAACCGAAAATAGAATTCAATTATAATAAATTAATAGCTAAACGACATAATTTGTCAGAGGCGGGATGTCCGCAATTTGGACACCTGACTCACGTCGGAACCACTGTGCATAGCTTTCGATTTCAGTTCGCTATGCAGGCACACCTACAAATGGACCCCGAAAAATCCAAAACAACTTCATTGTCAGGCGATAATGACCGGGCATTAGCACAAAATCAATATAAATCAATTCCCGGGCTAAAAACTTGATTTTTTGGTGACACCGCGGCTGATTTTTGGCTGCACCGATTCCCTGGTTATGCTTCCTCGTCTGCTTTTCTGAGAACAATTCCCAGAGAGCTCACCGATTAGCTTGAGCTTCCTCTATGCAAATTCGAAAGCTTCCTTTTCGGCCTGGCCAAATCATTTTTTTTGCGGGCCAGTTTCAACTTAACTTTCGAGCGCAGCAGATCGCGTCGCATTTGCTGACCGCTTTATAACGGTTAAAACTGGGAAACTGATTTGGATTCAGGTTCAGTATCAGTATCAGTATATCAGGTTCAAGATCCACACCGTAAAAACAAACATTCGGCATCATTTTAATTAGGCAGAGATGATGATGTTGCTCGGCAAGGTTTGTGCGGAGTTCTGTGATTGTTATTAGCTTCATTAAACCTCCATCAACTACCCCACCGATCAGATTGCGGTGTTCCTGGCCATTTTCCAAGCGCATTTGTGTGTGGCAGCCATCGCTTCTTCGGCGGCCAGGAGCATCTACTATCGGAATACCCCGCCGGATGCCTTTGGCCACTACAGCTTCGAGTTCCAGACCACCAATGGCATAACCACCAAGGGAGCTGGTAACGAAAACGGAGCCGTCGGAGTGGTGCAGTTTGTGTCCCTCGAGGGGATTCCCGTGACCTTCTCCTATGTGGCCGATGCCAATGGCTATCAGCCCACTGGAGACCACATTCCGGCCATTCCGCTGCATGTCATCCGCCAACTGGAGTACATCCGCTCCCATCCGCCGGTGGATGAGCGTCGGTCGAGGCGTTGGTAAAAGCCGCGGATATAAAACCAATTAAATATTGACGCTTAAATAGCCGTCGATTGGCTGGCTTATCGTTACACTCGGGGAATATGTTCATTTCGTATTTATTTTTATTGTTTTTCCATGCAAATGGAACATACGAAAGAACAACAGCGCCAGCAAAACAAAATCATGCCAAAATATATAGCAAGCCAATAAATATTCTAGAAATATAAATAAAGTGCTAGTGTTAATTGAAAGTCCGGAAATTTCACGTGGAGGCAGGAAGTTTATTCAATAAATAACTATTAAAAAACATTAACAATTCCTGCAACTGAGAAGAAAGAAAAAAATAATTTTTAGCAATCGTATTAATAGCAATCTAAAATATTTTCCACAGTGGAAAAAAACAATTTTAAAATATCTCTTGGCAAATAATAATACATATAATATATTACACTAAACACAAACAAAAAAACATTTTATAAAATTGATACTACATAATTGGGCTTACATAAAATTGCAATATTAGGTTTGAAATTTTTAAGACTTTAGAGATCTATCATTTTTGTACCACCTTTTCTTCAGTGTAGAAACCGACCAACTAAGCTCATGAGATATGTTAAGAATGTTCTTTTATATAGTCTAAGATTTATGCGCTGCATAACTAGTCGAAATCATGTTTTCTATGCTAATGACTCACGAATTCAACCGCACTGAAATGTCAACTTTCATCAGTTCACTTCGGCTGTGGCTTCTTTGTTATAAAAATGTCATACCATTACCGATCCGATCCGATCTGCGACCTTGTCTTTAAGAACGACTTTCGCTTTTGGGGCAATCAGCGAGAAGATTGCGCCTGTCTCACGCTCATTTGCATGTGGGCGCCTAATTAAGGCCGCTGCATAATGTTGACCGACTCTCCAAGTCCGACTTAATGTAACCAGACTAATAAACCAAATTGAGTTGACACCGTTTAATGTCACCGAAACAAGTTGCTGATTGATGGTCGCCACAAATTAATCCCCCCTTTAGTTCCGGCCTTGGAAGAGATAACCAAAGGCATCTCAAAAGTTCATCATGTAAATGAACAAATGCCTATCGCTGCACTAAATTCCCCAGCATGTTCGTAGAATATCCCATTCAAACATATTTAGTTATGAATAATTCATAGAGGGATCGCTTATCTGATCTTCCTCTCAACAACGTATCCATTAAGCTTAAAATATGCATTAGATAAATGACGAACAACCCGCAGGCGCGGATTGCCAATTTGTATACGTCCCATTTTTGGATGGCCAACTATCAAACAAACATTAGTTCGTTCTATCTGATCATGTCCGTCGTCGGATTTATCTGAAAGTTTAACCACGTGCCAATCCGGTTGCAGTATTTCGGTTGCTGATTTCAAAATCTCAACAGTCGGTGATTTATGAATCGGAACGGGCATTCATAAGGCTTTAATGGCAGTCCAAACTGCTTTTGTGCCACCGCTGTGAGTTTTGCTTCGAACTTAGTATTAAATCTTATTAATCAACTCCCTGAAAATTTAACCATGCATACATCAATAGCCAACAGGTGTTGGGCAATTAAGAACAATCCAAAAGTTTCGCTTTAAAATATTAATACCCCGAATATTTTTTTTCATAACTTACCAATCTATTTTTAAAGGTCAACGCCCCAACAGACTTGAGAAATGAATGTTCAAATCAATGCTGACAATATCTAAACGGTGGGGTTTACTGGCTGACTTATAAGCCATCTATATTCATTGGATCGCAGTTGCCATCGCCGTGTTTAATTATCTTATCTGAATTGATTTACATGCATTCCAAATTCCAAAGAGCGCACACAAAGTAAACAGAAACATGAAATTGATGTTCGTTTCTTTACAATAATATATTTCAAGTTGCTTGACATATATGTGTACCTATATATTTCTGGGTGTGTTTGTGGCGTGTACTTGTTGTGTCTGTCATCTGAAACTGGGGGTTATTCAAAGTGGGTTTCGGGTAACATCAACCTAGTATTACAATTTTAGGGGGATCACGAGTTGTTAGGAAGAAGCACTATTTGTGAATCAAGTTGGTCCGATTTAGGACCTCCATTCATCTTTATTATATGTTTTAATCGAATTTATTTAATGTAAATGTTGTTTGTGTTGTGTTGGCGTGTAAATACATATTTTAAACATATTCCAAGTATCTCACATAAACTCTACGTTTATACAATTTTTTCTTGTCACATTCATCTTGCAGTTTTGTCTATACTATAACTAAACCTAGACACGATTTTTTAGTGGCAGCCAGAGCGATCTGGGTTGAGATCCCTGGCAGCCGAGTGCGAAACGGACCGAATGAACAATTTGATTGATTGAATTACTTGTATCTGGTATCTTGTGGTTCGGGCTGGCCAGAAACGTGAATAAGAAATCGTTTGTTTAGTTTACTGGAGTGTTTAATACATATGCTAAATGTAAATATATATTGAATAGGCTCGTGTGTGTGTGTTTGTATCTCTGTCTTCGTGTTCAGTTGTCAGTGTAATGTTGGTTTCCGGTGTTTTGGTGTGTGTCCGGGTGTTGGATGCAATTCTGGGTGTGCAAAAGTCCTCCAGAGACCTTGAGCGTGCCCACAGCTAAAACCTGCAGAAGATACGTCACTCTTAATATGGTTTCTCAGGTAAGTGCTTCTCCCTTCAACTCACCAGTCCTCTTCGCATGCCAGTATGGTGTAGTGGTCACGACCCCGCCCCTAGGGCCAATCCTAGTCGGCCTTCGCCTCCGTAAACTCTTCCAGAGCGAAGAAACTGCCACCGGAGGCGCCGCCGCTGCTGCTTGCCGTGCTGGTCGCCACCACGGTGGTGGATGCCGTGGCGCTGGACGCCTCCGACACTTGCACTTCCTCTCCGGCCGAAGCGGCAGCCGCCTCCTTGTCATCGGCACTGCCAGAGGCGCTGGCTGCCGCCTGCTGAGCGGCCTCCAGAACCTGCTGCTGAACCTGGACGATGGGCTGGCCATCTTCCGTGTACGATACGGAGACAGGGATGCGGGTGCCATCCTCGCTGATGACATGGGCGCCTTCCTCGCCATCCTGACCCTGCTGAATAATCAACTGTCCCTCGGAATTTAGGAGGGAGGCGTCGATCAGCTGCTGCTCATTGTTGTCGCCATGAACGAGTACCATCTGACCACTTCCGTCGGTCATCATTTGAAGAGTTTCTCCCTCGAGTCCTTCGCCCGACTGCAGGACACCCACGCTCTGCAGAAGCTGCTGTATTTGCTCGGGATCTTGTACAATTATCTGGTTGCCTTCGGCGTCGGTCAGGATGTGATTGTCCAGCTGGAGGAGATGGCCGTTCTCGTTGACGATGAACTTGATCTGGCCACCATCCACCTGTGCCTGCATGGCTTCGTCTAGTTCCATGGCCACATGCTCGCCACCGGCAGCTTCTCCAGCCTCGCCCTCAGCTCCTGTGCCGGCGGTCACCTCGCCCTCGCCAGTTTCAGCGCCTTCAGTGGTTGCGGCAGCGGCTTCCGATTCGGCCGTGGGCGTGTCCGTGGCTTCCCGCTTCTCGCCTTCGTCCGAGGGTTGGGGTTCCTCTGCTGCCGGCGACTCCTTTGCCTTAGTGCTCTCGCCTGCCTTGGCCTTGGGTTTCTCTTGTCCTGCTTTGCTGGTCGGCTTGGCTTCCTCGGCGGCTTCGGTCTCGGCAGCTGCAGCCTCATTGTCATCATCTAAACTGGGCATTGAAACGGGAGCGGCATTGGACTTGCTGTCGGCGGAGGAGGCCTCGCCGCTTTCGCCCTTGGCGTCGATGCTGCCCTGCGATTGGGATTCGTCCTCTGCTTGATCGAGATTAGGCATGTCAATGCTAACGGAGACAGGGGCTGCGGCGTTTGGTGAATCCTTTTGCGACTGATCACCGTCTGGCTGCGGGATCGTTATATTGAAGGTTATGCCCCCGCTGCCCTCCTGTGAAGTGATGACCATTTCGCTGCCTTTGCTGCCCGGCTTTGGAGCCTCGCCGCTCTCGTTCTTGTCGGAATGCAGCTTCTCAAACAGGCTTTCAATGTCGGCCTCGGCATTTTGCTCTCCGCCCTCTTCGCCAGCCTTTCCGGTTGCTTCTCCGGGCTCGTCACTCAGTAAGGCCGTGGCTGCCGAATTGAGGGCAGTGGCTCCGGCCGAAGCTCCCTTCTTGTCACGCCTGTGAGTCTCCATGTGGTGGTTGTAGTACGTCTCTTGAATGAAAGTCAGCGAGCAAATGCTGCACGAGAAGAAGCGGATGTTGTTCTCCGCCTCGCTGGTGGCCACAACAGCAGCAGCAGAACCCGAAGCGGGCACAGAATCGCTTAGTGCCTCGTCAATAGTCTCCTGAAGCAACTTCTGGGTGTTCAGGTTCTGGCTGACCGGCTGCTTGGGAGAGACAGCCGCGGCGGTCGGATTTTGATGCACCTCGAAGTGCTTGACAAGCAGCTCCCGCTTGGGGAAGGTCATCGAGCAAGTGCCGCACTTGAAAAAGTTGGTCTGATGCTGCTTGGCGTGCACGGTGGCCGCTTCGCGCGTCTCGAAGCGCTGCGAGCACAGACGGCACTTGAATGGCTTGGGCTTGCCAGCAGTATGCTTGCGCATATGCTCATCGAAGACCGCCTTGTCCGTGGACTTGAATTGGCAATGGTTGCACGTGTACAGCGAGGCTCCGACAACGTTTAGATTCTCAGAAGCGGCGGCAGCAGCAGCGGCCGCAGCGGCAGCCACCGGAGCAGCAGCAGCCGGTATGGTAGTGGTGCTGGTCACCAGCACATTGGTGGCATGGTTCGTCTCCATGTGCTTGCGCAGGCTGGTCTCGTTCACAAAGTTAATGTGGCACATGGCACAGGTGTTGTCCATGGCGGTATTGTGGTCACGCACCATATGCTGTTTCATGGCGCCAAAGTGCGGGAAGATCTTGCGGCAGGTCTTGCACTGGAAGGTCTGCTGCTTGCAGGTCTCATAATGGGTGTTGAAGAGCCGCATGTCCGAGGTCTTGTAGTCGCACGAGGTGCACTTGTAGATCTTGGTGGCCTTTCGCTGCACCGTCTGTGTGCCCGGGATGCCCTGGTTCCCGCCAGCTGTTATCTTGGATTGGCCTACTTTCGAAGACGAGGAATCGTTTTACATAATGTTGGGAATTGCCTTAAACTAACTGCTCACCTGGTGTTCCCTGCAAGACCTTGCGTGGACGCAGCAAATCTCCACTAGGACTCTCCTCCAGCGACCGATTGGCCGATCCAGTGCCCATCTTCTGCATCTTAAGCGGCGGACTGCCTTCCAAGCCCACCTCCTCGTTAATTGCATACTTCTTGTTGAGCAAACTGATTAGGTTCGTCTTGACGCGCTCCACATCGTTCTCCAGCCGGTCGTAGTAGTTAACCAGGTTGGTGCAGCGCGAGCACACGTAGTCCTCACCGCAGACAATGACCAGAAATCCCTCGCCCACCAGCTGGGCCAGTTTGTTGGGAAACTTGGTGGCCGTGTGGGTGGTGCACATATCGGTGAGCGAGGTCTGCGGTTCACAGCGGTCGTCGCAGATGTAGCATCGCGTGGCCAGACCGCCGACTCCCAATCCACCGGCTTCAGCATCGCTAACCGCTTGCTGGACCCCAGCGGCCGAGCCTCCTCCACTGGCCACTCCAGAGGCCCCACCTCCTCCGCCGCCGCCGCCACCAGGAAGCACCATTCGCGTCGTCTTGAGGATTCGGGGCTGACTGGGGCCGGTCACGGTGACCGCTCCGCTACTGAGCAGATTGTTGAACTTTCGGTAGGTGGCCGGGTTTAGTTGGTTGTTCATCGTGTGGCGCTTCGGATCCAGATGAGCACGCCGTAGTGATGGTGTTCCTTTGCTGTTTGCGGGCGCAACACGCGCAACTGCAAGCCGCTATTTTTCAATTAATCGGCGATTACGACCAAACTGCACCTTTGCACACGGGCACTTCGCAACTTTAGCTTATTTTATCACGGGGCACAGCGCGTTTTTTCTTTTCGTTGCGGGACACCAGGAACAACAATCTTCCTCCGGTTTTTAATTCTCGATTTTTGTTCTGGGTTGTCGCGGCGTCACTTTGACTGTACTAAACACTCGGGTGCTGTATTTTTTAGGGTTAAAATGCGTATGTTGGTGCAGCGGTTCTTGTCGCGCCTATATCGTTGTCTCGCTCTTTAGCATGCTCGCTGCCCTGGCTTGGCGGCCGTATGCAAGCTAGTCGTCTCCCTTGCTCGCCACGGAAATGGCGGCTGTCTGGGAGATTATGCACGAACAGACAGAGAAAAAATATGACAGCGTTGCAATTCAGTATGATGGCACAAATAATTATTAGGGTAAATAATGTATTTGATCTATCTCTTGTGTATAGTGAACGCTGGAAATAATTTAAATATTTTTTAGGTTCCATTTTTGTAATAAAAATGCGTAATTTGCTTGATTTAGCCCATTTACCGATGACGTGTCTTGTGTGTCAGGCCATGTCATGCAAAAACAGTTCTTCTGGCTGCCGCCAGAGGGCTTACTTGCCCGCGTTTTTTGAATGGTATAAAATTCCAATAAATACTTCAAATATTTCAGCCATGAGGCAATTTACTAAATGATAAAGGCCAACATCACTAATGTGTTAATACAGAAGGCCGATAAGATGCCCCACAATCTTATCAGCGCCGATAATATAATATTTACCATCTATACGCAGCAAAAACGTTAAGGCCCGTTTAATGTATGGCCAAAAGCCAACCATTCAGTTAACGAACGAAACGAAAAGCGAGCGGATATCGACTCGGCACCGAAGTGAAATCTAGATATAAAAAACAAAAATAAAAGCCATTAAAAGAGCCCAATCGCTGGGTTATCGGAAAATAAACGTCGCGAAATTAATTGTCCAGCTCGATCGTTCAGTTGGCCAACGGACGTCGTGTATATCAAAAGTGCACTCGACCCAAACGTTCGATCGAATTGAATTCCGCATTCGGGGCGTGGGAATATAGCTATTAAAGCAACCCCTATCTACTATATCAAACAGTCGCTGCAATATGTATCCACCACCAGCGCCGAGCATCAAGCACTTTGGCTCACTGAGAACAGCCGTACTTTGGGCCGGAATTCTCGGAGTGGTAAGTCAACCGATGTAACTCACTGCCACAGTCACTGACAATCGACCGCGACCCCATTGCCCGCGCCCATTGATAAGAGATAAAGACAGATATTGGCACTCTCACAAATTGTATGCCCTCTCGGTATCGCAGGGTCCACTGCTCCACCTGATCGTCGGATAATCGTGACATAATCAACATTGACTCATTCGGGAAGATTCCCGCTCACAAAAGGAATAGATAACCAATCCAAATGACGTGTGTGAACAAATCGAGATAGGGACATTTATACATAGAAATAATATTGAAAAAAAATAGATTAAAAATGGCATGGGTTTACTCAGTGATCAATGAACAAATGACGACTGAGATAATATTGTTTGACTTTTGAAAATTTTACCTTTTTTTGTGTATTGTTTAGTTCTTGTTATAAAAAAAAAAGAAAACAATAAAAATTTTACGATTTAATAGTTTTTTAAACATAAAAAAGCGTCTACAATTTGCATACCAATAAATTAAAAATTTGAATGTTCTTAAAAAAAAAAACAATTCCTTAATAACCTTAATATTTCTACAGGCTCAGTCTCTTATCTGGATGGGCTTGACCATTACAGCGATATGCGCCTTCAACTGCGTGGTGTACATCACGGACTATCTTAGCTATGGCACCATGGTCAAGACAGTATTCTTCGACCTATACTTCAAGGGCGGATGCAGAATGAGCCCCAACGATTACCAGAACTACGACCAAACTATTCTGAATACAGTGAGCACCGTTTTTGATCCCAGTCAGATGTTGATATGGGATTCCGTGTACTTGGGAGTATCGGTCTGCTGGCTCATCGTCTCCATTGTGCTACTACTGTGTGAGTATCCGGGGAACCGGAAACGAACTGCAAATAGAGCTAAGATATCGAAATTTATATGATTCACTTGGAGAAATCAAGGAATTTATTTTATCAGACAGCCGAATCTGTTGATAAAATCCAAAGAACCTCGCATGCCAAAACGCCTGCCATAAAGATAAATAAACAAAAATAGTCATAAGTTGGTTGAAAACTTATATGGTTTGTTGTACAAATATTTAATTGATGGTTATTCCCCGAAATACTTTTTTGTTGACTTCTGTAAAAGGCTTAGTAAGGTTCTTTTGGAGTAAATACATACAGATAAATTCAACAAAATTTCTTATCAAATGCAATTCTTTAAATGGCTTTAGGAATCCTATGACAAAGGAAATAGGCAATTACTCAGCCAGTAGGTACATTACACTCTTGGCTTATAAATTATTACAAACGTACGTTTTTATCTATATTTCGATATCTTAAATAAATAAGTACTGTGTAAATACTTTTCAGTGATTAATGATATATTTTGCCCCTCTGTTTCATTTTAAACAGAAAACTAAAACAAATTCTACTTCATAAAAATCTTTTACAAAAAAATAAATTAAAATGTTTTTTTTTACTTACTTTTAACGACTTAATTAGAAGATTGATTGATGTATCGCCAATAAGTCATTCCATCTAAGAATCACATGTTTTTAGGTGAATGGTGATATTATTTTTGCGACAACCATTTAACCCCCTTGTGATGGATCATATTTTATAAATTTGTTGTTAAATTTTTCAGGGGTGCGCAAGGACAATCCAAAGCAGACTCTGGCAGCCATCTACACCTGGGCCTTCTTCGTGGCCGCCATCTGCTGCATGGATGTAGCTTCTGGAGTGATCTTCGGAGTCGATTACGGACGCTTCAATGATGCGGCTCTGACATACAATGCCAATAGTATTAATGCTGGTACAATAGAACCGATGGCTGCCACTTTAATCGCCGGTGCAGTGGCTGCGATATCCATGATGATCATCTCCTTCAAGGGATTCGTTCTGTGGTTCATCAACTTCGGACTGCTCGTTTACCTCCTCATGAGAGCCACTCGCATTGCCACCGATAAGGATGGTTTGGTAGGTAGCAGTGGGGGTCAGTCGGGGTGGTGAGCTCATCGCCCACTTATGCTCGCTGGCGTTGTCTTCTCCGGATTCCATAAATTTCCGCCACTGTCTGCTAAAATATTCGAACAACGCAGAAAGTGAAATAAATTGGGTGGTGACTACAACATGGCTAAACTTAGCGCTTTGTCGCCATAAACGGTAAATGCTGATAAGTAATTGGCCTCATGTTGGCCTGATAGCGGTTTCTGAGTTCGCTTCACCCAAAAATAAGTGGGCTAAGGTACGGGTGTTCTTTCCCAGGACAGTGTGCTCCTCCAGAAATTTTAAACCTTCCACAAGTAAACCTTCAATTTAGATAAAAAAAATACCAAAACTTATCCAATTTAAATTATTGTTTTGCAAACCTTATATTGTACTTAAAATAACTAAATTTAAATTATATTTTTATTTCCACAGGATACTTTGTTCAATCCTCGCAAGGATTCAAATGATATTTTGACCACCAGGGCGCCGATCCGCGCCTACGAAGAAGAGAAGTGAGTATATTGGACATACAATATCCTATTATGCAGTGGCGGATCCACGGGGGGGGAAATTAGGGAAATTTCCCCCCCCTTGGAACCAGAGAACCTGAAAATTTTACTTGTTTGCTATGGTTGACTTTTCAAATATAACCACTTTGTTTACCAAAAAATTGGGATGGATAATTTTTGTTTTATAATTTGTACTGTATTTCTCTCGCAATAATAAGTTTGAACCCCAAATCGAAGAATAAGTTCAATTTTCCCCCCCCCAAGAATCGTCTCTGGATCCGCCACTGTATTATGTATATTAATTCTCTATTTTCCTCAACAGGGTTGAGATCCAGGCGTATAACAATGCTGCCTATGTTCCGGAAACCCGCTCCATGGCGGAAACCATCGAGGTGAACGAGGACGCCATTGTCCGTGCGGCTCACATGTCGATGGACGCGACTCTGATGGATCGCCGCTTCCGGGACATAAATGCCTTCCAGCAGTATCCGGCTCCCAATCCGCAGGCCAGTCGCCCAGTGCGTCAGTCCTCGCAGGTTCCGGTTCAGGAGACCGTCGTGGTGGCCACCTCGGGATTCCCCGTGCCCGACTATTCCCCGCAGCCCAGTCCCAATGGCATTTTGCGGACCCACCAGTACTAAGCCTATTGGCGCCCCGAAAAGTCACCTCTTCCATAATATAATTCTCAAATAATCCCCCAAGTGACAGCTAAAGTTAGTTCAAATTTTATCAGCATGAACAAATGTTCAGTGTGTTGTTTTTATTTATTTGCATGTTAATAACAAAATATGTGTGCAGTTGTAAATATATGAAATCGTTTTAGTTGTTTGCACCACCAGTGGAATCGTATTTGTTTATATTGTTCATTTTCTTGAGCTGATAAGAAGCTGTTTGCTGATTAAGATGGAAAACGGCCCCCAGCAACGATTTAATTGGGTAGAGATTGCAAATACAGGAGGGCTAATTAAACTAATCTTTATTTTACTTATTATTTAAATTTGCAAAATAAATAAACAAAGAATAATTATGAAAGAAAAAATAACATTTTAACTGAAATTGGGATAAATTAAGTAATTGAATTAATTTGTATTATTTTTCATAAATATTCAAAATGCTTATTTATGATTATTTATAAAAATGGCTTACTCTGTTTTAAACAACCCGCTTAAATACAAAGTAGTGCGATACACCGATATACTATTGTTATCGACGACAAGGCGGTATGGAATTTTTAGTCCCATCCCCTAGTAGCCGCTGTTTCCTCGGGTCAACAAAAGTTCACAACAAATTCTCGGATTCCTGATAAGCGAGGGCAATATTCGACTTTCATCTCTCGGGCCGGGCAATAAACGTAACGTGTGTGATTTGATTTCTATCATTTGTCATCGAAACACCCCGGGGAACGGACGGAAAATTCGCTTTGCCGGCAGCTGCTTTTGTTTTTGCATTGGGAAAATATGGTTTTCATTACGAAATTCGCGAGGATTGGACTGCAGGCAGCCCGCCAGCTGAGTGCTACACCCCTTGCCGCCGTCCAGGGACGCGCCTTCCACCTGACCAGCCTCCTCGCCAAAGGTAATCTTGGGTTTATGCAATAGCCAACGAATCTAAAACTGTAATCCCCCCCAGAACGTCGCTACACAAACAAACACGAGTGGGTGGAGCTGATTTCCGGAAACAACGCGATCGTGGGAATCTCCAGCTACGCTCAGGAAGCTCTCGGAGACGTGGTCTTTGCCCAACTGCCGGAACCGGGAACGGAACTCAAGCAGGACGATGAATGTGGAGCCCTGGAGAGCGTGAAGGCGGCAAGCGAGGTCTACTCGCCCGTCAGTGGCAAGGTGACGGAGAAGAATGGCGAGGTGGAGGACACACCTGCCCTGGTCAACAGTAGTTGCTATGAGAAGGGTAAGATCTGCTACAGAAACCCCATTCTAGTTCTAAGTAATCACGTATTCTCTTCTCTCAGGCTGGCTCTTCAAGGTAGACCTCAAGAACCCCAAGGAACTGGACAGCCTCATGACCGAGGAGCAGTACAAAACCTTCTTGAGCAGCAGTGGCGATCACTAGAACCAGCACCAACTTAACCTACTCGACTATAGCCTTTAAAACAAGCAAACTCGCATTTGTTATCAGCTCCTAAAAATCACACAAAAACCATCCAATCACCAACCAAACTCATCGCCATACACACGTTGTTGTAGCTCTTGAATTTGTTACGAATAAGAACCAACAGTAAAGCCAAATATTATATTTAAATTGGGCATCTTGACCTGCGGGTGGCAGACGCCGTCTGCTGCTCCCCCATGGAAACCTTCTGGGCGATAAGACCGAAGAGAAAACGTGTCGAGAGCAACTCAAAGATAAGAACCCACTCTACTCTACCAGAAGATTAAGAGAGTCTCGCGAGTCGAGAAAAGCACTCAATTTCATAATAGTACGGATCAGCTTGGAACGGCGTGCTTGGCCGGATTTGAAAATAGCATTCAACACTGTTGCTGGGACTGATGATGGCGCACGCCATCCACGGCATCCAGCCATCACCTGATTGATGATCGGCAGACGATGCGACACACCTTCCTCTCTGGAAAGTTACGCCGTGCTTGACCGATAAGGATGTACACTAAGTCGCGCCTTGGCATAATGCCCGATCAAGGTGATAAGCCCTCCGAAAAGCGCCGCCCATGTCGTACTGAACTTGAAGAGCGTGTTCTACAAAGCTTTGCCAGCCGAAAAGCTATGTCAACAGAGGCGAAAAGCTTGGCGGTGGCTCATTCGAGTGGTCAGTGCTCAAAAAGAACTCATTCCGTGCGGTGCGAGAAGCGCGTGCTGCTCGCAAAAACAACCCCAGAAATATAAAAACAATCACACAACACACTGTAAACTAAGGATAATTGCAAAACAGGATAATTACAGAGCTCGAAACAGGGAAGATAGTTCAAAAAGTTACCTGAAACCACAAATCAAAAACAAAATGCCAGCGGAAAAATCAATATACGATCCAAATCCGGCCATCAGCCAAAATGCCTACATATCCAGCTTCGAGGAATACCAGAAGTTCTACCAGGAGTCGCTGGACAATCCTGCGGAGTTCTGGTCCCGTGTGGCCAAGCAGTTCCACTGGGAGACTCCAGCAGATCCGGAGAAGTTCCTCAAGTACAACTTCAACATCTCCAAGGGACCCATTTCGATCAAATGGATGGAGGGTGCCTCGACGAACATTTGCTATAATCTCCTGGATCGGAATGTTAGGAACGGCCTGGGCGACCAAATCGCCTACTACTGGTGAGTCTGGCTGCTAATCCTCGCCCACTTTCCCCCTGGGTGGCGTAGGTCGTACGAAAACAAAAGTTTTTGGGTGGCAGCACAGGATTATTGATTTTTCGTGTGGTTACGAAACTTTCGCCTTGTGACGTCGCAAGGTGAGCTCTTCTTGGACAGGACTCACTGCGCAGGCACCGTTTTCGAAACAGATGATTCGTCTTCTTTTGTATATTTGTATATATAATATATGTGCCACTCAAGGGCACATCTCACCTCTTTCTATTGATTTTGGCAGGACCCTCTCAATTATTTGTTCAAGTCCAGCAAATTGAAGCTATTATTTTGATTGTGTTTAATGGGTTTAATAGTCTGCATGCTTAATTCGACAGTCTAATGACCCATAATTAATTCACTTTTGGGTGTTTTTCGGATGTCAAACCTCAGTTTCGCTAAACACTCTGGGTCAATGTCAGGGTCAGTTTTTATTCCTCGAGCTGCGAGACGACCCCCATAACATAGTGACCCGGCCAAGTTTACGCTTCGTATCTATTTGTTTATTTATTCAGCTAAAATCGATTAACAACTAAACCGGTTAAGAAAGCCTAACATTTTAAGTGGGAGTAGGAAACATTTTCTTTTTTATAAACCTTATATTAAGTAAAACACATCCTTATTAAAGAAAGTAACAAATCTTGGTTTGTATTTCCTTATTTCTACAAAATATCAAGTGCTTATAGTACATACATTTTTTAAAAACAAAATTTCCATTTACTTTATAATGGCGGCATCTAAAGGTTAATATGCCGAAAACAATTTATTTTACTGGCTATTCATTCACATAAAAAATTAATTGCATGGGTAATGTAATAAATATACACTTTTTCAATAATTGCTCTAAAGTTTAGTATCCCTTGTTCGTAATATTTTAGCTATTGCCCTCACTCATCTTCACGTGAGACGCTTGTTGAAAATAAAAGTAGTTCATTAAATATACACTATTTCAATAATTGTTCTAAAGTTCAGTATTCCTTGTTCATTATATTTTAGCTGTTGTCTAAAAGTTTTGATTGTTAAGCAAATGGTAAATAGTGACTTAACCCATATTTACGTTCTTCCCTCAAATGAATCGATAAATGGGCATGAATACTTTGTTGATTATTATAAAACAGCAGACACTCCGTTTTAAACCTTTCTTTGTACATTTGTGCTATTTAGCTGTGCACTATTTCAATAATTGTTCTAAAGTTCAGCATTCCTTGTTCGTAATATTTTAGCTAATGCCTGTCCCTCACTCATCTTCACTCGAGACGCTTGTTGAAAATGAAAAATTAACAATGAAAGCAAATATTAAATAGTGACTTAACCCCTATTTAAGTTCTTCCCTTTTATGAATCTATACATGGGCATCCACACTTTGTTGATTACTATTGAAAAGCAGACACTCCCTGTTAATGATAAGCTACCGAGAAGTGCTATATATTACCTTATGAGATTCTCAAGTACCCACTCAGAACGCAATTAAATTGAACAGCCTGGATGAAATAAGTATTTTGTTTTGGATGCGCGAGAAGATACGCTTTATTTTGAAGCCCAAAGTTCACCAAGCAATGCGTCAGGGCAAAAAAAAAGCACAATGTTAAACAAATGTTAATGCTAATGAGCTTATCTCGGGGTTATCACTAGAAAGGGGCGGATTGGCTGGGATCGGGGGAAATGCAAATGAAAGTCAGGTAATTGAAAGGCAATTACAAGGTCATCGCTAGAGGGTTCTCATTCACCCTTAGACGTTTCAAAGTTACGAGGGCCCATCACAATTCTGTGCTGTTTCCCAATTTTGTGGGAATTATTTAATCCCGGCGCACAATCTGTCTCCACTTTCCTCAGATAAGATAATAAGTGGAACACAAACCAAAAAATTCAGACAACCATGCACGTAATGAGTAATAATTAACGCTTTCAAACGGTCGTTTCAGATAATTTTATTGCCAACCAAAGCAAAACAAAATCTTAAACTTTATTTGCCCCATTTTTATTGCGTCGATAGAGGGTTGAAATGGAAACGTTGCTAGAAATCAGAAATTTTTAGAACAACTAAGGGATCCTATGATTAGGGTACACTCTTGAAGTTATCAGATTAATGTACAATATATGTAGATGAAGTTGCATAATCAATTATTTGACAAATCAATTTTTCTTTTAAAAAATTTGATTTAAAATATTTTAAAATGTGAGTTGTTGGAGTTCCTTTTTTAGGATCTTTTGAATCCAACGATGGGAACCTTGATTTCGAAATAACCGTTTCGAACCGAACCGATTTACGCAAACTGTTTTCAATTTTGAGACTCGTTAGCAACAAAATTAAACCAAATTAAACACACGAAAGCCTGAGCGAAAGCCGGGCAATATTATGTAAACGATTTGACAATGCGCGCAAATTGTTTATTCAAATTGATGGAAGCGCGTCTTTGCGTTAAACATTTCGCGATTTTTTCCACTTCTTTTATTTTCCGTTTCTGTGTCAGCGTGGCGGCGTCTGGGCAAAAGGTGTAGGAAAACACAGAATTGTTCAAAAGAGGGAAATAAATAAAAGTACCTGAAAACAAATTGCACCTGGACTTCACTTCCCAGTAAAAGTTGATAGTTTTGAATGCACTGGGCGACTAGAGAATCACGCGATCACATCGTCTGATTCACTCACAACCAATTAGAGAGCCACTGTGGTTTGCTCACGCACCCGCAGACAGACAAGGACAGAGATAGTAGAAGCAAAAAAAAAAAAAACAATTTAAAAGAATGGACTGTGTTACCTGCAAAAGAAGAGCGGCCAAAAACCAACATAGAATAATGCTGCCCAGGCAATTCTTGACTTTTTCGCCATTCTTATCAGTTTCTCCACACAAACAGTTTGGGAAGGGCTAACGCTCCCTGTAAGTTTGTTAAACTCGCCTACCTTACAACAAAGATCCACGAAGCCATCAAAAACGTATGAGTGATCTGCAGTTAGACATAGAAGATCAGCATCGTACGATAATGGCTCTAAAACTGTAGGGCACAACCAGACATTAAGACGCGAAAGAAAGAGAAAGGAGAGAGTGCACAGTAAATTTTTTTGTCATTTTGTATTTTTTTGTAAAAGTATATACAAAAAACATCATTATAGTATACACAATAACAGTAAAGATCTAGAATATTGCTTTTGTGCGAGATTGCCGTTTCGCTGTGATTAAATTATCAGGTGTCATGTTCATTCGTTGAAACTCCAATATTTTCTGTCAGTGCTGGGTGGAAACCAAAAAACATTCGATGCGATTTATACGACACGCGAATGAGCAGCTGATGTTATTGTTATTAAGATAAGTTAGCGCTGCTCAATTGTTTTTGCTGTAGATTCTTTTACGATCGCTCATTATTTGTTTGTTCACACGTGCGGAGAGAGTGGTTGTTTTTAGCATATTTTTGATTTCTGATAAGACTAGTCGGCCACGCGTCTTCTCGTGGTCAATAGGTGAATGGAACTTTAAGGTGTTTCTAAGGCGGCATGGAAAATTTCTTGTCTGGCGATCCGGCGACGAGATTAGGCCAGTGGCCCGATTACGTCTCTAAATTGGAAATTAATACACTCGACGAGACGCGTCGCGCCACATTTTTCCCACCAATTTCTATTAGTCATGCGGAGGAGGAGTAACCTCTAAGTACCCAAAACATTGATAAGTGGAGAGGACGTCCGTAAATACTTGGCCTTGATTGTAGTTGTTGCCAGCTGATAAGGATTTTTGCACAGTTTGGTAATCACTATTCTTGAAAATAGTCTTGGGGCTCAATGGGTAATCACTTCCTTAAAATCGGTCTAGTGTAATTCCGATGGACTTTATTTTGATAAGGACAATGAAGGCTACTTATTGTACATTGTAAATGAATTTAGAGTTTCTTAGCTAGATAAATTAAATTATTTTACAAATCTCAGCAATATTCATACTTTTTTCGGTACTGAATACGGTTATACGATCTCTATATTGATATTGGAACACAGTAATCAGAGTAATAAAATGCATTCACAAAAACAGTTCGAGTCACAGTTAAACGTTGTTTTCAATGCGCATTTATTTATTTATACCATCTTACTAATTGACAAGTACAAGTACAAACAGGTATTTCGTTCGAGTGGAATAACATTTCACACCCGAAACAGCCCAAAACAACCCCACTTGGTACTCGTCACCCCTTTTAGGGCGAACTTTGGTCATCGCCGACTAGTCAGCGCTACCAAAATAACCCCAAAAACGTCACGATGAGAGCTTTGCTCCAATTGCTTCCTGCTCTTCTCTTTGGGAATATTTTTTGGCTGGGGCAGAAATAAAAGCCGTTTTATTGCCGGCTAATTCTTATCGGAGGTGACGGGTAACAGGCGATGATTTACACTCCACACTGTGGCCAACTGATTGCATTGTCTACCTGCCCTTGCCACCTGTTGGTGGTCGTAGTCTAGTTAGATTATTACTGTTTTTTGCCTTGTTAATCTGCCTTGGCCTCCAAAAGTGCCATGGAAAATTGCTTTCCCCAATTACTTTTCCTAGTTTCGTGTCCCTCCATCGACGATCGCGAATGTTTATATCCGTTTTGTTCGGTGAAATAATTCACGATTACGCTCAGTCACGATTTTTGTTTACCCATTCAAAGCTTTCAAAGCTCTGACCAGTTTTACATACATTTCGTGCTAAATTCTAAATTCATTCACTTAATAGCAACAATTAGGAAGCGTTGACAGTGCGTTATGTATGAATGCAAAATAGAGATCGTTACGAGCTATAATGGCACTATTCAATTTCCTGAAGATTTGAAATTACAAGCACCTATTAATTCTTTATTCCATTTTGCTGTATTTTCCCTTTGAGCATTTTTTATAGGAGGTGCACATACTGTTGGCGGCTAGTGTAGTTAGTCAAAGACTCTTAGCAGCTGTTGTATATAAAGTTATGTCGGTTATTGGCATTGGCTTCTGTTGCCAAGTTCAGAACAAAAAGGGAAAGGCACATAAAGTACATACAATTAAACAATGCTATAATGTATTAAATATGCAGTAAGAACATATAAGGTTAACTGCTTTATTCAAGTACTTGAAAACTATACTCAGAATAAACTAATTTATTTAATTTATTTTTTATTTGGTAGTTCTCAAAATTCTTAATTTTTTCCTTTACTTAACATTGTTTTATTTAAACCTTATCTACATTTAAAACAATTGCTATCATTTCGACCGCAACTTTAAGTGGTAATTTTGAAATTAGGTGGCTTTTAGAATGCAGAAAATCGAATTAAGTCTCCTCGGGCAATTAGGAAGCCTCGCATTACAGTAAGTGATCCAATTGTGGTTGGGGTAATTAGCCCAATTGTGGGACACTCGGTACGTGGGCACCCATTTATGTGCGAACCACCGGCGCGTGCTCGATGTAAATACTATAGAAAGTAATGCTATATAACGCAATGTGCTTCCTCATGGCCGCTTCTCACTTATTTTTTGTCATTGTTTCAGGGAGGGCAACCACCCCGACGACTATTCCCGGGGACTCACCTACCGCAAGTTGCTGGAGGAGGTGTGCCGCTTTGCCAACGTGCTGAAGGACCATGGCATCCGAAAGGGCGACCGTGTGTCCATCTACATGCCAATGATCCTCGAGTTGCCCATCGCCATGTTGGCCTGCGCTCGAATCGGAGCCGTGCACTCCATTGTTTTCGCGGGATTCTCGCCGGACTCGCTGGCGGAGCGAATGTTCGACTGCAAGGCCAAGTTGCTGATCACGGCCGATGGAGCCTGGCGTGGAGAGAAGGCCCTTTACCTGAAGGCCCTCTGCGACACCGCCCTGGAGAAGGTCGAGGAGATGGGCCACTCGGTGGAGAAGTGCATCGTGGTGTCGCATCTGAAGCGCGTCACCCCCTGCCAGCCGGATCATGTCGAGGAGGAGATCCCGTGGACCGACGACCGCGACTACTGGTGGCACGAGGAGATGGAGGACAAGGAGCCGGCCTGCTATCCCGAGTGGATGGACGCCGAGGATCCGCTGTTCATGCTCTACACCAGCGGCTCCACCGGAAAGCCAAAGGGAGTGCTCCACACCACCGCCGGGTATCTGCTCTATGCGGCCACCACCTTCAAGATCGTCTTCGACTATAAGCCGGGCGATATCTACTGGTGCACCGCCGATGTTGGCTGGATCACGGGACACACGTACGTGGTCTACGGACCACTGGCCAATGGCGCCACTTCGGTGATCGTAAGTGTCTGATTAGATCTATCCAGTTTTGCAATTTCCGACTAAATGTCTTTTATATCTGGACAGTTCGAGGGCACCCCGTTCTTTCCTGGAAACGATCGGTACTGGAGCGTCATTGACAAGTATAAGGTCACCCAGTTCTACACAGCTCCCACGGCCATCCGTGCGCTCATGAAGTTCGGCGAGGGACCCGTGCAAAAGCATAACCTAAGCGGTCTCAAGTAGGTTTTACATAGATTGATATTCTCTCATAAGCAACTAATGGGAGATTTTCTCATCATAAGAACAATTCATGAAAAAATCCCATATTAGTCATGAAAACGTGTTTTTTCATTAAATATAATTAACAAATCAAAAAACCATTGACCCATAACTTGTAAAAAGGGTTGATATACCAACAAACTTCACTCACCTTGTAATCTTGCTTTTGTTACAGGGTTTTGGGCAGTGTGGGTGAGCCCATCAACCCGGAGGCTTGGCTCTGGTACTACCGCAACATTGGCAAGGAGCAGTGCTCCATTGTGGACACCTTCTGGCAGACGGAAACCGGAGGTCATGTCATCACACCCCTGCCCGGAGCCACGCCCATGAAGCCTGGATCCGCTGTAAGAAGGAATACCCTTGCAATTTAACTGAGACAAAATTATAGTTTGCTTTTACACATTTAGTCATTTCCCTTCTTTGGCGTCAAACCCACTTTGCTGGATGAGTGTGGCATCGAGATCAAGGGGGAGGGAGAGGGCTACTTGGTTTTCTCGCAACCTTGGCCGGGAATGATGCGCACCTTGTACAACAACCACGAACGCTTCGAGGACACGTACTTCTCCAAGTTCCCTGGCTACTACTGCACTGGCGATGGTGAGTTAAAAACCATTTATAGATTTTTAAGATAATATAAATAATGTTTTGAATTGTCAAGGTGTAATTCAGCTTATATGATGTCAAAGAACTTCTGCTAACTATTTATTTTTACATGACAGGTGCCCGTCGCGATGCTGATGGCTACCTCTGGATCACTGGACGTGTGGACGACATGTTGAACGTATCCGGACATTTGATGTCCACCGCTGAGGTGGAGTCGGTCCTCACGGAGCATCCTCGTGTGGCCGAGTCGGCGGTGGTCTCCCGACCGCATCCTGTCAAGGGCGAGTGCCTCTACTGCTTCATCACGCCCAACGAGAACGAGGTGTTCGACCAGAAGCTGATTTCCGACCTGAAGAAGATGGTGCGCGAGCGCATTGGACCCTTCGCCATGCCGGATGTCATCCAGAATGCTCCCGGATTGCCCAAAACCCGCTCCGGCAAGATCATGCGCCGTGTGCTGCGCAAGATTGCGGTGAACGATCGCAATGTGGGCGACACCTCGACCCTGGCCGATGAGCAGATTGTGGAACAGCTGTTCGCCAACCGGCCGGTGGAGGCCAAGTAGATGGTGGTGGCAGATGGTAGCGGCTAGAATCCCCGCCCCAAGGCTTTTTCCGGCTTGCATTGACTGCACTCCACTCTGCCGTCGCATTTCAACCACTTGCGTATCCCGATTACGTATCCTGTAAATCTCCCCCTAATTATATAGAATTCCTGTTGCTTACTGTTCGTCCCGTTCCGGACTGCGGCGTGGCTTCTAAACCTTCTAAATTCTATCTAGTTCGTAAGCCTAAGCGTGAGCGTAAGTAACTTCCGCTCGACGTAACTATCAATCGTCTAACTCTGTGTCTTTGCCTGATCACCGTAGTTAACACGCTCAGCACGCACACATTTTCCAGCTCTTTTGTTTCTTCGTTGTAGTCGTAGTTTAAGTTCTCGCTAATTTGTTGTGATACATGTTTAATTATATCTTATGTATGTATTTTTAGTAGAATTGATATGAGACAAAATATATACACGATTCCAGTTGTAGCCAAAAATTACACAGCTCACACTTTTCGGTTGTATCCTTATGTTTTGTAGACACACACACTCTCTCTATCTCTCTGTTTTCATAACTTTTCAGATCTGAGAGGACACGCACGTAAGTCCGGAACCGATCGGGGAATCGGTTTCTTCCCCATCCCATTAGCCCGTAAGTTTGAGAACGATACATATCAGTGCGGCATAAAGCTTGACACATTCCTACATACGATCTACATGTTAAAGAGTACCGCTCGGATATACTATATACTATATACACTATATAATATATATATATGTTATACGGTCAGAAGACTTACTGCAACGAAACATATCATTGAAGTTACTGCTGCAAGCCTATGAATATTATAGAGGATTTTATTGTTAGAGCTCGTTATTTTTGGGGGATGATCGGAGATCGGAGGAGTATTCGATATCATGGATTGGCTGATTTGGGGCAGCGGTCCCCAGTCTGATTGTAAAAAGATTGTTAGTTATACAGCGAGGGCGAACGGAGGAATGCTATTTACATATCAATATATATTTATGTATATGAACGTATGTGTATAATAAAGTTTACTGATTTAATGTGTTTCAACCTGAAAATTAAAAGGAAATTTTGTTCATCCCTTAAGAAGCATAACTTTTAATGGTAATATCGAATGGGATTAGATCCCATTGGCCTGGCACTAAACTTCCTTTTGGAGCAGTCAACTCTTTACCTTTGACAAACTCGCTTAGTAGATTTTCGGCTTGGCCTTTGAACACCTTGGTGGCAGGTGCATTGGACTTGGAGTCGGGATTTTGGTAACAACAACATCTATAATGGCCGACGATCAGCCGCCACCAAAGAAGACGCCGAAAAAGCAGAACGTGGGTGACGATGACTCCAGGGATGGAAACGCGGCCACGGGATTCGGCCTGGAGGACCACGAGGCCACACAACAGGATGCCCGGGTGACCACATTGCGACTCGCTGAGGAGCGCCGAGGTTCCATGGCGCCCCACGACAAGCGATCGCCCCATAAGTCCTCGGTCCTGCGGATCCAGACCGCCAATGACCAGTGGATCGGACCATCCACCGGACCGCCCACCTCGACACCGACACCGACTAAATCCCAGAAGCCGGTGGGCAACATATCGTCGCGAAATTCCTTGGTTCCCGGGACTCCTGCGGCACCGGAATTGGCGCCCCAGCCGCGAACTTCTGATGTCGATGGCGACGTTGAGTCCTCCGATGTGGAAAAGAAAACCAAAAGGAAGTCGCCGAAAAATGTCCCAACCACGTCTTCCACATCGGATGATGACCAGAAGCCCAAACCTGAACCGGCACCTGCATCTCAGCCGGCACCAGCTCCTGAACCAACTCCTGCACCTGAACCAGCACCTGCAGCTGCACCGGCACCTGCTCCTGAACCGGCACCTGCTCCTGCTCCAGCTCCTGCTCCAGCTCCGGAACCAGCACCTGCAGCTGAACCTGAACCGACACCTGCAGCTCAACCGGAACCTGCACCAGCACCGGCACCTGCTCCACCAGCTTTAGCTGCACCTCCAGAAGAGAAGGCAGCCATTGCTGCTTCTCCGGAATCCATTCCACCGCCAGCTCAAAGACCAGAGGATGTGCCTTTGCCACCGCCCATGATGTCGGCGTTGCAGCACGAGGAAAGCAGCGACGACGTACAGAACTCGATGAGTAAGTTGACCAACACGGACATCACTATCAATCCGTCCAAGGTGTATGCCACAAAGGGCACAAATACCTCCGGCCTGATCTACGCGGAGAGCGAGTCGGACTCGGAGCCCGAGGAACTGCCCTTGCTGCCGCCCGAGTTCCCGGCCAGCGATCTAGACAACCTGTTTCTGTTCGCCTGTCGCGAGGTGAAAAAGGTCGGTGCCATCGCTCTGGCGGACAACGATAAGTGCCAGGAGTACTCCACGAAGAAGCACCCACAGGATGTGGTCACGCCCACCGACAATATTGTCGAGGAGGCCTTCATCAAGGCCATCTGCTCAAGGTTTCCAGATCACCAGTAAGTTTGATTCTGTTTCAGTCTGCAATAAATATTTAATTATTTCTAGGCTTGAAATTTAATATTAGTTTGCCTATTGCTTATTCGATTTCCTTTTATTCTGATTAAGCTTTTCTGATTCCAACTGCTAGATTCATTACCGAAGAGCGAGTGGCCAAGTCGGAGGAGGGCATGGTGACCCTGACAGATGAGCCCACCTGGATAATAGATCCCATCGATGGCACCATGAACTATGTCCACCACTTTCCATACTACTGCATCTCAGTTGCTTATTTGGTGAACCAGGAGACGCAGTTTGGCATTATCTACAATCCGCCGATGAAGAACATGTACACGGCCCGACGGGAAATGGGAGCCCAGCTGAATGGCGAGATGATAAGGACGACTGGCCAGATGAAATTGAACTCCGCTCTGGTCCTCCAGGAACACGTGACGGGAACCAATGAGGCGCGCAACCAGGTCGCCTTGGAAAATTTTCAGCGACTGATGAGTAAAACTCACGCGTGAGTAGCAAATTTATTTCTTAATAAAACAGTCTATTTTATTTTAAATTTAATATAAGAACCAACAATATTTAAAATTTTAATCAATATATAAATTGCACACCTTTTAAAATTAATTTTAATGTTAACTACTTATTTCACGAATGTAATTTTTATTCGCAGAGTCCGCTCCATTGGATCTTCAGCCATGGGCTTGGCTATGGTTGCCTCTGGAGTGGCGGATGCCTATCACAACTTCGGTTTGCACATCTGGGACATGGCAGCTGGAGTTCTTATCGTCACTGAGGCTGGTGGAGTGGTAATGGATCCGGCTGGAGACGAACTGGACATTATGTCCCGACGTTGCCTGGCTGCCGCCACTGAGAACCTAGCTCTGGAGTTTGGTAGCCACCTGGAGCAGAACTATCCCTCGCCCCGTGACGACGAGCCACGGTCCGTAAATCCCAATGAGTACGGACCAGCTCCGGAGACCAAGGACTTCACGAGCCAGACGGACTTCCCCGATTCGGATACACCGGACACCACGGACACCGAAGCTACGAACGAGAAACCAATTGCAACATGAGCGGGAGGAAAAACTAATTGACCCACCAGAAAGACCAGCCGATTCCAGCGAGAAAATTATATATATTTAATAAATTGACAAGCCAAAAAGTAAAATAAAAGTTGTTTTTATTTTAATCTTTCTTTGCTTGTACAAACAAAAAAAGAAAATTAAACAAATGGCAATTTTAATCAGATTTTGAATTTTAGATGTTTGGAGATTTATGCCTTTATTCTGCAAGGGTATTAAAGTTATTTTGTTTAGCTATATCCAAAAAATTTTATATATGGCGTCCAATTTTTACTTTATTTTTCAAAAAATTATTTATTGTAATTCTTTACCATGTACAAATAACTTGGCCCAGTGGCCAAAGATGTAAGTACTGGAATTGTTAAAATTATGTTCAAATTGGGATTTGAATTTGCCGAGAATGTTTCGGTTTACATATAGTTTGCGGCTTGTGTCAGATATAAGTTTCTAGTCAAGTTTCTAACCATAATCATTTATAGAATCCGTTTCCAGAATACATACTGTTAAAAAATAACAACATTAATATTGAGTTTATTGGGACTTTTATTTAATGTTATGTTTAAAACCAATAGTAAACGTATACCTTTACCTATATTTATGGTAATTGAGTCCACCTGTTGCCTCTGTTCTTAATAGAACTTTTCCAATCAAAATATTTTGGTATTTTAGCAGTATATACCCCAACCGTACTGGAATATTTAAACGGTTGCAATTCTCGGTCACTTTGTAGATACTAGTATAATTAAATTAAAACTTGTATTTTTCGGATTGATAGCGATTCATTGCAAATCGGGAAACCTCACAGAAAGCACCACTGCAAAATGGCTGATAACGTGGACCTGGAAAAGTGCTTCGAGGTGGTCAGCAATCTGGTCTCCGAGGCTGGAAGGGTAAACAAAACAGAAGTGGAAAAACACTCTAGTGTTATGAATACTTATGGAATTTTCCTTCTTCCTTTAAATTTTTCCAGCTCATCGCTCGTCGCAATGAAACCCGTCAGGAATTTGTGTGCAAAAGCAACGACATTGATTTGGTGACCCAAACGGACAAGGAGGTGGAGCAGCTGTTGATGGACGGAATTCGCCGGCATTTTCCGGATCACAAGTAGGATTCCAAAATGTTTCTTTGATAAGGTTTTAAGAACTTCGAATGACAGGTTTATTGGAGAGGAGGAGAGCAGTGGGGAGGAGGGCGTTAAAAAGCTGACGGATGACCCCACCTGGATCATCGATCCCGTGGATGGCACTATGAATTTCGTTCACGCCTTTCCCCACTCGTGCATTTCCGTGGGTCTGAAGGTGAACAAGGTCACGGAGTTGGGTCTGGTCTACAACCCGATCTTGGAGCAACGCTTCACCGCGAGGCGAGGACATGGAGCCTTCTACAATGGCCGCAGGATCCATGTGAGTGGCCAGCAGGAACTGGGAAAGGCTCTGATCACCAGTGAGTTTGGAACCACTCGTGATGAGGCCAAGATGAAGGTCGTCAACGAGAACTTTGAAAAAATGGCCAAAAAGGCGCACGGGTGAGTTCATTGGGTTTTTTTTTTGCTATAATTATTTTAATATCTTTGAAGATAATTTAAAGAGGGATATCTTTTAAAAATCTTAATAAAACAGTATCTTATTATCCCTTTCAGTTTACGAGTCCTGGGTTCGGCTGCCCTCAACATGTCCATGGTGGCCTTGGGAGCCGCTGATGCCAACTATGAATTTGGCATTCATGCCTGGGACGTCTGTGCCGGGGACTTGATTGTTCGCGAGGCCGGAGGAGTGGTAATCGATCCAGCTGGCGGGGAATTCGATATCATGTCGCGAAGGGTCCTGGCAGCAGCCACGCCCCAACTGGCCCAGGAAATCAGCAAAGTGCTAACCCAGTTCCATCCCCTACCCCGCGATGATTGAAGACCAACAGCTACTTAACCAATGGCATTTTGCGCGCATATACTTATATAGGTAATGGAACTATGTATGTAACTCCATTCCGTACTAACCACTTGAAGGCATTTCGATTGAACCGACCATGTACCTAACAAAGAAAATGAATACGCCTAGTCATGGATATTCCAACTAAATCGTTTTATGTAAACAAGAAGTGGAAATGGAACTTTTCCAAAGATATGATTAAAGATTGTTGACAAAACAAAATGATCTGCTTGTTTTTTAGCTTGCGAAATAGTTTCTTACCCTTGATAAACCTCCGCACTATCAAATCATTCAAAGACGTTTGTTTGTTTGCTTTTCTGTAATTTTATTACAATCTGCGTATGTATTTTGCTTTCTAATTAGTTTTCGCAGTGTCTTATCGTCTTTTGTTTATTTGTTATATTTTGTTTTCCGGCTTAGTGTTATGCATATGGTTTTGTTCTATTTCATAGTAAGTTAGTAAAGCGAGCTGGCCTCATATCTGATAATAGTGAATGCCCTGTACTGTGGAGCGGACTGAATGGGGTTGGATTCACCGCAGACCACAGGTCTCCAACTATCGTGGGATCAAGGGAACTCAGAATTTCAGAGTTTCAGATAGTACAGGGCATTGCAAGGTCGAAAGTAACGACTCATCTCGGGTTGTTTTTTCGGGGTGTGGATCGGTAAAGAGCTAAGCAATGTCTTGCATATTGAAATATTACGATTAGTGTATATCTGGTTGGATCTTTGCACTGTATTCGAGTAGGGCGATTAGTGGACACGTAATAAGCCATGATCGTATCGTAGGAAGTCGGCCTTCTTAATGCGCTGTAACTTTCTCTGCTGTAGTTGTTGAGTATTCTGGACTATCGTTAATACCATTTAAAATTTGACACATCATTGAAAAATGTAATCAAAGCTACAGTAGGTAAAAAATTGTATCTATATATTTATTATATATCTGTATATAATAGTTAGGTATAAGTTAATAATGTAATTAAAAATCTGTTGTTCTTGTTGTCGTTTTTAATGCTACATTCACAAGGTTCCATTATGCGCACTGGTTTACAAAATTAACACAGAGTTTTCTTGGGTTTGTGCTTGGATCGAAAGTATATAGTGGTGGCGGGGAATCTGGGGGATCGGGGGAGAGAATTGCTAGCGTTGTAAGTTGCGTGTCTTCTAAGATATTGCAAATCGTAGTCTATAAATTTATGTATATAGATCTATATTGATTTCGATATTCTAGTTCAATAAGCGAAAGGTACACATGGAGCATAAAACGGCAGCCACAAGATCGATCGCAGCTGCCTCTACATTTAATATTTTCCTTTGTCACACTAATAAAATTTACAAAATTTTCTATATAAATTCAACAATCAATGAAGAGCTTTAGAGAAGAATCCTTTTGATTTTTACATACATGTATTCGATATATAGATAGCTTTAAATATATATGTATATATATTTTTTGTTCGACTGTCTGTTGGTTTTCTCCGCTTGTTTCCATGTAAACTTAACACACAAATTTAGCACCAATCTATTCAAAAATTGATCAAACAATTTGATTGTTCCGAGTTATACAAATGAAGCCTTAAAGCACTTAACTTAGATGGTCTCTAACCCAAGGATCTTAATCGTAAGCTGTCAAATGTCTAATCTTAAGTGAGAAACTGAACACTTTCAATGTAGGCCGTTGCCTTTGAGGATCTGGGAGGGATCTTCTAGGCATTTTAGTGGTTGGTGGAGGGGTTTAAAATAATCAAGTCGCAGCGAGTAATGGTAGAAATTAATTTAAATTTATTTACACGCAGATACAATTAACGCATCGGTCTTCAATTCGAAATGAGTTAAACTAGGCATAGATTTATCATGTTGCATATGTATATATTTTCTGTTATCGTATGGGATCTCCAACTTTTGCAAGCAAACGAAGTGGGTCTTTTTGCTTTTCGACTACGCTAGGTCCGTATCTCTAGGTGTAACGTACACATATATCCGATATCGTTTATAGTAGTTAATATTATTTAAAAAACCAGTATTTATCGAACTTTAACGCTCGCTCTTCAGTCGAGTTCTAAATAGATGCCTTGGATAGCTGGCCAATGGTGAATTTTCTCGTGATGGTTTTTCCTTCTCTTGGAGGTTGGATGGATGGTGCGTGTGGGATGAGGGGTGATGTTCAATGTTCGATGTGGAGATGTGGATTTCGATGAGTCAACAATGAAATAAATAATTTATGTTTGCGCATGGATATGTTCAGCGGGGAGTCCTAGTCGCTCTAACACTGCTAGCTAATATGCATATAGGCTTAGTGAACTATCTCCAGTAATGCTGAGTAGACGTGTATCTGATCTCCGGCCCTCCCTTCTCGATCTCCTATATAGCTATGGTCGCTTAAGCCTACAAGTGGTAGAATATAGAATTTGTTGCGGTTTCTTGCATTCGCATTTGCTTTTGCTTTTGCACGGCCCTGGTGGAATCGCGACGAGATCCAATGACATCCTACAGCTCGTCGTCGGCCTTGGGGATGTCGAAGATCTCGGCGAAGAGGGGCGGCAGGCGCAGCTTGGTCCAGTTCATCCGCAGCCAGTCTAGGTGTGAGAAGTGCTTGGCCCCCAGGCTCCTCAGCTCGGGTATCTTCGCCTCCAGCGCCGGCATCAGCTGCAGCGCCTGCGGGGATCCCGCCCGGGAGCGCAGGATCTGGACGCGCAGCGCCTCGGCCACCAGCTCCCTGGCCCTCCCGATCACCTTCGGCTCGCTCAGGCCCGTCCGGTCGGAGGCCAGCAGCACCATGGCCGAGAAGAGCCCGATCTCGGTGTCGCTCAGCCCGTAGGCGTTCAGTGTGTTGGCAAAGTTCAGCAAGGCGTTCACGAAGTCCGACTGCAAAAAAAGTTAAAAGGTATAAATTAGTAATATTAAAAGGTACATTAAATTAAATTAAATTAAATATAATTTAGGAATATTAAAGAAATTTATTGAAACTTTAAATACGATATCTCGTATATCCTAGCTTTTCTTTAAAGAGATTATCAAGATATAAGATTCTGTGGTAAAAACATATAATTCCAGTTTTGTTTTTAAGTTAATCATCTTAAAGGAAAGAATAAAATTTTTGACCTGTTATTTTCTTTTGTTACGTATACGTAATATTTTGTAAAAAATAAACTCACATCATAGAGTATCTCGAGTTGCTGGCGCGTCAGATAGGCTCCATCGTCCAGGGTCAAAGTGGCCTCGTTGATCAGGCGGGCCACGTGTGTCAGCCAGACCTCGAAGAAGCCCAGCTTGATGAGTATGAGCTGGTCGTCTTGGGTGAAATCACAGAAGCCAGGTACGCGTTTCGCAAACTCCACAATCCGCTGAACGCCGGGCGTCACCCTGGCCGAGAACTGCTGCCACAGCCAGATCTTCTGGAACTCGAGGCTCTCTGCCACTGTGCTGGCGATCTGTGAAAGGGGATTGATTAAAATCAGAACAATCAGAAGAGTTAGGAGTTTATTTCCAATTAATTTTAAATTAATCTTGAATTAAAATGATCCCAATATTGAGACCAAGACTTTTAACAATTTCTAATATTTAGGGGCTTAAAGCTCGAAGTAATAATAAATTCAGAAGCCTCTTGCATTAATTAAATAATTTCTGAGTTTGAGAAAATATGTACTTACCCCATTTTGTGGCACCGTGACGGGGCGGCGCATCAGCTCCCTGGTGAGCTCCTCGGTGTAGGAGCAGTTGAGGCGGTGCGCCTGCGACACGCACATGATCACATCGTAGACGGTCAGCTCGTTGGCCGTGCCGGCCAGTCCGTCGTGGCACATGCCCACCTGGTGGTGGCTCCCGCCCAGATCGGTGCCCATGCCCACGCCCACCATGCTGCCGCCCACCAGCTGCTGGTGTCCGCCGACAACAACAACGCCGACGCTCACGCCGCTGCCGCCGCTGGCATTGCCGCTACTGCTATTGTTATTGTTGTTGTTATTGTTATTGGCACTATTGCAACCGCCCAACTCCGATGGCGAGGAGGCGATCGAACACATTTGTGGCGTTTGTGGAGTACTCGGTGTCTTCACTCTGGCGCCGCTGGCATGCGGTTGCTGTTGCTGGAGTTGCTGGTGTTGCTGCTGTTGCTGTTGCTGGTGTTGCTGCTGCTGCTGCAGGAGATGTTGCTGCTGTTGCTGCTGCTGCTGCTGTAACTGATTGGGGTGCAGTGTGTTGCCCGAGGTGTCATCCACATTGAGGGAGGAGGAGGCCCCGGCGGCGGCGGCTGCTCCGTTCAGCTCACGGGAACGCTTGGGAACGCGACCATAACGTACAGCTGCAGGGGTAAAAACAAAGGTAGAAATGGGGTAATTAGTTACCTTTTTAATTGCATTCTAACAAGCCAAATAACCCTCACTAAGTTGCATATTTAAATAGACAAGCTGCAGTATTTAACAGAAAATGTAACTAGTTTCCTGCCAATAGAATACATTTATTTATTGATTTAAGTTTATGGCACAATTCATTTTGGTACTATTTTTTAATGCTTTAAATTATGCATTGTGGTTTCAGCAACTCAATGCACTCATTTGCCCACGCAATATTCAAAAAGCCTTTAATTAATAATACATTTATACAAGTAATTGGAAAAACATGATGGCAGTAAAGACCAAACGGAAACTGTGCACTTATTTCCCATCTCCCCAAAAGTATGCCACGGAAAACCGCATTTTAATTTTACATTTCCATTTAATTTTCCCACAGCAAACAGATACGCACAAAATGTTGGGCCAATAAAATAATGCGTAACCGCTTTATACTTTGTATCAAATTAGTCACTTTTTAAATTTGAAAACACATTCCCTACAAAACACACGATAAACTTAGATCTCGAGCGACCAAGCGATGATATATACCCACTCGTATGTTGTATTTAGTTGGGAGAGAGGAGAATCTGGCACACGCATAAATCTTACAAATGCGTCACACACTTGTGGATACTTTCGAGTATCTGTAGCGAAATGCCAGCGCTTCTTTTTGTGCTATCAACTAGAAAATTGGCGTGTCCTACAAGTTGTCGGTCGGTCTGTCGAAATGCGATACATTGTGTCGGGGAAAATAATTAATTTTAATTTTCGTTTTATCGTTTGAAGTGTTCATTAGCCGGAGGTTTTGCGGCATTTCTCAGTTGTGTTGTGTTGTGTTTGTCTGCGAAAATTGCACAACGTGAAATTTGCTTTGTGCAACCGAAGCCAACACACATTTTATTAATTAAAATCGCATTTGGCTGCCCAAAAAACCAACCAGACAGACGACGGCCCGAAAAACAAAAAACGAAAAGAGGAAAAATGAAAGAAAAAAAAAAGTAAAAACAGAAGAAACAGACGCAGCTGCTCCAGTTGCCGGCTTTCAGTGCTCACTTTATCAGTGGGACATTGACCCACTGCGCTCAATATGAAAACGGAGGCAAGTGATTTCGTTGCCGCCGCCGCCGCCGCTTTTTGTTTTTCCTCTTGCCTTATTTGAGTTTATGTGCGGGTATTTCTTCGGCTTTGCTAAGTTGTTGGTTGTTGTGTTATTATTGTGGTCTGGCGGTAGCCGCCAGCCGCCGGCGGTTTCCAAACAAACGGCCACAATAACAACACTAATGACGAAAGCCCCCCTGCTCCCACTATGCGTCAGCACTTCGGCCTGACAACATCGTAAAATCACATCGAATAAAACAGCATAAAATATACGGCAGACGGCAGAAGGCAAAAGGCACACGGGCCCAGGCAAAAGTGAAAGAAACTTCGCATGCATTGCGCATACGCAGCGTGGACAGGCGGAGCCGGAAAACTCAGCTCAGCACGCAAAGCATCGCCGGCAAAGGCGGCCATTCAGCCAGGCAGCCATTTAGCCAGGCAGCCATTTAGCCAGGCAGCTGGCCAAGTGAAAGATGGCCAGCACAGTGACCCATTTACGACACTCCAAAACATGACATCTGCCCTGCTCGAGGGTCGACGAAATAGTTTGCAATAAACAAGAAATATATATATAAAAAACTAGGAATATAAACTTCACTATACACTAAATATATTTAATATTATTAAAGTAAATTGTAATATAAATCCACTGGATCATGAGTTATTATTTGGGAAATGTAGTCTTCTGAGGGTAGTCTTTCAATACTATTTATATTTTTTTGTTTTTACACTCTTTTTACATAAATGTTGTAAAACGTTTTTTATGACTGGCAAAATTCAAAGTTGTATATTTTTTGATGATGAGTTGTTGGTGAATTTACATGATTTATTAAATGATTTAGCCTTTATCATTTGTATTATTAACAAAAGCTTTCAGAACATAATATTTGTTAAAAGCATAATTATATAACATTTTCAAACATCATGTTGTTTTGCAAACAGAATGATTAAAGTTGATAAGGTGAGTGCCGAATTGATGACCTATTTCGCTGATACTTTCAGCGGGCTTGGAAGACCCTGAGATGATGTTTCCCTGACCTCCGTTAGAGGTCAATATGATCCCATTACGACCGCCGCTAGACGAGGTTTCCGTTCCAGCCTTGTCACGCTCTCAACTCTAGATATGCTAGGTTTTCTAGGTTCTAGATTCTCGTTGTGTGGAAAGCGAGTCACGCTTTTCGCCGCCCACCGAAGAGCGTTGATCGTAAAACGTCTCGTTGGCGTTAATTGTCACAGCTCGTAAATTAATTATGGCATAATTCGCCACACAGAGCACCCCCATATAGTCGTGAATAATTCTTGGCCTTTGGATTTTGGATCGTTGAAGCTGCCACCTTCGATGTGCCGCTAATTGCTCGTGGCGGGCACTCGGTGTTCTTGCTCTGTTTGTTCTAAGGTGTTTTCAATTAGCGACCGAGGGCTTTGCTTTATTGATTTTGCAGATTTCACCATCGCATATCGCACACTGAGGAGTCTCTGAAAGTGAGAAGTGGAGCAGATCGATGGCTGCTTCTTCAGACGGAGTGGCAGTGGAGTATCTATCATTATGGAATTGGGAGCAGCCGTCCCCAGCATAATCCCCGTCATTACCTATTCAATCGACCTGGACCTGGGGCTCAGCTCAGTTCAGTTCAGTTCAGTTCGGTTCAGCTCACCTCGCCTGTCACCTGTCACCACCCACGGAGTGGGCCACATTCAGACCAGGTCAACACCATCCATTACACACGCTTCGGGCCAAGTTGGGGAGCCCACATAAATAAGCGGAGCGTTGCTGGCCTAAGCTCGAAGTTTTTTCTTCCCAGCTAAAAGCATCTTAAGTGATTTAGTGCAGCCAAATGACGAGTGGAAGGGCGGGGAGTGGGGAGTGAGGAGCAAGAAGAAGAGGGCGGAAAAACTCGTTTAGGCCAGATTCACAGGGAGGAGCACACTTGGAAAAATGTATCGCTCACTTGGAAAATTCGGAGAAATTTGTGAGTTTCGATATGAAAAATATATAAAATCTTTTATAAGAAAATATATAAAATTTATATAAAACTTGTGTTATATTTTGTGATATTATGTGTTATATTATTTTAAAAACAATACTGATTAACCAAAGTTGAAGTGACATTTTCCAACCACTTGAAATGCGGTAATTTGGGTCGTGAGCTTATATCTTTTTTTAGAGTGCATAAGGAAGGGGGTGGGGGTTTCTCGCTAAGCTGAGCTCCCACTTTTGGCCGGGGCAAAAAAGGATTTAGGTCACCGAAATCTGAGGCAGCAGAAGTGCGAGCGGCGGCAGCATCGCATCGTAAAGTGGCCAAATGTTGCCCACATTTAGCTTGGCTTCCTTTGCCCCAACTTTTTGGCCGCAGTCTTTCGACGCTTCTCGCACCGAATCGGGCCATTAGCATGCGAAGAGGGCCGAAATGCCAACTGCCAACAGGCAACAGCAACAACAACAATAAAAGCAACAACAACAACAAGAGCAACATCAAACTGGCAAAGTTCCGTGCCGTAGTAACACATGCACAGACACGGATGTATACATAATATATAGTTGATATTTTTTCGGCTTTATCGTGCGCATGAATGGCCCCTCCCCCTTCCTCTACTCCCACCTCCCCCTTCTGCCCCACCCTTGGCATAACCCTCATTCCGCCAACAAACCCCCTTCCAACCAACTGGTGACCTCGTTTGAGGTCGTTCGTTCACCTGTCGCTGCTGGCTGCACTTTATGCACTCTACATTTGCATGACTGCCCGGGTGTGCCAGTGTGTGTGTGTGCTACATACGTGTGCACCAGTGTGTGTGTGTGAGTGTGTTTACCCAGTTACGAAATTGTCCAAAATGCTGCGGCTTACTGCCGGGTGAAAGTTTGTTGTTTGTTTGCCGTGCTTCGAAACGAGGAAGCTAGAGCAATACTCTTGGAAAAATAAATAACAGAGTGATATATTTATTATCTTGCCTTAATCTTCAAATAACCTACTTAAAAGTATTAAAGAAGTTTGGGAATCTTTAAAATAATAACTTAAAAGTTTAAATTGAATTTTTATTGCATTTAGTTTGTAAGTTTTAGTTTGGTTATTTTATTTTAGTTCAACAAGCATTATGGCATTCCAAAGTTGATATTAACGTATTACAAAATAAATTTCTTCTTTTCCTATTTAGCCAAAATACATAGGAGATACCAAACCCAAAAGACTCTACGAAACTCACTCCAATTCGAACTCCAATTTTCTCGGAATGACACGGGGAAAAGTGTATGAACTTTTTGTGGCGTGTACGAATTTCGTACTACGAAACTAAACATTACTTTTGAAGCTTCTTTTGTTTGTTTTCATATGCACCTGGGTGTGCCAGTCAGCGAGTGTTTGCGAGTGTCGCTCTATCTGGAACAGCTAAAATTGTTAGTTGCGTGCTAAATTTGTTGCTTTCTGCCGGCGGTGGCAGCAGCAGCAAAAGCAGCAACAACAACAATTCACACGCAGCAACCGCCCACACGCTCGAGGCAACAACAACGCTAACAATAAAAACAACATAAGCGGCAACAACAACAACAACAACAACAACAACAACAGCCAACTGGAAAATTGTGTCAAGCAATTTGCGTAAATTATCGCCATGTTGTTGGGCGCTGCTCGCTGGCTTTTGCCTATTCGCTCAGCTCAGTCTATTCATGAGGACAATTGCAGTTTAATGACCGCTCAAATTAACTCTGCCTCACTTCGATTTGCCGTGACACATATTTATTTGATTTGATTTTGCCCCGATTGCAGTTGGTCCTAAGGCAAATTACCTTTCCCACACACAAGCGAATCTTAAATTAACATCTCAAGTTGGCTGGATGTAATGCACAAAAGGTTTTGTTGAGCCCTGTTTTCTTAGTTTAGTTGTAAAATTATTTTTATTTGGTTTTGTGTGGTATTTGTATAAAGTATTGTGTAACAATTATGTTGTTTGTAGTGTTTATAAAGTTTTTATAAATATAAAACATTTAACAGTAGATAACAACAAAACTTTAGTCCCTGTTAGAAGGACAATTTTTCACTTTTTGGGGATAATCACACACAAATAACTCCCGATCGAACCATTTGCCCAGCTCACAGAAACCCAAAACAGGACATTTCTCAATGCAGGTGTAAAAGAATCTGCAATGCTGTGGATGAGCAATAAACTCGCCAGCGAAACGACATGTCACATCATTGGCACAAGGACCTGAAGGTCCTGGAGTTGACGGGGTTTCCCCTGGAGTTCCCGGAGTTCCTGGAGTCGGAGTTGGAGTAACCGATCCCGAACAAGTGCCATCCAATCTTGGACACTGACCGTTCACACAGGTCTTCAAGTTGATATCGAAGATCATGCCCGAATTACATTTCACTTTCTGCGCAAACCCATTGCCGCACAAATAGTAACTCGTGCAATCCTCACAATCTGGAACCAGTTGGCCAACTTCTTGACCCGAACAAACGCAGATACCATCCGCACCGCAGGGAAAAACTTGACCAAAGGTTGGAATAATTCCAAGGATCAAAAGTCCTGTCAAGTATATCAGCACTGCAAAATACGAGTGTATCCTTTGAAGTAATTCAAATCGAATCCATCTAATGCTCACCCAACTTCATGCTCTTAGCAATAAGTTAGAATCCCAACTAAACCAATGCGAAAAGTAGAAGCCATTTTATAGGCATTTAATAGTTACATAATTGCTAAGCAAACTGCTGCATTGTTGCAATCTATTTACTTTGCAGTTGACCCAACTAGCACGGGTACTTTTCGCATCGAACGGACGTTTATTTCTACTCCAGATAAGTGAGTCATCAATATTTGTTTTATAACCAATCATCGCAGAAAGATATTAGGCTGGATAAAAGTGAGCCGAGCCGAGGAAAAGCCTCATATGTACAGCACGTGTTCGCACATTTACGTTTTGGGGGCAGGGCAAACAGTCAGAATATGAATAAAAAATCGAGCGAGAAATCAAAGGCAGCCAGCGGCAGCAGAGCGGCCATATATGCAAATTTTGAACTGACCTACTCCCATAAGAAAATCAAATAAAGCCAAGCGAAACGAAACGAAACAAAACGAAGCGAAACTAAAACGAACCGAAACGAGTTGCGGGAATAGAGAACGGGGCGGTAATATCAAAATTCCAAAGAGCTGGCAAATATTTATGCAAATCCGGCGCAGAGGGCGTCGATCTCGAGCCAATCAATCAGATTTTGTGAGTAATTCGAACGGCAGGAGGCTGACAGATTCCGAGGCAAATTGCGGGCAATTAGCGGGCACTTGGAGAAAGGCTTTCCCGTGAAGTGTAAATGGAATGGAAATGCGACAATGAAACCCTTCTTTTTTTTTGGGTTGATTGTGATGCCTCCATTCACATGCTCATCTAAGCTGCTGACCCGCCTTCAAAATAACTTTGGAACTGAAGAACCCCAACTCCCGATTCCCGATTCACAGCGACCACTCACATATTCTCGTATCTACGTATACATAATTCACTTAAGCGCGCTCAACGAAGCGAGATGAATGACCTCAATTTGAATAGTTGTCCATATAGCCAAAGTTTCCCCCCCTCCCACCGATTTTCGCCTCGCTCTTTTGGGTGCCATTTAAATCAACAAAAGCCGCCGCCTACTTTTTTCTTCTGATATTTTTTTTTGACAATCTCTCGGCCTCACTTCTTTTACGTTCTGTTTTCATGTTGATTGCATTCTTGTAAAATTATTCAAATGCTCCACAATTTTCGGGGCCAGTTTTCTCCCATAAAGCTCGAATCGGGGTTATAATTATAGTGCTGAAAGGAGTGGCTGCCCCGACGCCTTCCTCCATCTCTGTTGGCATCGTTATAACCATCACCATCACCATCATCATCATTATGATCATCATCATCATCGCTGTCGCAGTCGTTGCCGCTGGCATCGTTTTTCTTTTTTATCTATTTGACACAATTCTCTGGGCAAAGTTGAGCTAGCCCCTTCACTCCGCCCGGATTTTTGTTTAGTGACACAGTTTATATGGCGTTCTCTTTTTCTGTTCTCTGTTTTTTGTTTTTTGTTGTTGTTTTTGTTTTTGTTTTGACTACCTAATTAGATAACGAAAGAGAATCCTGGGTGGTTGGGTACTCGCTGATGGAGTGGTTAGATCGAAAATAGCAGAGAATACCCCTCTAATGGCCAGAAATTTAGATAAATTGCCAGCGACAAGGTTTCATCAGAAATCTGTAATAACTGGCGCGCTTCACGTCCGGCCATAAACATATCAATTAGCCAGCAGCTTAACGCAGATTATCGTTAGCTGGCTGCTAACCGCCAAATATATAAAATCACTGGGAGAAATGGGGTTATACATGTCAAGAAATCAGGAATTGATTAATAGTAAAATCTTTAAAGTTTTTTAGAATATATTATCGTAAAAAAAATATATTCGACTTTGGTAAAATGGTATAAAAGTAAATATATTAAAAAAAATAATAATTGTATATTTTTTTGAGTGTAGATACCATTATGCGTATATTGAACTTGCTTGGAAAATAATTCTCAGAAACCATAGCTATTTTAGAATCGTGATGAAAAAAAAATTAAAGCAAAAACGATTTAAGGCACTAAACTGCATAATTAGTGTTTATTTTTTCCTGTGCACATTTGGCGGAATTACCACATCATTAAACGTATTTTGAACCTGCTCGAAAAAGCATTTTCTTAAACCGCATTTATGTGCTGCTGCGCCAGAATCGAAAATAAAATTCAGCCTCGAATTAAGCATGCAAAATACAAAATTAAAGCGGCCAGAATCAAAATCGTTTAACTGCCGGAAGCGATTCTAACTGTAAACCAAAAGCGGGCAAACAAGTCGAGGGCAACGCGGCGTATGAGTAATACCGTCGAATTATCGCCGCGAGACGTGAGACTTCGAGCGTTCTTATCAAATATTTGTACTAAAATGTGCGGCTAAATTGAAACAAAGCTAAACAACAAATAAAAGTCAGATGGACAGAAGCAGCTAGCCAGAAAAAATAAAACGAAATGAAAATAAAGCAAGGGAAAAACGACAAAAAATAGCGGAGGCAAAATAGGTTTTTTGATGCTCCAATTTGATAAGCGCCGAGCGCATTAGCAATTAGCGAATTAAATGCCAGCCCAACGAACGCGCGTTTGTGCTATAAATGTTTCAATGAACTAAAAAAGCCTTCGCGGATCCCATCTATCTGGCCGAGGGAGCCTTAATGAAAAAACAAACAATTAAATTAGCCAAGAGGCGAACGTCATTCCTCCGAAGACAAAAATGCGAATCGACAGGGCGAAACTAGAACGCCGCCACATTTGTGAAATGCCAAAGACACACGCATCTACAGCTACACTTTAATGCCGGTGCTGGCGATGGGATACAGATACAGATACAGATACAGATACACTCGGCAGATACACTCGGCAGATGAGATCAACGCTCCCAGTAGATCCGTCGATCGTCGATCGTCGATCGCCGGGTGATCGATCGTTAGGGCAGCTGCCAGCCTGCCAGCCAGCCAATCCAATCGAATCGAACCAAGCCAATCCGACCCGTGATTGATTGAATTAATAATACGAATTAACAGCGCCAAGTAGGTAAGATCAACGATCGCGAATTAAGTGGAACGCACGGCGTGCGTTTCGTGGGCGCTTTCATCTGCAGAAGCTGCCGGAGTGTCTACTCGCATCACAACACCACAGATGCGGATCACAACAGCAGATAATAGCCCTCATCCATGTGGATCGATAGCCAAAGTCAGAAGCTGTGTTCCCTAATGGGGTAATGGGCTCTCTCAACACACCTAGAATATTTCTTGGAAAGTATCTATAAATCTTGTGGTGAACAAATACCAATCCCTAAGCTTACCACCAAATTTGCAACTCTTAAAAATTTGGGAAAAATTAATAAAATAGGTTTAACATAAATTTATTGAATGATGGTGTTTTTTTTTTAGAAATGATCACTTATCTATAAGAAAGTTTTTGAAGAAAATTACCAAAATAGAATCTTTATAAGCTCTGCTTTTGTATATTCTGAGAAAGTGTGACACCTCGAGAGCTATTGAGCTGATCATAAATATATCAAGTAAGATTATAAGAACATTGCCTTGAGAGAACAATTACAAAATCAATCATCCTTTGATGACAGTGTTTTTTTTGGGAATGATAATTAAGATATACCATATGCAAAGAGCAATTATTTAGAATCAAGATTTTTTATACAATAAAGTCATTGATTGCCAATTGAAAAATGAATATTACAAGATACTATTAAAATGTAATTCCTTAAACGACTTTTCTGACTAGTTAAAGTAATATTTAATTGAATATGTAATCACTTTATCGATCCGTGTCTTAGGTTGGCCCCTCGATTTGCTGATCCCATGTAAGACCCGTCGCATTTCCTCCGAATCTCGGCATAATCAGATCCCGCCGAGCGGCGCATCGATATCAGCAGCTTCCTGTCCTGACCGACGGACGGCCCCTACTGTCTCAGCATAATAAGATCAACATCGGATCCGTCACCATATTGTCAATGAAAGTCAACAAGAGTCGTTGTCTTCATTATGGGGAGGAGCACACTCACAGATACTCCGCACACAGCCAGACGATCATTGACCGGCGGACGTAGAGTTGCAAGCGCGTGAGTGATTTCCCCGGTTCCCTTCCCCCAAAATCCCCCCGAGATCCCCTCAAGATGTTCCTCCGATTCCCCAGATCGCCCGATCCTTTCAGGGCACTGGCCATTAGCCATCGATCGGGGATCGGGGATCGAGGGGAGATCGGGAGCGAGGGAACCAGTGCGTTGAACTATAAACGTCGCTCTTCGTTTCATTCTTGACTTTTTGCTGTGCGTCGTTTGGCAACGTCATCGTCATCAGCAGGCGATTACGATCGTCATCATTATGAGAGTATGAGAGTCGTCTGGCCTGGAGTTTTGTGCCTGCTTGTTTTGCAATATCATAATCAGTGGGCCCTCACTCCTCGTTCCCCTCCAATCCTCCCTGCTTCCCTCCTTTTCGCTGCTCTGCTCATTTAGCAATTCGGATTCGGTGCAACGAACGCGAATTTTCGGTCTTTTTTCGGGTACATTTCGGTGAGTTGTTCTGACTCCGTATCTGTATCTTTCCAGCGAGTTGTTCACTCTTGCACAGTGAATAAACTTTATATATTCTTAAGTTCGATTTAAAGATTTTAAAAAATGTATTAAGATTTAAATAAGAATTTAATTTGATTTAAATTTTTGGCTAAAGTTGCTATTTCCATTTTTAATATCTACTTTCATGAAGTTGTGAATATTGTGGCTGTTCTTTTAATTTTAAGCTAAAAGCCATCTGTTTTTCTCTAAGTGCCGATCGATCAGCTGCGGTTGGCTGATGTTGCTGGTGAGTTGGTGTTGCTGCTGTTTTTTTTTTTGGTGTTGCCGCTGCTGCTGCTGCTGCTGCTGCTGCTTTTGCCTTGAGGTCGATCCCTTTGTGGGCTCTGCTCTGCTTGCGGATTGCTATCAAAATGCAGCGCTGTCGGTGCTTCACCCTTTGCAGTCGCCTTGCCGCCGTCTGTCCGCTCCACCTCCTCCTCCATCTCCCCCCTGC